GACTGTGCAATAGGTAGTCAGTGCGACGAGAGATGCCGGCTTGATGGCTGACGGGCTGCGATGATTGCCGCTGTGAGCGGGTCATTCAATGTCACAGTCGCAGAAAGCATGCTGCAAGTCGCCGATGCATATGCGCTGGTAGAGGATCTGGTGTGTATCTGACATCGAGTCTGAGTCAGATCGTGTCATTGCCGAGAGCGTGAGTCCAGGATTGACGACCATCAATGTGGGAGTGTAGGTGCATCTGATGTCATCTTTGACACAGTCTAGTGGGAAGATACTCTGATCATGTGCAATGTGCACTGCAAGACAGGCAGTTCAGAGATGTCGAACTGAAAGACGAGAACACATGTGGACAGCTATTGAGAGTAGAATGACGATTGCCCAGACTTGGTAAGCGGTGCATAATCCATCGCGGGACATGAATGATGCCGGCAATGCGAGGTGGTCAGAGTCATTGCCGAGATAGACAAGCCTAAGCTGTTAGGGCGCCGATAGACCAAGTTGTCATCTTGCGGACGAGTCGAACAATCTGACGAGCCACACGGTACAGCTATCATGTGATGCAAGCACAATGGACACCGTCTGGGTGGGTTGAGATCATCAGCTCGAGTATGACAGAAAGAGCTTATGTCTGTCGGGTGGCCTTGCTCGACCATGACTCGATGTGACATGCATGTGCGATGAATGCGGTGCATATACTGGCAGGCGAGAGCGTCTGTCATTCTGATCGCTGCTGTTCTCACTGCGGTAGATAATATGGTCTTGCTGGCAGTTCTCCAGCCTGACGTGTTGCCTCGTAGCTAGTGGCCAGTAAGAGATGATTGCTCGCTAGTGTCGCACGCTTCCGGACTATCGGCGTGGTGATGCATGATCTGACCATGTTTGAGCGTATCATCAGTGACAGTAGCTAGCAGTGTCTACAGCTGCTGTCTGCGGCATGAAGGAAGATGAGCGACGCGACTTGGCGTGGTTTGGCAGCGGGTGGCAGTCGTTTTGATTGGTCTTTGCAAGGTATGCATTACTCGACGATACAGCAGAGAGCCGAGTAATCTTGATGTTCTATGTCGACGATCAGAAAGGATAGCCTCGCTTTGCCATTGGCGAGTAGTGAAATGCCAGGGAATTTCTTCAATTTGCCTTGCCAAAACTCAATATTGCATAATTCATGGGGAAATTATTAATCACCCGTGTATCTGATTGGCGTGATTTATCTAGGCGCGTTGGCAGGACATTAGNTTGANCACAGCGATTTTAGCGAAGNCNCTCNTACTCTTCANCCGGTCGCNTTGCTGCGATTCATTGGTACGACATCCAGTCGCCATCACTATTTATGCGACTCAATTTGCATTTTGGAAGATCGCCTCGAGACTCCCTGCACCAATTACGACGGTTCAAAGAGACGGAGAGTCAGTCTGCGCCAAAACAGTATCCACAAATATGCGTTCGTACTCCGGAGCAGAATGAGCTGTCCTCACTCGCAATACCAGCTCAGTCAGAGAGCTCGATGTTGCCTGCCTGGCCGGCGATTTGTTGCTGCTGAGATGCGTGCTAAATGTGGTCATGATGGTCATCGCTGCGCTCGTCCAAGTGATATGCTCCATCAGATTATTGCAAGCAGTAGATGGCCACTAGCTTTACAGACTCAAAGATAGGCCTGACATTATGTTCGATTAGTGACACTGCGAGTTTTATGGCTGGAGAACGGCTTGCTGCTTGTGATGACCTCTCGCCATGTCTTTACTGTGCATTTGACTGTTTCCAAAAGATAAGCTTCAGGTTTGACTGTTCGCCTCGAACACTGCTGCCTCTTCCTGGGGTGTTTATTTGTCCGCGATGAAGGTGCTCACTTGTTGCTGAATTGCTATATCACAGATTCAAAGGTCATAGGTGCTTTTCGCTCATTACGTTTCGCAATTTCGTTATTGCTTGACCTCTTGTCGTGCTTTTCGCCCTTATGGAGTCTGCAAAGAGCTCGATGATGTCACGCTCTGTTCACTGCTCAATGAGCATTTGCGCTGGCATCGAGCAGTTTGCATGCAAANACGGATTATGTATCATTNCGCAAGCTCACCAGAATCTATACACATTCACCTGAAAGGCGCTCGTGAGTACCCTTGGGCGAATCAGCGACTATCTTCTCGTCTTGCTCTTTAACGCTCGAGGCGTCAAAGGTTTTTGCGAGTCGAAGAGGGAAGAGCTGGTTGATATTGACAGCGAAACTGTAAGCAATATGTCAGNAAGCCATTGGGTCCTGCAACGCATGCCACTGACAATATCAGAGTGATGAGCCAGTCCATGACTCCAATCAGTATGTAAAAGACAATTTTGCCGGAGCGGGAGGTTTTGCCGGGTGGATCCAGCGTGCTGCCTAGCTTGTAAGATGTAGTGATGATCTGAACGATCAGCAATGTCAACACGTTGGCGCCATCCCCTTAACGCTTACAAGTAAGCCACACTGAATCACAATGACGACGACGGCAAGGATCTGAAGAAGACCTGCCTGGATGAGGTTGACTGCAATGAGCGCAGAGACACTGATGGCGCCGATGATGAGTGCAGCGTTGGCAATCCTGTAATGTTCGATGCTGTTTGCTGTACTCTGACTCTCATTACCGCTGATCTTTGTTGAGGCGATGACGCTAAAGATGCCCGCAAGAATTACGACAAGGCGACAGAAGAGCAGTATGTGCTGTTGAATCTTATTGTCTGCATGCTGGAAGGACCTCTTCTGACATTTGCCCGCCACACGCCTGCACGATCTGATCAGACCCGAGTAACCACCGAAAGGGCCGAGCTGACGTCAAAAGCGCAGGAATGGGTTNGCAGATCGCACTGAAGCCCTGTCGAGATTACAGATGAGTATTNGTACACGTTCAGCAGTGTGCACAAACGCCGAGGAGCAGAATCTCGGAAGCGATGTAAACGCCTGTCGAGCTGTTGCCGTTTGCAAGGGCCGCACGCATGCCATAGGCTGCGTCTTGCGTGATGCAGAAGATAAAGGGTCGAATCTGTGAGCTTGTTAGCCTCAGAAGAGCATTGACCGCAAAAGAACATACGAGGATAAAGGTGCGAGAGTCTTTCGATACTAGCCGAGCGATGCCCGCCGGTATGAGCCTGTCAGCTTTTCAGCAAACTATCGGACAGCGTAAGCGTTTGCAGAAGCGCACGCCGCAAAAGCAATCGCAAAGACGATGGACGCTGCAAAGTCTTGAGTCTTGTTGGGAATGCCTCCACTGAGCGAAGGAAACGTGTTCGACATGCCAGGCGGATGTCAATCGTGTGAGTCGTTCCTGTGCTTGCTGACTAGGAAGGCACTTTGTGATGAATGCAAAATATGTTACGTCTCCTTATAGCCACGGGTGGATCAGCGCGGAGAGACGGTCACTTCGCTAGAGTCCGTATCGAGCGCGCCGTCGGAGTGAGTCGCTCCGTCGGAGAGGCATCGTCAGTAGCTGATGAGAAGTCATTGATCGACATCATGGAGGGTACAAGAATGGTGAAGCTGTCGCAAGGGTGACGTTGTACGTGTACCTCGCGCGCTCGCGATCGCGTCTTTGTAATTGCGATTGCTGGGAATAAGTTCACCAGCGAGGATGGACTTTGAGGGCTACAGCGCTCAAGTCTTCCCTGTTGGTAGGCTGCCTACAGGTTACAGGGGCAGCTACAACGATGCGCAAGACGCAGAATCATACTTGGCGCTCGTCAGACAGGAAGCATCAAAAGCGCCAAAAGTGCTCAGAGCCACCATCGTCATCGACGAGTTGACCGAGATCCAGCCGGCCCAAGCACCTGCTCGTGATGATCTACCAAATTCCATCTGGAGAGAAGCCTTTGTTGCCAGGTTTCGTCAGACGAGATGGCTTGCTCGCTCAGGATCATATGGACTCGACTTGCCCGATCATTATCTGCCCCTGCCTGACTTGCAAGACGAAAGCGGCTGGAGAGCGTATATTCAGGGCAAGAGCACTACCTCGAATGCCGCTTCCCGCCTGAGCCAGGAAGAGATTGCGCACTCGCCTGCTTACCAGAGCAAGGACGCGCCCCTCGCGATGCTGCATTGGCTCGATCAGGTNCGCTTGCCGNTCCNTNAAGCTGAAGCTNTTCACNCATGNTTGAACAGACGACAGCCACNGCCTTGCTGGGCTATATCGACGGGTGGCTCCAGGAGGCTCTTGACAGACAAGTCTTTGGACCCTCGACAGCGATCGTGCCAAGCGCTGTTCGTAAGCGCAAAGCTAGCNCCAGCACCACGCCTGCATCGCCCGGCAAGACTACCAACAAGACTATCTTTGGCCCTCTGTGGCATCAGTGGACCATGCTCTGCTTCCTCAAGCTTGACGAACTGCAAGATAGCAGCACGATCGGTCAATTTCGAGGCCTGGCGCGAACCTGTTTGACACTCATCACNACGCTGTCAAGAGACGGTATTGACACCATCGATGCGCTCGATCAGATCGCAGCAGCCTGGCAGGTTGTTCTCATTGTCGCCAGCATTTGGGGCCAGCAAGATCTGCTTCTTAGCTAGCTCAGTCAGCGACTTGCGTTGCTCTTCANGCGCTCGATGTAAGCGTCGCCAGCGGCAGTGCGATCGAGCATGAAGATNTCCAATGCTCGACCATCCACCAAGACGGCAGCGTCATCTTTTTGCGAGACTGCGCGCATCATTTGCCGAAGCGACACCTTTTTGCCAAGCTTGACGATNCTGCCTTGACGGGTGANTACGCAGAACTGATGCACTGCCAGATCCAGATTTGCGCCTTCGTAGACTGCTGCCAGCTGCGTCTCTATGGGTGTGTCCTCGTGCCAGTTCAGGACAAGATCGCGCGTAGCTTGGTNGCCAAGCGGGCGCATGAGCCACACTGACCAAATGAGCGAGCTCGCTCGGGATCCGACGGGGTTCAGCTCTATTAAATTTGATGTAGCAGGCTCGTCAGGGTCAAAATGAGGCAGCTCGGAGCCGGTTGGCATGACAGATGCGTCGTTGGGCGGCCACTGTCTGGGTAGATACACGCCGCGAGACTGTTNGCAAATNNTNAGCGCATGAAGATNCACATCGAAGCAAACAAGCTACTGTAATAGCTTGCCTCAAAGCGCTCAAGGCTTCTCTCTCTCGACGTTCGCGCTCGGCGGCTGTCTTTGCTTTCCCGCGCTGCACACTGATAGCTTCATCTATNTTNNATGCAAGTTGTTCTGTCGCCTTATCNGGTGCTGCGCTCGANGTCTTCAGTAGTCTTGAGATAGCATCTGATGCCTCTTCNAGTTTNNCGAGCGCAAACAGGGCAGACGCAGAGCGATAGAGGGCCTTGCATGTCAGGCCATCATTGTCGCCAGACTCGCTAGGCAGTGCNAGCAGAGCAGCACAATCAGTCAGACATTTTCTGTAGTTTGCTATGGCGCCATCTCAGCTAGAGCTATCTCGAGCTGTTGAGCGTGCTGACCCAGCTCAAGGTGACAAGCCGAACGATTGGACAGCAATGCGCGCTTCACTTGGGGCGCAATCTCCTTGCCCGTCTCGTCTATCGCCTGCGTATAGAATCCAAGAGCCTCCTTGTAGCGTCTGCCGTTGTAGTATTCATTGCCTTGGCTTTTGAGGTTCTGTGCAATCTCGTCGGGCGTGCCATCGTAGAGCAGCGTCTGAAGAGCGTCCAGTGTCGTGTTGCTCGGCTTTTCGGCTTCACTAGCGGGCAAGTCTCGCATGAAGAGTGGAACATCGTCGAAGCTCGACAGGTCCAGCGCTCTAGGCGCAGGCAACGTCATAGCTGACAGCCAGTCGAAGTCGCGTCAACAGACAGACCGATTGGCAGCCAGGTGTAGTCAAGGCTCAGCTCAGCAGCCAGCATGGCACCCAAGCTCAAAGTGATGATCGGCTCGGACAGAGATCATATGTCGATTGCCAATGTGAATGGAGCGCCTACGGAGATCGATTCGCCGCTCTGGGTTGGCCGGGTGACGGTGAGAGTACGAGACTTTGTTGGCTGGACTCCGGACGGTCGCCAGCCGATTAGCCAGCATCCGTATTTTGACAACCGTTCTCGGAAATTTGCCATCATAATCGAAGGGCGCTTCAGACAGAGCGACGACAGCAAGCCTTATAGCGGCGATGAGATCCACTTTGGCTCTGATTTCGATCGCTTGATATCCTTTCCGCGAGCACCTTTCAATGCCGGCATGAAGGTTGCGCAATGGATAGATCCAGCCACATTTTATGAAGAGTCGCCGCCTTCAGGTCGACCGTTCATCATGTCGCCGTACCTTGCGTGCATGAACACCTTTAGCGCCTGGCCAGCGCCGGCTCGTGCTCAAGATGCCGTCGTGTGCCTGCGACATACCCAGCGAGAACCATCTACTGAGCCAGATACTCATCAAGACGATTTTGTCGCAGCAGAGCAGCATGACTTGACAGCGAAGCAGCATTGGGCGCTCAAGAAACCTTACTGGCGGTTTGTGGGATTCAAGAACGACCCCAAGGTGGCTGCTTTTCTTCACGAACATCACGCTTCTTTGTCGACTTTCAGACATGCTGATCCCGTGCACACCGGCGAACACGACGAGTTGCATGCTTGCCTTGGCAGCGGCAAGCCCGGAGACTCGGGCACATCGACCCCTTTGCGCCATCAATCAAGCGTGGGATCCCACCTTTCGAGCATGAGCAGCAAGTCCTCAGCCTCGCAAACCGAATCGCCGACCGCTAAAGGAGCAATACCAGCTCCAGCAAAACAGACCAGCTGGGGCATGGCTGGTCTCAAAGGAGCATTGAGAGGCGTCAGCTCGCCACGGCCTCCACTGACGCCCCGCGATTCGGATGTCTGGCAGGGCGAGGTAGACACTGCGGACCATCTGAGAAATTCTTTGACCGCCTTGGCGGAGGAATCTTTACCACCGCCTAGCGAACCCTCCAAGCTTGACGCTGAGCTAGGCCCGTTCCGGTTTGCAGACCCAGAACTAGACATGATCGAAGACAACAGCTTCATTTTCATTAAGTGCGCTCCGCCCGATATTCTGTCTCGGAAAAGCTGATTTCGCTTGAGCTCGCAGCAAGGCCGTCACCGTTGCGCGACGGCGAAAGTTCTTCAATGAGGGCCATGGAAAGAACAGGCTAAATTTTACGTATGACCCGGATGTGTAGGTGAATTGATAAGGCAGGCTGTCGGGCTGATTCAAGACAGGCAGGGTGTATGGCGCCTCATTTTACACGTAGGTCTGCATTGTCGTCGTGCTATCAGCGCGCTTACTTTTGGAGCAGACCCGCGTGCGATCTCAACACAATGGATCTCCATCTGGGGCCCGTCAAGTTGAACATTGCCTCGTTCTTCAAAGAGATGCCGATCCGTTACACGCTTCGCTCCACCCGGAGAAAGCCGTATACTGCATCGGACGGCGTCACACGTCAGGAAGAGGAGTGTTTTGCGACAATCTCCTTTCAGCTTGTGGATGATGCTCAAAGCTGAGAATCCTGACGAATCACCACAGTTTGGCCGCGCGTAAATCATTGCACTTGTAACATTTTTGCATTGAACGTCTTCACAGGCCTTGCTCAATACCGGTCACAGCGTCCATAGCGCTCAGTTTGACACCTTTACTCGTGACTTTGTATGCTGTGTCGAATTGCGGAGCCAATGTTTCCGCCTCGTCCTCGCCGAGCTCTTTACGGATGGAGCTCGCCACGTCGGGTGCAGACAATATAGCTTCCAAGAATTCAAGTGCTGGCTTATCGATCCATCGCCGCGTGAAGCTCGAAAACCAGCCAAGATGACCGCCGTGTTGAGTTTGGCCGAGCACAACGTACGGATTTTTGGTGGTTGGCAGACAGGTGCCACTCACGATAGGGTCGTTGAGCGCATTCAACGCAAGGACGGGAACGCGGATGCCCGATAAGTTGGCCGAGGCGCTTTGTGATTTGTAGTAGTTTTCCGTCGTACCGAAGCCGTTGAGCACGACCTGCACGATTGAGTCGAATTGGTATAATGTGAGTGAGCCCTTCTTATCGAACAGCGCTTCTAGGTCTACGCCCCGCGGGTCTTTCTCGAACGCATCTCGATTCCGCTCGACGACATTCGACATAGAGGCGCCCATCCGGCGGGAATACAGCATGCCCAAGAAGGTGCTTTCTAGTGCGAGATGTAAGCGGTACAGATCGAAAGGACAGCCGAACAAAACGGCCGCACGCACGGGCGTCGAAGTGCCCACTTCACCCAGATAGCGTGACACGAGATTCGCGCCGAGCGAGAAGCCGGCAAGCAGAATAGGGGCATCTGGCAAGAGATCCCTTACGTAGCGCACAGCCGTCCTCACGTCGTTTGTACGGCCAGCGTGGTAAAGCTCGCCGGTGGTCATTTTGCTGTTGGCGCAGCCTCTAAAATTGGCTACACATGCTCTATAGCCGTATCCGCCGGCTGCTCGACTTTTGCAGGCGAGAGCGAGCACATTTCGCACGTATGCTTCACTAGACCCGCCCGTCAAGCCATGCTGAATGATGAGGATAGGCCGATCGTCTAAGGGTGCCTCGTCAAAGGGCGGTGTAAAGTCGAGTGCGAGGGAGCCACCATCAGCCTGCATTTGGATGACATGTCGCTCGTACTGTATGACGTCTATGTTGTCAAAGTGACCCACAGTGCAGTATATCGTATGGATGTGGCCGCTCCGGAAGATCAACGGTGGTATGTAGCTCGCCAAGGAGCCCAGCAGGTGCGGGCATCGTCCCAAAAGCCTCAGCAAGGTGGCACTGCTCGTCTGAAATTGCCATGCGTCTGCATATCCCAGTCTGCAGAGAAGCCTTCGCCACCAAGGCAGGCGTGTACACGAGCTGACAAGATAGATCTGCTCATCCTTTGCGCCGTCCCGGGCTTGCCTGCCCGGCTGCATCCGAGTCGCTGATGCCGCCGAATTAGCGCGGTGCATGTCATTAGCCGACGCGAATCGAATCGACGCCGGCAACGTTCAGCGTTGCCTTCGCGCAGTGATTCATCGAGCATCCCTGAGTCGTGTCGCCTTTTGATCAGCTATACGGCCTCCCTTTGTGCTCGTCAAGGGATGCGCAGAGCAGCAGCCAAGACCATGACGCGCAAACGATCCCCTGATGTCCCTGCATGCTGCGCACGAGCCCATAATCTCGTTGTGCATTGATTTGCCAGATTCACCCTCGTCTACCCTCACGACACTCAGACCTATAAATGGCAGAGCAGAGCATCAACATACCACACAAGCGCTCTGTTCATAAACATCAACAACATGCTCTGCTGCAAACTCTCTGCCCTCGCTGTTCTGCTTGCTTCAGGCGCAGTATGTCCTTTGATCTACAGGCAGAGTCTCGCCTGACTTTTGTTAGATGGCCGCACCCATTGACCCTACAGCCGATATCGCGACCGGCGGGGTCGTTGGCGGTAGCGCTGCCTCTGCTGGTATAGCCGGCACGACCCTGGGTGGACTCGGTGGCGCAGGCGTTTCCGGCGCCGGTATTGGGGCCGGAGTCGGTGCTGGCGCAGGCGTTGGTGCAGGTCTTGGCGCGGGTATTGGCGCAGGTTTACTTGGCAGCGGCTTGCTTGGCGTCGGCGGTCTGAATGCCGGTGGAGGACTTCAAGGCGGCCTCTTCTTGCCACCCGCCCTGATTCCACTGATTCTACCCTTCCTCAATGCGGGTGCGGCTGGCGGACAGCAATCATCAGGCATGTCACTCTAGAGCGCTACGAATCGCAGCTAATATTTCGTCGGACAGGCTCGGCGGGCGCAACGATCTCGCCATTCGGTGCAGCTGCTGGTGTCTCTGGTGAGCAATCGTCAGGCGGTGCAGCTGGTGTATCGATAATCTAAGCGCCCATCGAATGCATATTTGACACTCTTGTCTCGTTGCTGACGTTTCTAGCTCGTTGCTGAATCCCTAAAGTCTGATCATCGGGCGGAGCCAAAGTCTTTGAGCTGCCATATGTTCAAAGCGTATTCGGCTGCCAGAAGCGCGGCCACAGACTAGCGCTCTCATATGACGACGACGGAGACGATGTGATTGGTATATCAATGTTGACGTCTGGTGCTCGGTCGTCTTCCAGGTCCGATGGATGGCTGAGGAAAGTGCGGTCAACACACGTATAGAAAGGGATGTCGTCCCGACACACGCGCAGCATCTGATCGAGAGTAGAGATCGTGCTGTCGCTTCCTAATGAGGATGTTGACGGCGCTGCTGTGGCCGCAAACTGCAGCAACGGCTTCGCACTCGGTAAATCATTAGCGCAGCCAAATTTTGCGAGAGGACCATGATCAGGCGGTGTAGGACTTGTGAGATAGCGCAGGTGATCTGAGTTCCCAGGCGCAGACGTAAGAGCATCTTCGGGAATCACAGGTATGCTAGAATGGTCAGACGCATGCGCAAAGAGCGGCGCAGGCAGTACTTGATCAGATTGCTCGACTGACTTGCGCGGGAGTGTCGCTTGCCGCCGCATCTCCAAGGAGCAGGCTGAATGCTGACTTGTTGTATCGATGCGACTAAGCTCGGCAGTCGACGGAGCTGAGTGGGCCATCAGTAGACCTTTGAGCTGTTTGCGCTGTCCCATCGCGCTGCGTGGACTAACTTTGGTGATTTGACGTTTCTGTGCAGCACCTGCGGCGAGGCATCTAGTCCTACTAGAAGCGTCGTCAACCTGTGATGCGTGGAACGCGTCTTCATCGAATGCGAAGCTCGCTGCTATGCTGTACGATGAGCGCCGAGCGCGGGCGGAAGATGATAGAGTGAGTACTTACACCGCCTCAGCTTGGCGTTAGACAGACGCTTTGAAGCTATGCCTTTCTTGAAGAGACCGACCGAGCGATTGACAGTGATACGAGAATTTGCCACGTAGCGAGGCTGATAGTGAGCGAGGCGGCGCATGTTACGCTCGAGGCTACGACGTTGCTGAGTTCCGAGAGCCTCTGTGTGAGCTGTCCTTCTTGCGTCATTCCGCTGACGGGGTTGAAGTGGAGCAGTATCATGCAGTAAGGCAGCGGTTGCACGCCCTCGCTGGACGCGCTCTTCGCGTACTGAGCGGAGGGGATGAGCTATGCCTGCAACGGGACGAGGAAGGCCGACCTTGCGCGCGTATGTCGGCGAGGGCTTGTTCGGCGTCTGTGTCAGCAGCGATGCCGTCGTGACACGCTGCGAGCCATTGAAGGACAAAGGCTCGCTTGTCATCCATTGTCGAAGGCGACGACGGTCGTCCGGATTGGGATTGTGATGGGTTTCGGCCATCAGTCTAGGCCGAAGGCGCTGCCGAGGACATGGATGTTTTCGACGGAATTCTTTCGTGATGGCGACAATGATTGTCAGTGTCGCTCTGGCCTGTGGAATCATATGCGGTGGAAAGTCAAGCGAGTCGCTCGCAGATCAAGCCCAGCGCCTGAAATAATTCATTTCGTGACAAGCAGATGTCAAGCAACAGAAGGTACAGATATGTGGAGCGTGATGACGTGAGCTGCAGGCTATGCATGAAACGCAGGTGGCTCGGCTTGGTCTCCGCTAGGCTGGAGCTCGGCATCAGTTTTGACATAGAGTGGCAACGGGTCGACCAGATCCTCGGGTATATCGCCTCCGTAGCAGCGGCGATCACTGCGCAGTGCATGCCTGATGCCCGAATGGTCTCGATCGAGACCGTAGATGTCTGCGACGAGGTTGAGTCTGCGTTCGACCTTGTCAATGATCTCGCGCTGCAGGCGATCGCCAACGACCATTTCGAGCTTCTTAGCGCTCTTGGGTGGTATGGGAAGCGGATATCCAAGATCTCTCAAGCCGGTCGGCATGTTTTCATATGCCAGCATGGCTGCCTTTCTCCGTGGGCTGCCTCTTTGAAGCTTCAGCGAGGAGACGAGATGAATCGCCTGGACCAATCGCTGATTGACGACTTGAGCCTGGTCGGTACAAGTCGAGAGCGTCAGTGCATGTATATATTGCGCAAACAGTACGCACCTCTTTGAGCGCTATGAGATGAGCACGATCGTCCCGGAGGCGGTGAAAGATCATGACTCGCTGGAGATCCGAGATACGGTTGTGCCACTTATGCTGGAGCCGCTTCAGCTCTCGCTTGGTAATCGTCAGCGTGTGTATCGAGGCCTCACGGGTCATGCGAGAGGATCCGGCGCTGGTCCAGGTAGCCGACGCGTCACAGTCAGATCGTCCGACGCTGTCGGCGATGACGGAGACAGTGCGATTCGAGGCGAGAAGCTGTCTTTATATTTATCTACCGATGCCTTGAGAGCCCAGTAGACCACAAAGACGGGCAGTGCTGCCATGTTGGACTGAGTAGCTACTTGCCTGGCTTGAGCTCGATGGTGTAGTAGCGGCGGCGGCGGAGATAACCTTGAAATTGCGCGAGTCCAAGAGCAGCGCGCAGTGGGGAAGGCGTCGAGTCCCGCGAGCTGCTGCTTGTAGCTTCACCGCCAGCACAGTCAAGATGTCATGGTACGCATCCCCTGACGTCCGGGTGCGACCGTTGCTGATCATCGTGTTCGCAGGACCGGGTGAGTCGAGCTCGGCGGTTGTGCCAGTGCCAGTGCCAGCCCGCGGCTGCAGTGCCTCGGGACGAGCTGACCTTGGTTGTCGGTCTGGTAGCTTCAAGAAGTCTGTCAATCGAGCGGGCACAACGCTCATGCAAAAGACGGGCCAAGTAGACAAGACGGAAGACCGCGAGTTCCAAGACGAGGTCAACAAATTCAAGATGTGCGCAGAATGACCTGCTCCCGGCTTGCCATGAACTGATCAAGAGGCAATGCAGCATGGAGAAGAATACGCTTGCTTTGCAGAAAGAGGCTAAAGCCCATCTGGACGCGATGCGGGGTCAGCCGGATCTGAGCTCATTGAGTGCCGCTTGACGTTGCGCCTTCAGGGATGACGGCCAATCAGGCTCGTATTGCAGGCACGCTGGAGGCATTTTTTGTCGTCAGTCGAGAGATTTAACAGCTTGATCCTTTCTGATGGCTTAGCGCATATCAGGACAATGGAGAAGCAGCCATGGCAGGACATAGCTACCGGCGCGCCGTCGAAGAGCTCGACACGCGCACGACCCAGGGACTCGATCAGCCTTATCGAGCTACAGTACTCGAGCCTATCGGGAAACTATGCTCTTATTTCCCAGAGGTCAACAACACAATCCAGAAGCGCAACAAGAAGCTTCTTGATCACGACTCGACGCGTACCAACGTACGAAAGCTGCAAGACAAGCCCCCCACAGACGGGAGCAAGCTGCCCATGGTGCGCACCCGTCATATTTGAGCGACGCTATCTCACTATCCTGCAGGCCGAAAAAGCAGCAGCTGATGCAAAGGACGTCTACGAGGCGATCAACACCCAGCTCGTGTCGGAATTGCCGCAGCTCATCGAATATCGGATACCTTATTTGGACCCTTCGTTCGAATCAATGGTGCGCATGCAAGCCCAATTTGCTTCAGAGGCCTACGAGAAGCTCGGCGGCGTGCAACGGTACTTTGCAGATGACGTGCGAGATCTATATGCCAACGGGGACTTGGATGGCCAAGTCGAAGGCGCACTTCAAGAGATCCGCGACCTGACCATCTGCGGTTCATAGGATGCCTACGGTACACAGTGTCGTATTGTTTGCAACAAGTCCATGACTCCGGTGCTATTGCGACTTTTTGGCGGCTAAGCTCCCAGGAGCAGGTAGCGGCTTGCTCTCCGTCGTCTCGCCGGCCGCCGGGCCGCCGCCTTGCCCATACTCGTTTGTACGGTTCTTATCGACTTTATAGATCCGATACTGGTACATCAGAATGAGAAAGACGACCTAGACAGGCAAAGATTTAGCCTGATGTCCGTGCAAGCCGTGAGAAGCTCACGTCGTCTCGAAAACAAGCGATACGATGCAGAGTTGGCATTTTTACCACAAAGGCAAAGAGATCATCGATGATTGTGTTGAGGAATTTGAACGTCAGACTCTTCATGGGAAGATGTGCCACGCTTTTGAGATGGTAATTGATGATCAATTGAGGGACGAGTGTCGCAAAGGAAATGGCATACACAAAGCTGGTGAGGGTCGAGATGCTGAAAGAATACCAGCCCTTGTGCTCGTTATACATGAGCGAGTAGATCGTGTAGCCAAAAAGGGAAGGTATGACTGCCATTGACACATAGCGAAACGCTAGCTTGTCATAGACTGCTGTCGCTTTCTCATCTTCTGACAATACATGCTTGTCCTTGAAAACAATCTTGTAGGGTAACAGGCCATCGCTCGGAACGATCTCCGAGGTGACGGCTTTTGAGATCTTCCATAGTTCGAGAGGGATACCCATGCCCTGGCCAATGAGGATTGTCCACGAGGTATTGTCGTTATTGTCGAGGAGGTAAAGGAAGATGATGACTTGCATAGCGACATTGGTGATGAGGGTACGCACGGACACGCCAGTGAGCTCTCTTTTCTGGCGCCAATGTGCTACGTCACTGCCGAATGCGAGCATCTCGAGGAGGGAGTGCAAGAGTGTGACGATGATTGTCACGCCGAGCAGGATCGGGTTAGTACTCGTAAAAATCCTCTTGACCTCATCTAGCTCCGTGCCCCCACCTGGCCTGAAGATCAGCGCTGCAACAAATGACTGGAAGCATCGAGGGAACAGACCCGTCGAGGCTTGTTTCTCAAAGGCGTCATGCATTGTCGCGTAGAGTTGGAACTTGAAGTAGCTCGACGGATGTATAGTGACGCGCAGATCGACAGTGGAGACGGAGCTGTTGATCTGCTGATAGTCTTGCTTGAGCTGCCAGAAGAGATTGGGCAAGAGAATGGGCAGATGGAGAGCCTTCCCGTCGGCATCACGCTCGTCACCGACGAGGGCAATGTGTTGCTGTACGATTGGCGGCGATTGACTGTAGGCAATCTCGGGCGTCTCGCTCACGAGGGCGAGCGTGATATTGGGATGCCAATGCGCAACTATTGGCATGACTTCTGGCAGGTGCTGCTCAGCGACACGAGGTTCTTCTGCGTCAGCTCCGATGAGGCGCTTGACTGTTTTGGGCCGCTTGAGGGGCATGAAGCGCGTGAGCTCCTGCCGGACATGATGCTCGGCACCATCGCTTTGTCTCAGAACAGCGTCAAGGTAGAGACTTGCGTTGTGCTTGCTGACGCTAGCAGGCAAATCGACGCGGGTGAACCATTCAAGCTGCCACTCCCATTCGCCAAAGGGAATCGCTTGGAAAGTCTTGGAAGGCAGGACAGTCGTGACATGAGCATCTTCCGATGTCGTGAGCTGCAAGACCAGGTCGAGCGGCTGATTCAATGGCCAGGCGGGCACTGCGCTCAAGAGAGTGACGTTTGATACGATGGCTCGAGAATCTGTGGCTGTGGAAGCGGATGAGGCTGAGGTCGCCGGTTGTGCGAGTCCTTGTGGCTTGAACCACTTGACGAGCGGAGACGAAGGACCGAGGACGAAGCTGATGGCGATGTAGATGGCCACGCAATTCAGAATCGTCCTGAAGATGGGCGTCTTCTCCTCCTTGTCCCGGATTGGCGGTCGAGCTGTGGCAGGCGCCACTGGAGCCACTCTGTCAGCACTCTCATCGCCCGACTGCGTCTTCACTCGCTGTCTGACTTCATTGGCAGGCTCCGACATCAGCCAGACAACGTGACACTGTCGCGCACGTCGCGAGCTGATTGGCGCTGACTTGCCTTTGACTGCGCACGCCTGAGCTGATCTTGTACGCCAACGACGGACAGATCGAGCCGTCTTAGGATGCGCACAGCATGACGGAAAAATCGCAAGATGCAGACGTCGAGCGACACCAAGCAGTATCGGCCTACCATGTCTCCGCAAGAGCTACAGAGCTGTATAGCCTGCTTCTCCAGACACTCGTCTGCGCTGCATTGGTCTACTTCGTCGGTCGGCTGTAAAGACCTAGGGGCTTCACTGAGGACCGATCGTAGGCTTGTACTCATCGAGCGCGGCCCGCTAGCGCCCTCTGTCTGCTCATAGCCCTAGCAATCCCTGTTCGACAAGCTCGCCTCGTCCGTAAAGGTGACTGCTCAGCCCGACACAGCGGCTGGTCGAGCTGAGCAATCGGCTGCAGAGTCACTGATTGCGCTCAGGGGCATAGGTGTGCAACTCTCGGCACAGACTTGGCTCGGCACGCGCGTCACATTCGTCGATGCCACAGATCTGTCCGCCATTGTCTTGCTCGAGTCGATACGCGGCTGGACCATCATCTGGACTCTCGCGGTCATCGAACAACGACCTGCTAGGGAGGCTCGAATCCATGTTGCTTTCAAGGTCTGTTGGATCCGCCTGACGATGAAGCAATTGCTCACGCGTACCGCAGCATTCGTTACCACTCCTTGCGACTCTGACGCCGATCTGGCGCGGCTCTAGAAGTACGATGGAGATGTCGAGCAAGCGCCATAAAGTCTAGATACGCGACTGAATGATCAAATGGTGTGCATTAGGTTCAGCCTGCGGGCGCTGACGGCAGCTGCTCTAAAGCTGACCGGTCAGAGGGCGGTATTGTCGCCAAGAGATTGTTCCTGAACACGCTCTCGCGTGGCAGACCGCGGAAGCGGCCTTGCCGACCAGGTTCGTCAGCAAAGATAGGCGCCAGGCCCTCAACAAATCGGCGACGATTGTCAAGTGCAACCACGAGGTCCTCAGAGAGCGGCGGCAGACCGGATTCGATCACCGTATTGGGCTTGTAGTATTTGTTCTTGGCGACTTTGCGTTTCGTCGTCCGCTGTCGCTTGATCCACCCCGTCTCGACCGTCTTCTCCAGACCGTCTCGCATGGCCTCGTAATCCTGAAATGCCATTCTCTCTCGAACAGCGTCGCTCAGACATTCTCGTCGGGCTTCATTGATCGCCATCTGATCACGCAAGAGCCGCTGACATGCCCGCAATGCTGTAGAAATCTCGTCGTCTTCCCGCGAGCCCCAGTCGATCTCTGTTTCTTTGCGGGCACTGCTCGATTCATTCAATGACTTGCCGAGATCGAGCGGTCCCAATCGACCTGGATGATCATGCGAAGATGGATCCGGCAAGATGCCGAGATAGCGCAGCTCGCGCTTGACCTGCTCCTCCATCTCGGCCGCATCAATGTCGATTCTCTCACCCGGTGGACCAGCGGGCAAATGCGATGTAGAAGAGGCCGGCGAATGTCTGGTCTCGCCAGAACATGGCGACGATACGAAACGGGCGCCGAGCGCAGATACGAGTCGCTCTGTCAGCGGCCCGAGGCAGGCTTCTTCCGTTGGCAAGGTCTCATTGTCCAGTTCCGAAGGTCGCGTCCGTTGTATCTGCCCATACAGCAGCGGCGAAGGTCCGTCGGTCGGTGGCATGGGTGGCGGGTCGTCTGCTAGCTCTGATGCAATCAGCGCCAGTATATCTGCCTCTGCCCACGAATCGAGATAGTGTCGCCCCACTTTCGGTATGACGAAAGGCGCCAGATCTTCTGACTTGACCGCTAAGAACGCCAGATCGTCCTCTCCAAACGTCCTCAGGTACTGCTCTACCCATGGCGAGAACGTCTGCGGAACCAGATGAGTGGGATGACAGTCGCTTGTCTGTGCAGTCTCACCGTGAAGGGAACTTGATTCGTAGTTCTTGCCTTGGAGAAATCCTCGATGACCTGAGATTGACTCGTCGGGCCTCGGCTAAGCGGCAGCAAATCTGGCCTGGACGGTGTGCCGAGTGCGAGCGCGGTAAGGATGGGCGGTAGCAGAAAGTCCTCGCAAACAGGTCGCTGTAGGCTCCAAGATCGTCATCAAGCTAAGAAGCTCAGTCCGTGCACCGACCTTATTGCCGCCTAATTTGAGCTTGACCGCGATGCCACCCGTTGAGCCTTCTCGCTTGCCTTTGCCCGTTTTTTTCAGCAATTGTGTTTGCGACTTCTTCGGCGCTGAGGGAGAGATCAGGAAGGCTCAGCATGCGTCGAGGCGGCGAGTTCACAAGGCGTACCCGCTGCGGCTGTGGCCATTGAAAGGGACACGTCACTATCTTCGTCAGAGTCGTGTATGATCGCTGCGCTCTTCTTCTGCTTCCGTCCGTCTCCATTCAGCCTGTGATCCTTGTCAGCTGAGGAGCGCAAGGATGGCTGTACGTGACTTGCTTGCGCTTCTTGTGCGCAAGCTCGTGTTGAACGAACGCCGGATCAGCTTGCACGTCTTGACTCTTGGCGGCCGGAAGCAGCTCCGAACCGACTGGTCGTGCGCGATCGAGACCATTGGTAGTCGCTGCTTGAGATGGGTGCGCGACTGTGAGTCCCAGGGCAGGAGAGACGACGGCAGAACTTGATGCAGCCGGTCTTTCGACCGAGAGCGTGGCAACAGAAGCATCTTGCCTGAGGGTGCTCAGGCGTGACTCAAGCCTCGACCGAAGTACCGAAAGTTCATCATTGAGCGTACCGAGACTGTTTGAGCCGGGAATTGGATCCGCTGGCACACCGCCGGGCAGTGCCGTCACTGCCGAGAGGCCTTGGGCTAGACGGATCGTGCTGGGCCCAAGCACGACGCTCGCGTACCTGTCCATCGCTACCGAAGGAGCGGTCTGGGCGAGAGAGAACCTCTGAGGGCTGTGAGATCGATGACAAGCCTATCTGTTGCCCATTGTCGATGGTAGAAGCGAGCAGAAGTATGAAGTAGCTCCTCCGTCCTGAAGGGGCGTCGCGGGCTGGTTCGAGTCTCTCCGTACTTCTGGTAGCTACACTACTGGTCACAGACAGTCTGACGGTCGCCTTGATCGACAACAACCTTCCGAGGCTCAGGCGCTCAGGTCCTCTATGAACGTCGAGACGCGTCAAAAGTTAGACTTGTCATTGCGCTCGTGGATGAATAGCGACTGCGCCGTCTGGCACGCCAGAGGGGGCATGCGCACGGAATCTGGCAAGCGAGCAGCGCCCTCCGCGGTACGTAGTGGTCCGCTCGCCCTTGATCACTGGGAGTCGCCAGATTCGCGTCGACTGGCCAGAAAATTGGATCATCCTAGCTCTGCCAGCTCCGCGTCTTCAAGACTTGACAAGCGACCGTCTCACAGCTTGCAACGTGAGCGTGCATCAAGCGCGCGGAGCTATAACCAGCTCCGATCCCAGACGCGGCTAAGCCCTCCGAAGAGCACTGCGCGGCGAGCAAGCAATCCAGCGCCTTCACAAGATCGCCTCCTCTCCAAGATCCTTGGCCGTCTCTTCTGGTTCGGTATGCAAAATGATGGCATAGAAGGTCAGTGCTACGCGTCTGAAGACATCATATGACTCAGAAATACTCAGACGCAACGACAGAGGCAAGCTTGACGGACACGAGACCGCAAATCGCCTTCAGAGACGCACCTATAGACTTGACCATGGACGACACGGACCAAGAAACCGGGCACGGACGGGCAGCTGCACATCCGTATGGTCTGCTCACTAGGCTTCCGCCTCGACGACCGTCGTACGGCCTTTCCACAATCACCGCACATAGATCCGACTTTGTCGTGCCAATTACGGGATCCAATAGCGTGACGAGCTACAAGAAGCGTGAGCCGCTCTTCGTCCACGACGCAAGGCAGCGCAATGCAAACCAGATGGCTACGGCTTTCGAGAGGCTAAAGATGCACGATTCGGAAGTGCACGACTTTGCCACTTATAGAGACCGTGTACAGAAGGTGTCAGAAGACTTCAACGCAGCCTCGCCAAGACCATTGTCTGCAGCATCGAGACGTGCCCATGTCACATATGACGACAAATTCGAGAGCGCACTTTTACGCGCCAAGAGCGCACGTGATGCGCCCCTGCCGCAGCGTAGCTCGCTCGAAGAATTGAGGAAGCTTGACACTCGTCGGAGGCAGCGTCAACTCAAGCGACGGAAGTGGAAGCAAGATCTAGGCGCTGACGAAGCAGAGGTGCGCCTGCTTGATAGGCCTCTGGACCTTATTGACCAGATGGATCCAAAGGTCGACATTCTCTTCAGAAAACGAGGAGTGATCTCGTCCACCTTCGGCGCAGAAGTAGCCGATCGCGATATCGCAAAGTTGCGACCCGGACAGTGGCTCAACGACGAGGTCATCAATTTCTATGGTGTACTTGTCACCGAGCGCAGCAAGAAATGCGAAGCCGCGGGCAAGACAGGTCCGGGCAAGCCTTTTCGCAGGACACACGTCTTTTCGACATTCTTTTTCGCCAAGCTGCAGTCACACCAATATGAGGGCGTGCGACGATGGACGAAGAAAATCGATTTGTGGCAGAAAGACATCATCATCTGTCCAATCAATCTCGGTAACGCTCACTGGACCTGCGGAGCCATCAACATGGCCCAACATCGCTTTGAGTATTACGACAGTATGGGTATGAAGAATGCCAAAGCATACGAAGTTAGTTGGGCCTCGAGAGACTGCGCTTGTGCTCATGGACGTCGCAGTTGTTGCGAGAGTACCTCAAGGCAGAGAGTCTCGATAAGAGGAAGAAACCGATCGATCTGAGTGATTGGCAAGATTACTTTGACTCGGTAGCTTGATCGCACTACAGATCACCCGTCGCTCTCTGACTCACCGCTTTGCAGGGCGCGCCCCAGCAAGACAATGCGTTTGACTGTGGCGTCTTCGCATCGCAAGTCATGGAGACGATCAGCCGCAACAACGTGGGGCTTGACTTTGCACAGCGCAACATGCCCTACATCCGCCGCAAAATGGTACTCGAATGCGCCAAGCAAAGCCTGATCAGTGAGCCCTTCCGCTAAAAGACGAGCAGCGCCCTCTTGGCAGGGAAGCTGTATGTTTCTGTTGTTGCTTGCCATGCGCTGCATCTAGAAGTACATGATACACGGCTATACACGCCCTGCAGTTCGCAACGGTTGTGTCGGTCTTTCTCGAGCGAGGCTTTCGGGATATAGGCCGTGCGTGCGGTCATATGACATGGAGCCAACGCAGGACGAACAGCCAGAAGACAACGATGAGGAAGAGCAGCCAGTAGAACCATCGACCACCTTGCTTGGAGGCCATATTGCCCATCCGCTTTACTGTTCCCTGCAGGAAGCCTGAGGTCTCGCCAAAAGTGTCATTCTGCAAGCTCGGCAGTCTCAGCGCAGGCCATATCGCGGGAGGGCTAAGCCGCTTGCCATGCCTGAGAGCATCTTGGTCGAATCTCTGACCTCATTGCCGATGCCGACAGTGATGTCCTTGAGCATCTTGACCTTTGCGCTCAAGCCCTCGAGATGCTCGTCATTTTGACCTTCCAGGTCGTCTGCAGTCCTGTTGGAAGCATACGAGCTCTCCTGAGCGCTGCCATTGCTCCCTGCGAAGCCTGGCCCGGTCGAAGCGGCATAGGCATAGGGATTAGGAGATGCAGTCTTTGAACGGGCAGCTTGATAATCGTCCGTATAACCGCCCAGAAGCTCTCGCCTCGCCTCTGCATTGACCACAGCGCCTGGTCGGTGCGACAGAGACGAGGCAGTCCCCGCATAGCGCTGCATCTCGCTTACTCAGTGTGACATGAGCCCCTGTCGCGCGGACCTAGCCAGCTTTGCTGATGTGCTCACGTTGCGCTCAGTCGCGTGTGCTCGAGCTTACTCGCGACCATGTGTTCTGCGCGGGGGATGCGGACTCACGCGGTCTCGCGGTCAAGCTGTCCGCTGCAAAATACACACAGATCCTCCGTTAGACAATCAGATTTGCGCAGTCTCTGCATCCCGCTGCTTCTTGGCCACCAATGCCGTCAAGGCAGCACCCACTCCGCTGCCGTCCTTAGCCAAGCCGATGACGATCCTCTGTTCGACGTCGTCGCCCAGCAGCTCTACGAGCGCCCGTCTCATCCTCTCTTCGAAACGAGGGTAGAACTCTGCCAGGCTGCCGTCGACGCCAATGTGGATCTTGCCTGCCGAAGCTGCCTGTCGGTGGGTCTGGAGGATTGTGGCTGCTAATGCGCATGCAGACAGCCGGGCTCCTCGCGTGCCAACGAGCTCCGAGGCACGCCTGATGAGAACCAGATCGGAGTCCTTGATGTGCTCAGGGGGCACGCCAAGGTCTCGCTCGACGACCTTGCGAATGTCTGCAAAGCTAGCGTTGGGTGCCTCGATGGCCGACATGAGTGCAGAGTCGAGACCGTAGTGTGTGCTGATCTGTGGCGTCGCGTGGCCGTCGAAGAGCGATAGATGATCGATGAGATGAAGTATGACATTCCGCGTGACCTCGCCGAGGTACATGCCAGAGATCATCTTCTCGAAGCATTGCCGGCGCGGATTGATGGACTCTCGATCGACCTTGTTGTCATAAGGGGTGACGCGTAAGACTTTACGAGCATTGTCAAACGCTCCCCATTCGGTGTTGACGATCATGTCCTGGCTCGCTGCTGTCGAGTCCTGCAGCAGCCACGCCAAGTTAGCTGATCTGCGACGCTCATGTGCGATTGCGCGCGCGCCTCCTTAAGCTTGGGAATGGATTTCATGCTCTCGACATAGGCGCCATTGGTACCGGTGCCGAAGATGGCACCCACAAAGGCATCCCCGCTTTGGTATGCTCTCGAGAGGAGCGTGCCGACGGTGTCATTGACCAAGGCAGAGCAATGCACATGGATATGCTTCTTGTCGAGTGAAGACTGCAGCAGCCCGACAACGTCATTGCCTGCCGCACCTGATGCTGTGAAGCCCTACAAGAGACCATCAGCTCGATAGGCGCTCGTCTAGACGTGGTCCACCTTTGTCCAGTTGAGCAAGGTTCCCTTGTTCAGCGCGGTCTGGATGACGGGGAACGAGAACGTGAAGCCGAGATAGAGCTTCTCGTCTGCGCTAGCTTGGGTGTCCATCTCGTTGAGAAAGTGGTCGACCGAGTCTGCAATGTAGTCGAACAGCTTAACGGCTGTACCTGTCTTGAGCTCCTCCGAGACTTTGTACTTTTGCTGCCGATTCGTGAATTGGCCGTCGCCCTTGAGCACGATCTCGCACACTCGCAGATTCGTTCCACCGAGGTCGAGCGCGAGGAAGGTGCCTGTCTCGGATCCGTCTGGAACAGCGCTGACGAAAGTGGGTCTGCGCCGCTGCAGATGAGTCGAGTGGACTGCCCCGCGATGATCTTGCTTACATCATGGGCAAGTACTGGGCAGGCTCAGTTGACTTTGCGCCGGAGTCGTGCGCAAGGCCTTGTCTGTATTCCCAGCCAAAGTGATCGGTGATCTTCTGCAGTTCATGCTTGGGCAGGTCGAATTGTCGCTCGAGCTCAGCGAGAAGAGCTGCCGCCTTGGCGTCAAGCAACTCCGCACCTTGAAGCGGAATCAGATAGTCGGGTGATCCGGAAGGCGTCGCCTTGTTCGCCGACATCGTCTCGCCGACAGAGCTGGCAATCCAAAGGCGGAGGAGCCGCCGTGCACGACGTGGGCGAGACGAGGCGTCACGTGACAGAGGTGCGACTGTGACCAGGGCAAGATGCGACCGACCCCTTCTGGTTCGACCGCCCTGCCATGGATCCCCTCGCACGCACAGTCGGCATGTTCCAGTATGCTCGGCCATCAGCACATGCGCCCATCGCCGTCACAGCAACTCGAGCTGATTCTGCAAAAGGTCCTCTCATATCGTCGGCTGACCCGGCGGCCGATCGCACGGTAGACTCACCGACCATCCAGCAACCTGCGCGAGGATCTTCAGTGCGCTCGAGAGGTTGCGAACAGACAGCTCAGAATAGTCTGAGCTCGCCCGCACGAGTTGAGACGGCGTCACCTCTCAAACAGGATTCATTGACCTGCACGACAAATGCAGCAAAGCACGATGCCCCTGCGTCGAGTATCGAGTCGACATCAGATACACGAATCCTGCATGTCCTTCCTAACAGCACGCCAGCGCAAGCGCCGACAGGCAAGAAGCTTTGCGATGCCGCTACGACTGCCAAGGCATCGCTAAGTCCCAGTCCAGGGATGCGTACGAACAGTCCAGCTTACACCAAGGTGGTTGCGCGACCTACTCGCTCGGTTGACTTTCTGCGTGCATGGCTAGGTCAAGAAGGCCTCAACCTGCTCTGCGCGCAAGGCCGGCAAGATGACAGCGGCAAACCTTCGGACATTGCCACGGTCGAGCACATCAATCGCATCTTCGCTACCGCTCATCTACTCTCGAGTGGGATTCAACAAGCCGTGAGCTGTCCTGCAACGTCTCATACACACCTTCGCTAACAAGCGCCTAGTCTGAGGATGCTGAGAGACTGCAAGGAGTGATCGATGAGCGGAACGATCGCCTGGAACAGCTGCAGCACACAATCGGCAAAGTCAAGCAACTTGCCAATGCCAAATTCACGGCCTTATCAAATTCGTATTTCTGCCCTATGTTCGGTACATCGCCCAGCTGACCCCAGCTGGATAGGATCTCTATCTTACAGTCCGAAGGGCAGAAACGATATGCGGCATTGGCCACCGCCTGCCAAAGCTGGAAAGAGCAAGCACAGATGCATGATGTTGGCTCTCTCAGAGTGGAGATACGCGCAGCTCTGCAAGGTGTGTTAACCCTTTCACGGGTTCCAATAAGCTCAGTTGCGGTAGATTGGCGCGACAATCGAGAGAAGCAGCGAAGGAGCACGATAGAGGCCCTCATCCTCGTCAAAGAGCTCGAAGCTGAGCGTGTTCAGCGTGAGCTCAAAAAGTGCACAGTCACTGTGGTCTGACGTACTGACAGGCGACAATGTGCTTGCGATTGTCCGCAAGGAGCTCGAAGACAAATCGGGCCAGCTGGCGGAAGCACATCACAAGCTTGCGACTTTCGAGCAACAGCTCATGCGCATGTGCGAGCAGACAGCTGCTTCAGCAGAGGCTCACCGTCAGTTCGAAATTCTCGCAGGTGCTCCATCGCTCAATGAGAGGGTTATCGCAGAGCTGTCGCACGCTTCTGGCCTCGTGAAGATGAACGAGCTTGTCGCCGTATCTCAGCGCTGCCAGCGCGAAGTGGCCGCTATCATGGTCGAGAAGGTTACACTCGAGCATTCATTCGACGAGTGCAGAACGAAGCGCGTACTCGTCCACAGCTATCTCGTCAGGAGCCCTGACGGGTCTCGATAGGCTGCTCGAGCAGATCGCATGTAATCAGGCCCAGCGTGAGCAGCTCGACGCGGCAAACGTGATGCTCGACGAAACTCATCAACGCGTTCGCACTGCTGAAGACAGGTATTTCATTCTCCCTGCACTTGCAGGGGACCTGACACTACCAGAAACAGAGCCACAAGCATTGAAGAGGAGCACAACCGCTGTCAGCAAGTTCTGAACGCGGCGGAAGTGAACTCTAGGGAACTACGGCACGTGCCTTGAAGCTGCTGTGCGCGTGCTGAACCCCCGAAGCGCAGGGAGAAGCTCGGAAACGTGCAAGGAGAAGTTGCAGATGGCAGAAAAGCTTTGCAAGCCGCTGAGGTTGCCGCGGAATCAGCCAAAGCGGCATCAAAGACCGAAGTCAAGCGTCAGCACAGCCAAATCAGCTCACTCAAGGCTTCGCTCGAGGCTGCAGAGACATGTCGTGAGAGAAGCCAACAGGAGTACGTGCTGCTCATCTTCTTTAGGGCTGCAGCTGAAGGCGATGATAGACTAGAGGTTGCCAAGGTCGAGCTGCAGACTGAATCGCAGAACGCGCAGGTACTTCTCATCGCGTCTTCCTGGACGCCTTGGCTAAATCAACATTAGACCATTCGCGAGTTGCTCTCTGCACGTGATGCCGATATCGAAAGCTGTCACCACAAGATCCTGCTGCTTGAGGTGCGTGCAGTTGCAACACAGTGGCATCTGCTGAGCATATTGCATAGGCTCATTGCCAGAAGCAAGAGACGCAGATTGAAGCCCTGAATCAGCAGCATGCAGAGGCTGACAGAGCCTGGCAAGCGAGCTTTGACGAGGCACACGAATCCTTTGCAGCTTCTCTCTGTCAGAGGGACGCCGCGGCAAAGGCTGTCGAGCTGCAGGTCTCAGAGTCCTCGCCGGTACTGCAAGAGGAATCGGCAGAGACAAGGGAACTCAAGAGCCGGTACGTCGCCAAGGAAAGGGAGCTCGAAGCGCTAACGAGCGAGCAAACCGCGCATCGTGATCGACTCGAGAAAGAGAGGCGAGCCCACCAGGAGGAGGTTTCAAAGGTGGTGGCCCTGGACGGAACGGTCAAGAAGCTCACGACTGAGCTCATGGAAGCGCGCCGAGAGGCGCAAGATGCAGTTGCCAAGCTTGCACGGATCACAAGGGAGTCAGATCGCGCAAGCACTGATTCGACCGGCAACATCAGTCTCGAGAAGGTCCGAACGACGGCGTTCCATGCGGGCCAGTCCATGGCAGCGAAGACGATTGCGCAGAAAGACAACGAGCTCAAACGAGCAAACAATCGAGCGAAAGCTGCCGAGGATCGCATGGAGCTGATGTCTACAGAGCTCAATCGCGCGAGAGGCCGCCCGATGATCTTGCAAGATTCTTCAAATCAGTCGACTACGTCTGCTCCCATATCGTCGTCGCCGCAACCAGCTGACAAAGCACACGCGAACACGACTCGAGCGACCTTCCAGAGCGTTAACATGCGCGCCGTGCTCGAGTCGAATTCCCTTGAAGTCGCTAAAGCAGACGGTGAGCGCGCAGCATGCAGCAGACCCCCGAAGAAGCCCCGTTCGTCTCAACCACATGACCGGGTGCCTCGATCGCCGGCTTCTCCGCGACGTTCGAGCAAGCCGGCTGTCGTGACAGATTACGCTCGCAAATCTCGCGGGGCGGCGCAGAAAGGGCAATGATCGCTTGCTGCCTCGAGCGATGAGCAGGCATCGACGAATGCATAGATATGTCAAGAGAGCGTTGCGAGCAATGCAGAGAAGCCGGCGGTGAGCGCACTATGCAGGATCCACACTGAGCGATATGAGATGAGCTGCTCCGCGGGTTTGTACGATCGATGAGTGCATGACGTACCGCTTTCCATCGTTGGCGTGAGGCTGGCCCTGAGACCTTCGCGATCGCCTGTAGCTATATCGTGCGCAATACCCAGCGTAGTGCTGTCGATGCCACCCCGAAGGGGCTGTCGCGGTTCGATGAGACTAAACAAACAAGTTGGCCACGGAACGCAGCGTACCTGAGCATGCGTGAGTGCAAGTACGGTCAGTAACAAGGCGATGCGGTGCCTCAGGTTCATCGAAAGGTGGCTGCGCCGTGAGCTCGTGTGCTAAGCTGTCCTTACCATCCGAGTCCTCCTGGGAAAGCCAGGGTCCGGTCGGCCTCGAGGCGTGGTGCGTGCGCAGACAATCAGAGAGGTTCGAGCGTACGATGGACCAGTGACGAATGACGTTGAAGCTGTAGAGCATGCAGGCGAAAGGAGCGGGGATAAGGAAGTGGCAAGCGCGCAAAAGGAGCGTGACTGACGTTATCCGCCATCACCGCACACCGGCCCGAAGCATGTCAAAGTCGTACTACATCGGCGTCGACGTCGGCACTGGATCCGCGCGGGCAGCCCTCGTGGACACTACCGGCGAGATCTTGGCCGAGTCGGTCTATGCCACGACGACTTATCGAGACGAGAGAAACGCCGACATCTTTGAGCAGAGCACGAGCGAGAGCAAGCTATCCCGAGCTTGTTGTCTGCTCGCCGAGCTGATGTCCCGAGCTTGACAGTCTGGCAGTCGATCTGCAAGGCTTGCAAAGATGTGCTGGCCGAGGCAAAGATCCCCAAGGAGCAGGTCAAGGGGATTGGCTTTGATGCCACCTGCTCGCTCGCGGTCTCTGATCTCAAGGGTGAGCCCATGTCTGTGACTGCCGATGAGTGGGGCGTCGGAGATGCAAAGCACAACATCATCCTCTGGGCAGACCACAGAGCAGTCGAAGAGGCAGCGACCATCAATGCCTCAGGCTCAATGGTCCTCAAATATGTCGGGGGGACCATGTCGCTCGAGATGGAGATCCCCAAAGTGCTCTGGTTGAAGAAGCACATGCCCCAGGAATACTTCCGACAGAGCATGTTCTTTGACCTGCCGGATTTCCTCACCTATCTCGCTACCGGCGACCTGTCGCGCTCCAACTGCTCGCTGGCCTGCAAGTGCTCGTACGTACCTCCCGGCGTCGAGGGAAGCGAGGGCTGGAACAAGGAATTCTTCCACAAGATCGGACTCGGCGAGCTGGTTTGTCGCCCCTTCGTCGAGCAGGGAGCGTGTCTGACTCCTGAGCGCAGGCGGAGGATCAGTTCAAGCAAGTCGGCGGCATTCCCGGCAAGACTGGTCTCATTCTCACCGCCGGTCAGCCCGTCGGCAAGGGCGTGTCTGCTAAAGCAGCAGAACAGCTCGGTCTTGCAGAAGGTACACCGGTCGGATCAGGCGTCATAGATGCCTACGCCGGTTGGGTCGGCACAGTCGGCGCAGACATGCCCGATCTCAAGGGCAGTGAGAAGCCGAGTCTGGACGAATCCCGCCATCGACTGGCTGCCATTGCCGGCACCTCAACCTGCCACATCGTGCAGAGCGACAAACCAGTCTTTGTCCCGGGAGTATGGGGCCCATACCTGCACGCCGTCTTCCCTGGGTGCAAGTCAGTCGCTCTGCTTGATCCCCCGGCTGACAGGTGCTTGCAGTCTGGATGAATGAGGGCGGCCAGTCATCGACGGGCCAGTTGATCGACTTCATGATCGATACCCATCCTGCCGCAGACCGTGTAAAGGCGATTGCCAAAGAACGAAAGACGAACCATTTTAGCATCCTGCAAGAGATCTTGGAGACTACTTTGAAGACACAGAGAGCATCTTTCCTCACCTACCTGACCAAAGACTACTACCTCTATCCAGACCTCCACGGCAATCGGTCGCCACTTGCCGACAATCAGATGAAGGGCATCCTCGTCGGCATGAAGCTCGACAAGACCGTCACCGATCTTGCACTCCGTTACTTTGCCACACTAGAGGCCATCGCACTGCAAACACGTCAGATCATGGACGAGATGAACAAGAATGGTCACGAGATCACCTCCATCTTTATGTCAGGTGGGTCCATACGTGGTCGTTCCTGCGTGATGAGCTCATGCACGGATCTCGACAGGCGGCCTGGTCAAAAATCCGCTACTGATGCAGCTGCTCGCCGACATCTGTAACGTGCCCATACAGCTGCCCTTTTCACATTCTGCGTCTGTCGTGCTGGGAAGCGCCATGCTCGGTCGCGCGGCGGGTGACGAATTCGCCGCGGACAGCTCGAGCATCGCGGATCAGAAGACAGCCGAAGATCGTTCGCACGGCATGAAAGATCGTCTCTGGGGCATCATGGCAGGTCGTCCAGCTGACCCGGATGCTTTGAGCTGACTCGACGCGCAGAGTGAGATGTCCCGGCCAGGCTCGACGGTGACGCCGAAAGCGGGCGAGCAGGAGAAGAGGTTGCTGGAAGTGAAGTACAAGATCTTCAAGCAGCTCATAGATTCACAAAAGCTGTGGCGTCAGGAAGTGTCCGACGCCCTTGCTAATTAGAACAATGCACGAGCACGCGAAGTGCGCCCCGGGCCGGGCTGTGTCTGAGACAGGCGAGACCCAAGTCGCGCGACTGGAAACACACAGACAGGACACTGCCGAGCGGCCATGAATGCGACAGCCCACATCCTGCCGGAGGGCATGTTGAGCCGGTTCAGCATGGAGCTTGACGAGCCTTCCAAGTACACGCTTGCCCAGCAGCCGATTGCGATGATGAGTCTCGACAGACGGCGGAGTGACAGCGCCCAGGAGGATGACGAGAGCTACGAGCGGCGAAGAGACGCTGGGAGCATAGCAAGGACGGTCTTTGAAGCTCTGAGGGCGCACACCAAGTTCATAGGCCCAGGCATCGTCATGTCGGTTGCCTTCATCGACGTAGGCAACTTTGCCTCTGCCCTTGGCGCCGGTGCCTCAAAAGGCTACTCGCCGCTGTTCGTCATTCTACTGGCGTCGGTGATGGCCATCTATGTCCAGATACTCGCTTGTCGACTCGGTGTCGTCAGCGGCCTCGATCTGGCGCAGCACTGCCGCAGGTCTCTCTACAACCGGCCAACGTACACGATGGCCTACCGCTCCTTGATGTATCTGCTCTGGTTCATCAACGAGGCCGCCATCATCCTCACAGACTTGGCCGAGCTGCTCGGCTCGTCCATCGCGATCAATCTCATGGCGCCCGCGATACCACTCTGGGCTGCCTCGTTGATCTCATTTGCCGACGTTGTCATTGTCTTGTTCTTCTTCAGCGACTTTCCCTCCAGCCATGTCAATCGATCCGTTCATGCTTTCGAACTGGTCGTTGGTAGCATGGTTCTGATCGTGTTCGTCTGCTTCATCATCCTGACCGCGCGGATACAGCCTCACTGGGGCGATGTCTTCAAGGGCTATCTCCCTTCGTCGAATATCATCAGGGACGATGGCCTGTACATCTCTGTGGCAATCATCGGCGCCGTCGTCATGCCGCATTCTATCGTGCTTGGCTCGAAGCTTGCCACGATCGATCGAGGCTCAACGGAGGGGGACAAGACTAAATTGGAAGCCACAGACGGCCTGCAATCAGAGCCAGTGCAATCTGGCCGCCATCTCCCGGCGCTGCATATGCCAAATCCTCGCACGATTCCGCAGGGCTTGACCTTGCCTTCTGCGCGTTCGGCCGGCAAGACCTCGCGCTTCGGCTTTCTCGAGCGGACGACAGAGCCTCGCGCAGATCGGGCGCCGACCATCGAATTCGTGCGCTCGCATCTACCGCATGTCGCAACAGATATTGCGCTCTCGCTCATCGCATTCGCTCTTGTCATCAATTCGCTCATCCTGATCGTCGCAGGCGCAGCTTTTTATCATCCGCTGGCTGGGCAAACAAGTGACGCAATCCAGGGCGTGCAGGATGGCAATCTTTTCAGTGCGTACGGCCTGATACGTGACACCATCGGCAAAGCTTTCGGCTACATCTTTGCCATCTCTCTGCTTTTCAGCGGCCTATCAGCCTCGGTGACCGCTACGCTAGCCGGACAAGTCGTTGGGGAAGGCTTTCTCAATCTGAAAGTGCGGCCGTTCGTTCGAAGGCTCATCACGCGTGGCATCTCGATCATACCGGCGATCGTCGTCTCCGCGAGTGTGGGTGCTAGTGGCTTGTCGACGTTGCTGGTAGCAAGTCAAGTCGCACTCAGCTTGATCTTACCCTTTGTCATCTGGCCGTCAGTCGCTCCTTCGTCGTGTCTGAATTGGCGTTGACGTGCTCTACACAGTCTCTTGTGCTTCACCTCGAACGCCGATATCATGACCATCTCCGACGGATCGACAGCTGCACCGACAGCAGAGTCATCCACTTCTCATGGGCGATTCAGGAACGCTCTGGCGCGACTCGCGCATCCATTTGCGCCGGCGAGTAGTAAGCCTGGAAGAGCCTCGTTCGTCAATTCGCCGGCCGTCATCATCATCGGATGGGCGATATGGGCGATCATCTGCATCTGCAATCTGTACGCCCTCACACAAATATAGACCATTGCTTTATACGTCGCGATCAAAAATCACTTTGCTGTTGTTTGCATGTCTCCCTTGCTCCTGCCCCCACAAGCGCTTGCAGCAGCCTGTCGGAGGGGCTTTGCAAGCAGTCGGATCACAATGGGACAGTTGGAAGACACGATGCGGGCCAAGGCAAGCCTGCCGAGCTGACAGAGTCTCATGAGCTCAGACAGCACGCAGCTCACAAAGCGGTTCCAGCCCGAGCAGCTGCGCATCACGAACGACTCGGCTGCTCACGCCGGTCACGCTGCAATGCGAGCGCCGGGCGCTGCTACGGGTGAGACGCACTTCACCGTCGAGATTGTCAGCGATGAGTTCGATGGCAAGGTGGGCACGCAACGCTTCAGCGCATCGGCGCCATCTAGCTGATCACTGGGGAGGCAGCGCCAGATGCAGCGGCATCGGCTCGTCTATGAGGCACTCTCCGATGAGCTCAAGGCGGGTCTGCACGCCCTGGTGCTGCGGACAAAGACGCCCGCAGAGATGATCAAGTCGTAGAAACTGCAATGCTCCCGTCGAGATACAAGCTGCGGGCAGACAGCTACGCTCATAGTCTCGCACTGACGGCGGGCGCGGAGCCCGGTCGATCTAGAAACTCGCCGATACCGGATGCCCAGAAGGCGACATCGAAGTAGTCAAAGAAGTTGTGCCCGTAGCGCGTCGAGGGGGTCTTGAACGACTCTGCATGTGCTATGCCTGCAAGCACGTCCTTGCGCTCGCTGTAAAAGACTGCAATGTCTGCCTCGCCATGGATGACGAGCACGGGCAGGCTGGGTGGGATGTGTCTGATCGCCTCGCGGATATCCCAGCTGGCGATGGCGGCAGCCTGGGTCATGATGACAGCGGCAGGTCGCCTGATGGCCGCAGCATCGAGCACCCTCCGCCTGAGCATCTCTGCATTGTCGGCGTCGTCCAGCCAGACGGGATCGTAGCACGCGCGCACAAAGGGCTCGACCTGCGCAATCTGCTCGGCCTGGCTCATCTCCGATTTCGGCTTCGATGGCGGGGGACCGCCGGCGCTGATGAGTCTGCTTTTCGGATTCTTGCTGCTCGTGGCGCAAAGGATGAGATGCTTGATCTCAAAGGGCAGGTTGGGCATGCAGACCACGGTCTGGGCGATCATGCCGCCCATCGAGAAGCCCAGCAGATCGATCGTCTTCCAGCCGAGATGGGCGACCAGTTCGGCTACGTCAGACGCCATGTCTTGGACCGTCCATCCCTCGTCGCGTAGCTCTTTGCTGCCCTGGCTCTCGCCGATAAACCGGTTATCAAAGACGAGGACAGGCCGTTCGTCCGCCAGACGCTGGTCGAATGGCCACCAATCTACGAGGCCAGATGCACTGAGGCCTTGGATCATGACGAGTGGTCGAGCGGACCGACGAGTCCGTGGCTTGCCTTCATCGCCGACGCTGCCCGTGCCGCGCTGAGCCGGTCCGACGGGCTGCAGAGATGCGTTCGAGTCCGTGAGATTGTTGATGCCGATGTCTGTTATGCGCTGCCTTGCATCGTCGCTCGGAGACAATAGAGATGTGCCGAGTACCCGGTAGCCGAAAGTGATGCCATGCTTCGACGTGTAGTACTGCGTCTCGGTAGCCCCCTGTTCCGGTGTGGAGACCTTAAAGCTCATCCCGACGGACCAGTGTGGCGAGGCGGTCAAGCTCGAGCTCGGCCAATGCAGCGTGTGATCGCCGGCGGGCAAAACGCGCAAAGGACGAGTTGGCTAGCGCGCCGAGTTGAGTCTAGTCAGTCAGACGTCATGTTGGGCGCCTTTGCTAGCACGCAAGTGAGATGCGGAGGTCTTCTGTGGAAGACGCCGTGGCGCATGTCAGACAGTCGCAAGGCTAACGTGAGGAAGCGCCTAAAAGCGGTCGATCAAGTCATCAGCGTCGTACGAGCCAGCGGCATTCAGACTGATGCTCTCGCAAGTCTCGGGTGGTATCCGATGACGTCTCAGGCTGACAAGGTAGCGCTGAGCAGACGAGAGCGCTTGCCCTTCCGAGAGAATGCGAGATGAGTGCGAGGGACAAGTACACTACCTTTTGCAAGTCCTCGCCTGGCCATCGCAAATCGCTTCACAAGGTCAGGCAGACTACAGTGCGAGTAGTAGTGCAGCGCTCAGACGAGGTGCAGGTCCCCAAGTTTACGCGGATCACTCGCCGGACGAATCCAGCAGGCTTCTAAGAAGAGATGCTGCTCTGCAAGGGGCCTTTTTGTTGTATGTATGCATGCAGATCGATCAGTACAACACCAGCTTGAGCTTGCCTTGCTCCAGCCGTTGGCTGACGCGAGGATCCTGCAGCACGTTCTTGAAGAGCGCAGCGCGCACCTCAGGCAGATCGAGCATCTGTCGATTTTTTGCATCTCTGAAAGAGCCATCGAGGACGAGGAAGGAGCACGACGAGAGCTGCAAAGAGTCTGCAAAAAAGTCATCAGCACCTACCTCACCTGAGCAGATGCAGCACAATCACACGGACCTGCATGGAGCAGCTTTCCCACGCGGTCCGGAGTGCCGCTAGCGATGGTGAAATCTGTGGACTGACACCATTTGACATGCTCGTCCAGCTTGAAATGCTTGCCGAACAGCTTTGCAACCTTGACGTCGCCGGCAAGAGGTCTCAAAGCTCTGCTTTCGGGCGTCAGTGAACGTGGACGGTTTCACCGAGTGGTTCAGACGAACCGGGTCAAATCTGCTGCTCTCAGGGCTGCGCCTGCGAGGACGATGATGCGAGGCGATCCTTTGCTTTTGGGTAGCTTGGACAGCGAAGCGAGGTGGCTTGCAGCGAAAGCCCTGATGAAGCTTGTCAGAGACGCGTAGGCTTCGTCTGCAAACGCAGATGTGTCTTGGAGACAGCGTTCTGCGAGAAGCGAGGGATCCAGTCAGCTCGCCGTGCGCGTGTGACAGGAAGATCGATTGACCCGAGACTCTGCAGCTGTCACGCTCGAGATCACTCAAGTTCGGCAGCGCTTTGAGTTGCTTCTCTGCCAGCAAGTCGGCCTGCAGTGAGGGCGGCAGACGAGCCAGCGCGGCGCCAAGCCGTTGCTCGCTGTCCAGAATGACGGCTCGCTCCTGCTGCCGCCTTTGCTTGGCTTGCCTGAGCTTGAGCTTCTTGGCCTCCTTCCTATCAGGCTTGACTCGCTTTGCTTCGGCCTGTTCTACAGGCTCCTGAGACTGTCTTCGTTTGCCCTGCTGCTTAGGCGACAGGTCTGTCTGGTGTAGGGCATCTTCGTAAGCAGCAGCGAGCAGGGATGCAGCCTCTTCGTCGACGATCTCCTCATCAGCAGCCTTGCTCGATGACGCAATGACATCCTCGTCTTCGAGCACATAATTCTCCTCTAGGTCATCGCCCCCGGTCGTCTGCTCTTTGTCTGTCACAATCGCTCTGCCAGTGGCCGTGTACGACTGCAGACTGCGCTCTGACATGGCACTCGTGCCGGCTCCACGTCCGACAGCAAGGCTCAGTCGCCAGCGCCAGCAGTCAGTGACTTGACAAAGAGCGCGTACCCTGCTTGCCAGCTCCCCGCCGATCCCCATGACTGCGGCCTACTTTGACTCGCTCGATGATCTGGCAGCATGGCATGCCACACATGCGCCAGTTGAGCACCTTGACTCATATCAGACAGCCCGAGCATATGACCCTTCAGTCCCAAGAACTCTCGTTTGCCATGACTTCAGGGGCGGCTATACCGAACAGCTCGACCGGCGCGACTATGTCTTCCATTACTGGCATCTCATCGACATCTTCATCTAGTCAGTCTCGGTCTCTCAGTGATCCTCCCCAAATCCCCTGACCGTCGCCCTGCGCGTTGCTTCCAGCTTTTCTCATCACCGGGTCTCCATTCCTCCCGCTAGCTTGATCGCCGCTGCCCACAAACGAGACACCAAGGTGCTCGGCGTCTTAGTCTTCGAGCACGAGGCAGGCCAGGAGGACGCGCGAAAGCTCGTCCAAGGCTCGAACGAGCGTTCATCTCGGCTCTTACGTACAAACGCACGACGCGACAATCCGTTCGCGACCGTCTCGATCGAGCATGCCGATCAGCTTATCGATCTCGCCATCTGCCATCGCTTCGACGGATATCTGCTCAACGTTGAGATTGACCTCGGCATGCACGGGCGGAGTCACGCACGCGAGCATGCTGTCGCGCTCCAGGCTTGGGCCGAATATTTCTCGAGTGAGCTCAGACGGCGCATCCCAGGCGGAGAGGTCATCTGGTACGATGCAGTAACCTCCACCGGCGCTTTGCGCTGGCAAAATCGACTGAACGACCTGAACCGCGGATTCGCCGACGCATGCGGCGCAATCTTCACGAATTATCACTGGTCGCCCCCTGATCTGGCCGCAGACTCACGAGAATTGTCTCACAGCACGCGGACTCCTCAGCGACTGCTTGCAGGGAGCGAGATCCCAGCGCTGGCTCCCAGCAATGTCTTTTGTGGCATCGACGTCTGGGGACGAGGCCAATACGGCGGAGGCGGTCTCTCGACACACCTAGCAGCGGCTGCCGTAAGTGCTGCACAACTTTCGATCGCTCTCTTCGGTCAAGCCTGGACATTCGAGTCATCCGAGCTCTTCCCAGACGGCGTACAGGATTGGTCGACTTGGCAAGAGACAGATCAGCATCTCTGGCTGGGAAGTGGTGCAGATGCACAGGATGAGCCTGCGCTCGCTTTACTCGAGCGTGAGCGTCGCAAGGAGCTGTACGAACGCCTGTCCGAGCAAGAGCGGGCGCGATTTGGAGCGTGCGACGTACCGCATCGACCTCTGTCGGCATACCTGACGGGAAAGCCGATAGACATCCGAAAAGCCGGCTTTGTTGCCACTGGCTGCCTCGGCTCGGGCAAAGCATATTGGCATCGCGGCGAACCTGTCTGGCAGCCGACGCGTGGCTGGACCGAGCCGAGCCTTGCATCAGCGTTCCCCAGCTTGGCAATTCCTTGCAGAGCTCGGCAGACCCATCTGGTAGCATTCGATGATACTGTAGCCTGGTCAGGTGCTCAGTCCCTGCTCGTCCGGGCCAGAGCGAGCGACCAGCCCATCAAAGTAGCGTGTTACTCCGTCTGGTGCGATTCAGCTTCGCTAGCCGCATTCGTCATATGGCAAGGGCCATGTGAGGTCCTGCCATATCTAAGCGGATTCACTGCTGCGCCGAACAGGGCTTGGAAAGCCGACATCGCTCACAAGGGCTGGCAGATCTCGAGAGCAGAATTGGGCGCTCGGCAATCCCAAGTCACGACTTCATGCGAGCTAGGCGTCACTGTCACCGGACAGGCTCCCTTTCACATCGGAGCATTAGCGATAGGCAAATCGGACGAGCTCGACGCGCTTCTTGCAGAATGCACAACGCTACCAGCCACGATAGCTCAGCAACTCGATCGACCGGCAACAAGCTACAGTCTGGCCGAAGGCGCTGGCTGATCTGCGGCTGGTGATAATCCGACAGCACGAGCAGCTTGCTGAGCTGGACCGTCAAGCCAATGCATGATAGCATCGACGACCGCTTCGGTCTGCCCATGGAAGTTGTGGTTGGCGCCTTCTATGAGTGCTAGTGAGCATTTCCCGTTCGTTCTCTTGTTCAGTACCTCGCTATATATTTTACCATCTGGGCGTCCGCATGAGATGAGGTTCAGATGAGGCCTGGCAGGGCAGCGGCAGGGATTGCGCACCTTCCACCGGCACGACCTCGTCGGAAGTGCCATGTACGATGAGCACATGTGTTTTCTGCTCACTGTGATCAGAGGAGAGTGACCTAGCCTGGCCGAACGTGAGCGTACTTCGGGAAATTCGGTCTCTACGTAGCGCGTCGGTATGGCAGCAAAAGTGTGCATGTCTTCTGGTCGGATCTGGGTCGATCCGCTCAGCCGTCCGTAGAGACTAGTGCAAGCGATCTAGCTTACCTCGACCGAGACCTGCTGACCGGCGACCCGTAGGCTGCGCACGTGAACGCCGTCTTTATCGAAGCCGTCTTTGTACAACGGTAGGAGATCTGTCGCATTCTAAGTATCCCGAGCGGAGCGCGCAGATGACACGCACCCCAGACGAGATCCATTCGGATCCGACCGGATATCTCGACGAGGAGAGGTATGCTGGGGTCCTTCTTGGTGATGTAGCGCAGAGATACAACGCCGCCGCGAGAATGGCCGACGACTGACTCGTCGGGGACAATGAGCTCAGCTCGCTTTCGGGTCAGACAGTGATGATGGCGCACCCATCTTGACGACATAGCCATATGTCTTTTGCAGGTAAGGCACGATGACGTCTAGATCGACGAGATCCTCCTCGAAATTGGACATATTCCAGACGCCCTTGGTCTCTCCGTTTGCGCGAAAGTCGGGACGATAGCTGTCTAAGCCTCTCGCTGCGAGCTTGCGTGCTAGTGATTTGTGATAGGACTGATTCTTGTGCGCTGCCATGCCATGCCAGGTCAGGCAGGCTCGCATGCCCCGGGCAGTCTGCTTACCGAGTGATCCGTGCAATATCAATGCCAGAGGGGCGCCTCTCCTGTCTGTCGAAGCTTCGGCTTGCTCGAGAATGCCCACGAGCTCCGGCGTGACATCTCCGCCCTGTGGGAAAGGTATGCTGATCCGAGTCGCCACTGTCGACATGCTTGCCGGCGTGGAGTCAGCCTGAACGAACGCTAGCCGGTCGCGCGTGGCCACGTGTCGATCGTGTCGAGGCATTCTTCGATGGGACAGCGCCAGGGGGTGGCATGAGCAGGGACAGAATCCGTGTCAGAGCTTCTGGACGGAAGGCCTGGGTCGGCTATGATAGGGGTTGGAGCATCAGCCAGCTCAGACTGGCCATCGCGGAGCAAATGGGCGCAAGGGCAGACTGCGAATTGCAACTACAAGGTGACGACGAGAGCCTGTCCGGAGAACAGCCTGCTTAGCCTTTGACTCCTACATAGGCTTTGCATTGCTCGATCGATCGACTTGCGACATCATTGATAGCTCGAGAGATGTACTGGATCTGAAGACAGCTCAGGCTTCAACGGCCCCGTCAACGAGCAGAAAGAGGCTGCGACTTGTGGTGCAAGACGCAGCGACAGATCAGCATGGCCAGTCACCAGCCAAGCCGTTGACAGGCCCGGCGAGAGCGCTCAACGGCAGCAGCAGCAGCAGCAGCAGCAGCAGCAGCAGCGCGAGCTCAACCAGTAGCGCCTCCAGCTCTGACTCGAGCGAAACGCCAAGCTCATCCGACTCCGGCGGCTCTTCTTCCGATGTCGATGTCACGATAGCGAGGAGTGAATCATTGCAATCGAGTAGCCCTTCCGACTCGTCGGATTCCTCGCCTTCTCGCGCCAGTGATGCTCTCGCAAGAGCCAAGCGTACCGCCATCGCCAGCCTAGCCAGCCTAGACGCATCCGCACGAGATTCCGGACCGGCGGAGGGTCCGAAAATCCCTCGGGAGAATGGGCAGGTGCCACCAGGTCAGTGGCCGCCCAGAGCGTGCGGTGCCCCACTGACCGTCGGTGCAGGACAGGGCAAAGCAAAGACGCGAGCCCGCAATGCGCGCAAGAAGAAGAAGCTACAACACGATCGCCTGATCACGGGCTCCCTGCAGGTCCACTCTGGATCACCGCTGCCTATGACCGCTCCTACAACATGCGCGGCGATCGGCAAGACACTGCCTGTCCTCTTTCATGCCCATCCATGGCTGCCGCCCTCATTGCGAGACGATCTGCCGCCACACATCTCAGTCGTCTCCCTCGACGTCGAAGCCAGAGATTTTGTGCCTGGGCAGCTACAGCCCGACTTTGTTCCTCAGCTGGCTCCCACTAAGCACAAGCGCGAGAGCGTAGCCAGCAACGGGCACACAGAGGCGCCCCTGGCAGAGATCGAGCAACTTTATGCGCAGATGATGCCAATTGAGCCTCACCTCCTCGAGCAGGGTATGCGCATTGCGGTCAAAGTACATCTCCATAATATTTCTATGCTACATACTGACGCTGGCGCTGCAGAATGTCGAGCTCGATGCGGAAAGCTGCATGCCCATCGATATACTTTACGCGGGCACGGTGGCCTGGGTCGAGCGAAAGGTCGCTGCCCGGCAGGACTTGATACCCACCAGCGCAGGGCAGGCGACGGCATACGCAACGGAGACGAAGTTTGGCCTCAGACTGGGCGACGCAACTCTGAGTCGCCTTGCAGCCTCGTTCGGAGTCGAGAGCGCCGAGCAGATCGACGAAGAGGGCGAGCTATCCGGCAAGGTCCGCTTCGGTCAAGACGCACTCGCGAGCCGCGCGACACAGAGCATACGCGAGCTACTCGACATTGATGAAGCCGATGTCAAGACGTTCGATTGCGATCTCATTCTCTCTGGAAGGCTGCTGCCCTAGTCTCTTACGACTTGCGGGGCAGCTCGAGCGTCCCGGATCTGCCATTCGGCTTTCGCGAGGACAAAGCCTGTGGCGCAAGTCCCGGCTTCAAGGCAGGAAAGTCGTCTGCCATCCGTTCGGCCAGCAGGTCTCGATAGGCCTGCAGAAGCATCAGCACGGCAGGGATCCCTCTCGCAGCTGAGCATACCGCCAGACTGTCGAGCTGGCCCTTTGCATACTGGTTCTCTGACGCCGCGCGGTCGATGTGAGCTTTCGTCAGGAGGTCGGGGTTCTTGTTGGCATCGAGAGCCCTGCAACGCTCGATCAGCGCATGTATGCCCTGCGCATTGAGCTGGCTTGCTTGATGATGGCGAGCGGAATGAGGCGATGACTGAGGTCCGAGGTGCCTGCTGAAGCCGATAACTGTGCGAGTGACTCTGTGAGCTCATTGCTGGCTTTCCGACATCAGGGCCGCAGTGAACAGCTAGGCAAGCAGGCAGTCTCGTACATCTTGGATCCGATCAGTCCGCCCGACATGTCCTTCCATGGCGGCTCGCCTGTGCCTTCGACTGCCGCTGGATCTACATCAGCAGCGCCTGTCCGCAAGTTCAGCTCTCGCTTCACAGTCCTGTCGGGCAGCTCGACGGACAGATGCCTAGCTCGAGCAAAGTCTGGAGAAGGTCCTGCACGACCATCTCCACATCGCTGACGCTGCTCGGTCCATCCATCGATCGATGGCAGGCAGTGGATAGATAGGCCAGCTAGCTGCTAGCAATACGCGACCCTGCAGGCCCTGCAACGGCCGCTCATCGCTCGGTCGCCCTCATGAGCGAGGCCAAACCTGATCCTGCCTCAGAGGAGCACTGGGATCCGCTAGCCTTCCAGACAGAGCTCGATGCAGCGTTTGCCTCTCGCCGTGCGCTCGTTGACTCGTGGATACCGGACACCTATCTAGCAAAGCATGGACGACAGAGCGCAGATGGCCCCCCGCCTGCTCTCAGCACAAGACCTGCCAAGTGCGCACACAGAGCATCGCTTCGCCGTCTGCTCACAGCTCCCTTACAGACTCGGCTTGGGTGCAATCCCGGCTAAAGGGTCAACTCTACCCCAAGCAGAACTCGCCAAGAAGCTCCTGAGGCCCGCAGAGAGGACACGCCTGGGCGTCTTCAGGACCGATGCATCCGGAAGTAAGCAGAGCACGAGCAGCAGCACCCTGTCGGCTGCCATCGAAGGTGGAGATCAGAGCAGCGACGAAGAGAGCAGTCGCGCAAATGCAATCAAGCCGCGCCACTTGGCGTCATCGTCGGCTGCCAATGGACACCTGAGTGCCAAGAACAAGCCGATCCCAGACCAGCAGATCGGACAGACCTCTTTGCCGTCGAAAGCCAAAGACGCCCTCGGCTCGCCCGAGACAGCCGGCAACCGGGAACCGAATGAGCCCGCCCTCTTTGCAACTCCGTCGCCGCAAAAGCCAGTTCCGACGCGTGAAGCACCGTGGGGGGTTGCGACCGTACCTACCGGCAGCTTCTATGGCGCTCGACCCCCGAATCTGGCATCAAAGTACGCAATCGACGCTAGCCTGCATGGAAAGGAACGCAAGAAAGCCCAAAAGGCAGCGCGCAAGGCACAGAAGCAAGCTGCGCGATCCCGTGCACAGCCTAGCAGTGCAATGCTTGACGAGCCACAGCCAGAGACCTTGCAGCCCTCGCCGAGCAGCATCCGATCTGCAGACTTGACGGAAGCCAGCGTTCGTGATGAGCCTATCTCGAAGAGCAAGGCAAGACGAGAGAAGCGCAAACAGAGACGAGATAACAGCCTCGAGATGAAAAGACAGCGTCACGAATGAGGGCTCGATGCAATACATCTAAGTCGCACTCTGAGCCTCCTGCCTTTCTGCGGCGGGCACGGCCGAGCTAGCGGCAGTGGCATCGCTCTTGAGCAGCTTGAGCCTGGCGTCGAGGATCATCCGCGTCTTTCGGTCTCTGACAATGTCTTCTCTGGATAAGTCCTTGCCAGCTGTCGCGGCAGTGGCGATGCTCTGTCCTGATCGCCAGGCATCTTCTTCCGCTTTGGCTTTTGCTTCCAGTCCATACTTTCTCAGCAGATTTGCTTGCGCGCCGGACGGAGACGATGATGCTGTGCTCGCTGGGCGGTTGCGGGCTGCTGTCGCTGCCGCTTGTGCCGTTGTACCTAGAATTGGCGTCGGCCTGGGCGGACCGTCTGCAAAGAAACTTGCAGGCGGCTGCAGAGATGAGTGTGAGCGCATGTTCGGCCGAGAGAGGAGCGAGAGAAGGTACCTCTGGTAGCCGCCCTTCCCTCAGGATTCGCTCGCAGGTCGACTCGACACTGCCGCCCTGTCTTTCGAGATCATACTTGATCGCTGCCAGCGACACCTGTGGGAACATCGCCTGGACCTGTTCGATCTCGCTCTGTCTGACCTGTCGCCTGCGGCCGCCTCTGCCATCGCTCGCCGTTGTTGCACCGGCTGAAGCTGCTTGACCTGTGGACAGACATCAGCTCGCTGTATGACGTGCCTGACGAGGCTGTGCGGACTAGTGAAGTAGCGCAGCGCCACAAAGAGTACGCCGGCTGCAAAGAGCGTCACGCCGATGTTGGAGAAGCCCTCGTCCATGGCTGCCGGAAGGGATGGTCACTTGTGATCTTGGCTGGCTGTCGGCTGTCACGTCACGCGTCGGGCACGTCTGCATGCTTATATACGCTCGCGGGCGTGCTCAGGCAAAGTAGGAGCTCATGGATCATGTTCCTGCCCTGAGATGCCCTTCACAGTACAGATCGATCGATGCAACAGAGTCGGCTGACACGACGTTCTACTGGTACTTTACCGTGATATGAACGCCCTTGCTGACTTGGAACTGATTGAGTGCCTCCAGGGCAACAGCTGCGTGTGCAGGAGACTCGTAGACGATCTGTCCGATGCCACGTACGATTCTCGCACCTGTGAGTCCGGCATATCTGGCAGAGCGCGTCAGGAGACGGGTGCAAAGGACCAGAAACAAACGAATGCTTACTGTTGAAACAAGAGCCTGAGCGAGTCTTCCGTCGTCTCTTGCGGCAGGCCATGGACGGCCAGGATATGACTGGAGGGGCGCTGGGCCGGTTGTCCGTTCGCCGCAGCAACGTCTGCTTCCTCCTTGTCCGAGTCCTCCTGCATCTCCTCCTCGCCTCCGTCGGCGACCGTCCTTGGCTTCTTGGCTAAGCCCGCGCTCGGCTCGGTCTCATCATCGCCGTCGTCGTCCTCATCTTCCTCTTCTTCGTCCTCCTCCCCTTCCACACCCGCTCGGCCAGCCCGTTTCTTCTTGCCCGCCTCTTCGTCTCTCTGTCGTTTGCGGGTGGTTTCCTCCCTGTTCTGAGCGTCAGACACGACGAGCTTGCCCTTGCGCTTGTTGGCGGTTGCTTCCTCCTGGCTCTTGATGATGCCCATCTTGATCTGATAGAGCACGTCCTTGCCAGACTCTCTCTCGATCGTCGCATGCGATTTCGTCTTTGCGTAGCTGATCCTCATGGGCTGTCCGCAGAAGATAGCCCCGTCCTCTCGCCGTCTTGCGGTCGTGGCTGATGTCAGGCTCTCGTAGACGACGAAGGCCTGTCCTCGCATCTTGGGCCCCTTGAGGGCGACGACGTCGAGGAGGTGGCCGTGGACAGAGAAAAGTGAGTGTAGCAGCCTCTTGAGGTCCTCCTTCTTGATGCTCGCGTCCAGCCCTTGCACGTACAGCGTCGTGTTGGGCGGCAGTGTCGTTCCTACCGAGTCTGCTGCTGCCATCCTTGCTGGCTCGTCTCTCGCTCTCTGTCGATGATCAGCGTCAGAGCCAAAGCCAAAGCCGCCGAAGTCTCGACAAGTTTGAATTAATTCAGTCGCGTTGGCTGCTGCTGTCGTGTCGTGTCGTGGCGCCGCTTGGCCTGCCAGGTCGAAGGAGAGTCCTGCTCGAGCGAGCATGGACGTCCTCAAGCTGACTCGGGTACGTGAACGAGCGAGCGAGCGAGCGAGCAGATGGCGCCAGAGCTCACCTCCTGCCTTGACCAGGTCGAACGGGTCACACTATACGACGGCCTGGCGGTGACGAGCTCATCGAGAACATATCAACCCTCACGAGCTTGCTCGCTCCACCTGACCGAGCATCATGTCATCCTCCGCTTCGACGAGGCGACAAGTCTCCCCGACTCCCAGGAGTTATGGGCCAGTCACTTCGAAAATGCTCCCACAAAGCAAGCTGAGGCCATATTTCACAGATTCCTCACCCCCTGGTCGCCGTTCTCGCACTCCATCCAGCCTCACAAGATCGTACAGCTCCTCTCATCGTTCGCACGCGAGACTTTCACACGAGGACACTCGTCCTGCCAACCTATGAACAAGGCCTCGCAGTCTGGGAATCCATACGCGCCGTCGTCGCCGCTAGTGAGCTCATCTCCTCCTACAAGCAATACAGCTGTTGAGCACCTACCCTTGCCCCAGCCAAGCTCAAGTCGCTCTATGCCTTCTCGAACGGCAACCTGACCGAGGCGGGCAAGGACGCCCAAGGATGGAACCTATACTCGCCCTCGGCAGAATACGCTCGGATGGGCCTCGGCAGGAAGGACGCGCGGAGTGCTGCCTGGCGCTGGTCAGATGTCAACAAGTCATATGAGTTCTGTCCGACCTATCCGAGCCAGCTGGCAGTACCTGCGACCATCAGCGATTCTACACTCAACTACGGCAAAGGCTATCGAAGCAAACAACGCGTTCCTGCCCTCGTTTATCTGCATTGGTCAAACCTGGTCAGGAAGACGACAACAGTCCTTCCATGCTTGCTGACGCATTGACTCAGGCGTCTATAACGCGCTCGTCGCAGCCCATGGTTGGCCTCAAAAACGCAAGATCTATCCAAGACGAAAAGCTAGTGGAAGCCATTTGTCGTTCTCACGCGAGTCACACATTGCCCAGCACTGCGCCGCGAACGGAGAATAGCGTCATCTATGGCGCGACTGCGACCAATCTCATCATAGACGCAAGGCCTACCACCAACGCCATGGCAAACGTCGCAAAAGGTGCCGGTACCGAGAATATGGAACACTACAAGGCCTGCAAAAAGGCCTACCTCGGCATTGATAACATACACATCATGCGAGCTTCTCTTGCCGCCGTCAATGATGCTCTCTGGGACGCAGAAACGACCGGCGTCCTCTCTCGGCGCGCCCTCAGAAAATCGGGCTGGCTCAAGCATTTGACGGCCATACTCGAGGGCGCTGTGCTCATTGCGCGCAACGTTCACATCAACAACTCTCATGTGCTCGTGCATTGCTCGGATGGCTGGGATCGTACCTCGCAGCTATCGGCATTGGCGCAAATCTGCCTCGATCCATACTACCGCACCATGGAAGGCTTCGCTGTGCTGGTCGAAAAGGACTGGCTTGCATTCGGGCACAAGTTTGGTGACCGAGCAGGACATACAGTACCAGATCGGACCCAATTCATGCTAGCTCCTGGCGACGGCCAATCGGCCCAAGCAGCCTTCCTGGCGTCAGTTCAGAAAGGCATCACGTTCTCGTCTTCTCACGTGAAGGAGACTAGTCCTGTCTTCCATCAGTTCTTGGACTGTGTATACCAGCTTGTCCGTCAGTTCCCCCATCGGTTCGAGTTTGGGTCAAAATACCTACAAAGGCTCCATTTCGAGCTGTACAGCTGCCGCTACGGCACCTTCCTGTTCAACTCGGAACGGGAGCGATATCTAGAGCGTAGCGCTGTCAGCACACAGTCTGTGTGGACCATCTTTCGGGGCGAAGCTCGGGGCGAATATCTCAACACGGCGTACGAGGCTGAGCGTGACACGCCAGCAGCTCGGTTGCGCGACGATCAGGGAGTCATCTTACCCAATCCTAAAGAAGTTCGCTTCTGGCACGAGCTGCTCAACAGGACCGAGGATGATGTCAGGATAGACCTCGCCACTGATGAGGACGAAGGTGAGGCCATGGAGCCAGAGCTCGTCGGTCCAATCTCTGGCAGTCAAGTCGATCCCGTTTTGGCTCCAATGATACCTATTCGAGCAGCTGTGAACAGCGACGTCCCTTCACGCACCAATAGCCCGAGACCGACTAGCTATGTCCATGCTGCACAACCACAGCTTCAGAACGCCCTGGAGAGTGCCTACAAGTTTGGAGGATCGGCTTGGAACTCGATCAGACAGGGTTATCAGGATTTTGCTCGCGAGATTGCCACGCCTCCGAACGAGGCAACGCATCATGCGACAGATCTCCAAGACCTCAGCAGCAATCCCTGGATGAGCGAAGCGCGCTCTGCGCCCAAGCGAGCTCCTCAGACGGGCCTGAACGGCAATCTGCCAAGCCCTGTCTCGACGGGGCTGCCGCGAGAGACGGTCGACACAAACAGACGCTCAAGCAGCGCGAATGGGTTCAATCCGTGGGCAGTGTGATGCGCTACAGGCAGTGACTTGTCTGCTGGACCAACAGCTGCAAACAACAACAGAGCACCGGAAGTAGCACAGACAACACGTGGTCCTTGCTGACTGCGCACATCTACCGGAGGTCGTGGACTCTGAAGGCCAGATCATCAACGATGCGAAGATGGCCTTGACCGTGCGCGTCGGTATAGAGAGGCAGTGCAGCATGGGGATGGAAAAGGTCCTGCGATGACTTGTCAGCAAGCTCGAGCAGAAGAGGATCTGCGCAGACTGACCTTCGCTCTGCAATGCAAGATGGTCTGCAGACCTGGTGGATCGGTGAGACGAAAGTAGCCGAGATCTGGCTTCGACTTTGGACTGCAAACGACGGCGATGGCCTCCGGCAACATCGCCTGGTAGCTTGCCTGGGTGTGTAGATCGAGCGATGACATGAAGCAGCTCTGGACGGGATGGGTGTGAATCCAGCCGAGTGTGAGGAGGTCGTGCTTGGTCTGGAAGGCGAGTATCTCTTCTTCATGGGTGGTGGCACAGGTGTCTGCGGTCGCGCGCTGTTTGGGCACAAGCAAAGTGGTGATGCGGAGCTCGTTGCGTTCCAGTCGCCCCAACAGCAGGCCGCACGTCTCGAGATTGCGCTTTGTGTTTGGCTTGGCGATCGAGACGAAAGAGCTTGGCAGCTTCTTCGGCAGTGCGAGCCAGCGCAAGGGTATCTTGCTCGCAACAGCATGAGACGAGCTCGTAAACGTTCTGTGACTGGCCACCGGGTGCTCTCGCTTGGGCGCGCTACTGCGATCTGAGCGGGGCAAGCTGGAATGGGAAGCCTTGTGTGGCAAACTGGAGTGTGATGGCCGGCGGGTATCCTCTGAGCGAGAGCGGCTCATCGACGGCGAAGGAAAGGCAAGCTGAGCTGGCGGGACGGGCGGGGATCTGAGGTGGATCTGGTCCATCTGTTGCACGATGACCTGGTCAGATGGCCTGGCGGGAGCTCTCCTCCTTGGCAAGGGTGTGAACGCGGTCTCTGGGAGCTGTCCGAGCTGCGCCTGCGGATGGTAGGCCTGCCAGCGATCGACGGCGGCGACGAGCGGCAGCTTGAGCCGGTTGAGGTCGTCCATGATCTGGTAGCCCAGCTGTTCTGAGCGATTCCTCGTCGAGACGTCAATCTCGTGCGCCTCGAGTTCATCCAAGATCCTCGCGCAGCGGACGAGTAGGATGTACGCACTCTCGTTGTCGTCATTGTGACGATAGGTCGTCGCTTCTGCGTAGAGCTCGAGGGCTGATCGCATCCAGCGGGTCGATCCGTCGACGTACGGCAGCTTTGAGGCCGCAAAGTCGGCGAGCTCTCTCAGTGTGGCCGGCCGTCGTCCTCCTCTCAGGCTCGGGTCCTCGCCCGGCCGCAACGGCCTCGGTGGCGGATCCCGCATGACTTCGTGAGGGGCACGTCGAGGGTGGGGCTAGGCCATTGAGCAAGAGCTTGGATCTGAGAGGAGGAGACCGAGCGCGACGACGACGAGATGGAAAGGAGGAGGGAGCAAAGGGAGCTGCCGAATGGACGAGCTCGCTGATCACCTGGGAGCCACAAGAGCAGCAGCATGGACCAGGAGACGGCCGCCATCTCCAGCTTGGGCTCTTTCGCCATCTCGAGGTTCCTAGGCGACGATCTCGGCCAAGATGGCTTCTCCTCACTGTCCAGCCAGCTTGGCGGATCTGGCAAGGCCAACTTGGACGAACAGCAGATCTACAACGACCGCTTCGAGTCAGACGAGGAGAGCGATGACGGGGCCAGCAGACAGGACGGGAAGGCTATGCGAGGCAGGGACTGGGAGGCAGAGATTGACAAGGAGGATGCAGAGGAGGCCGCTCGAGCCATCATCGCTGCCCCTTCACAACATCCTCAGTCAAGCTTCGTCGTCAGAGGCGAAGACATGGACTTTGATGACGACGACGACGACGACGACGGCTTGTCAAGCGACAGCAATGAGCCCGTCGCCCGAGTAAAGTCAGAGGAGCTCGAGCCAGAGCTGCCCTCGGCGGAGAGCTCGACGCCAGAACTCATGCCGGCTCAAGTACGCAAGCCTGTTGACATCCGGACTGTCTTTCCAGACTTCCAGTCCTCCCGACCGCTGCCCTTCACGAGCATGTTCTGCCAACCTCGCAAGCGACGACGGCTCGATGGCTTTGACGCGTCCAAGCGTGGCAGATTCAAAGTCCCCAGCAAGGACGAGGTCGGCCAGCGCACCGGCACGGGCGACATCATCGTCGCTCCTCTCGACCTTCCCACTCAGGCTCAATGCCTTCAGCCGAGAGGCACCGTGCGTGGCGAGCTTGCGCGCTATGTCGCTATGGCGGGTCCCTTGCGTCAGCTATTCGCCGAACAAGACAGCTCAGAGCAGCCTGAAGATCCTAGTGCTCTTCTCCGTGATCTCGGGCAGGAAGTAGGACAGCATCTGTGGGAAGTCGAGGCTTGGGAGGATCAGATTGTCTGGGATCGTAGCCACCCGCCGCCTAGCCATCGCGACGAGCCCGTCACGATCATTCCAAAGGATCCGGGTACCAAGCCGAACGCTCTCGCTCGGCAACGCGCTGTCTATCGCAATCCTGACCTCGAGACTGGCAAATGGCTCGATGCCATCCGCTGGACAGGCATCGAGCCAGATCACCCTTTCCTCAACTTACAGCTCAGTCTCAACGATCCGCAGATCTCTTGGGACGCAGCAAATCAGGACCGCGGCGGAGCGGACGAGGCTAGCTCGCGCATGATCGTTCGCACTCAGCAAGGCTTGGATTGGCTCAACCATTCAAATGATAGTGTGTACGCCTCTACGTTTGCGCCCTCACGGCGGAGAATCCGTCAGACCTTTGCAAATCTCGAGGTCAGGCACAGCTATCCTGCGATCAAGCTACAGATGCCATTCGTACGTCACTTGTAGTCGCTAGATCTACTCACTGATGACACGCTGCTCAGTATAAGCCGCGCTTACCGAAAGCAGAGTCTCGATTCTGGCATCGGCCTAATCTCCAGTTTCCCAACAACATCGCAATCAATTTTGAACGTGTCAGATCATCGAAGAAACGCAAGGACGAACAAGGGCGCAAGCTGCGAGCGAGCGACTCTGCCCAAGCCCTTCACACGACATCTGACCTCTCACTGAGAGACACGAGCGAGTTTATCCTGCTGGAATTTTCCGAGGAGCATCCACCTATCATGTCTAATTATGGCATGGGTACTCTGCTTGTCAATTACTATCGCAAACGTGATACGGCTGACGCGCATGTGCCAAACGCCCCTCTCGGCCAGCCTTTCATCCTCGACGGCGCAGATGACTCGCCCTTTATGCGCTTTGGGGACGTCAAGCCGGGTCAGACGGTGACCGGTTTGTACAACAATCTGCTTCGTGCACCTGTCTACAAACATGCCCCTGCCCATACAGACTTCCTCGTGATTCGGTAGGTCTGGCAAGGCTGTCTGACTTCTGTGACCTGACGTCGAGGCAGTCATACCGTACAAAACGAGAGCAAGTATTTCATCCGAGCGATCAAAAACATCTTCACAGTGGGACAGATCTTGCCGGCTGCGCTCGTACCGCCGCCTCAAGCGAGGGCTCTGACGATATCATACAAACAGCGCTTTCAGTATCTTGCGAGCAAGCTGGCCGCCAACAGCAAGCATCATCAATTCAAGACGCAAAAGATCGCTGTCTTCTTTCCCGATCAGACCGAGACTCAAGTGAAGGGTCGCTTAAAGGAGTTCATGGACTCGACCCGTTCCGGCAATAAAGCCGGCCATTGGACTCTCAAAGCATCCCACAAGCCAATGGAAGACGCCGAGTTTCGCAAACTACATACGCCTGAGCAACATGCACTGGCAGAGGCAATGCAAGTAGGCCAGCAGCATCTGCTTGACTCTGGCTACAGCAAGCTGCCGGAAGTAGACGACGAGGATGCGGACGAGTCCAAGCTCGATGTCGAGCAACAGCTGGCCCCTTGGAACACCACAAAGAACTTTCAGCTTGCTGCGCAGAAAAAGGCCATGCTTCAGCTGTTCGGTCCAGGCGACCCAACTGGACGATCCGAGGGTTTCAGCTTCCTCAAAGTCTCGATGAAGGATATCTTTCTGCGCGAGGGGGAGAGTCGTGATGCTCGATTGGCTCAGCTGGCCAAGCGGCCTAAGGGTCACCAGAAGATTTCGCCCTCCGAGCAACACGCAATATACGAAGAAGAAATTGAGCGCATCTGGAAAGCGCAGAACACAGCCTTGTCATCTCACAAACGCCCGCAACTGACGGTCGAGGACGAAATGCGCGCGAGAGGATCAAGTAGGGATCAACGAGGATCTAGTGTCTACGGCACGCCGGCAGCGTCGGGTCTCAGTCCGGGTCAGATGAGCCGGGCATCGTCGCCCGAGCGTAGTCGTATGCACGGAGATGCGGATGAGACGGGCAGCTATTCTGGCAGTCTTGGTGCTACCGCAAAGTTTCTCAAGATCAAGCGAAGGGCGAGTCGTTACAGCCCACTTCAACATGTGCTGACTCGTATCTGACAGATTGGCGAGCGATGGATGTCCGAAATCGTCCGTGATCCGGCCGTGATTGCTGCGTACACTCGCCAGCGCCAGATCATCGAAGACAAATCGATGGATGTCGAGACCGTCGTCCTAAGCAACGACCCGAAGCAGCAAGAGCGCCAGCGCCGTTTGATCGAAGAGCAGCTCCAAAAGCTACGCAAGAAGGCAGAACGACGCGAGCAGCGCAAGGCAAAGCAACTAGGCACACTGGACACCTTTGACTCGCCGGGCCCGTCTACGCCTTTTGGGGACAGTGCCAGCGCCGATGGCTCCTTCCTCGCTGCTAACATACTGTCCGGCTCACAGTTCAGTTCGACTTCAGATGGAAAGGCTGTCGTGCGTGGCTCGTAGACTTGCAGTCTGCAATCAGGGCTGACAGGCGCTTCAGAGGAAATGCTCCAACTGCGGCGCATTAGGCCATATGCGTACCAATCGCAAGTGCCCGCTCTACAGCAAGTTCAAGGAGGAGAGCGCCAACAAGGCGATTGCCCCCAGCCCGGCAGCTGCAGTCTTTGGGACACCGTCGTACAATCCGATTCTGTCCCAAGGCGTTACTTCGGCCGGATCGCCTCCAACGGGCTCTTCCGCGCCTCCCAAGCTAAAGTTGTCGTTTGGCGGTCAACGCTAGGTCAGCGTGAGGCAGGGCGACTGCAGTCCATGCTACGAGTGATCTGCGAATTGCATACATGAGAACACGACAAGGGTTTACAGCCTGATGCGAGGGCGTCTGATCATCACATGGCCATCTCGGCCTGTAGCTCTCGCAGCTCTCGCTCGATCTCGCTCTCCTCTGCACTCTTGGCAGGCGCTGGACGTCGCGGTCAGTCCAGCCGTTATGCTCTCTGAGAGGAAAGTGCCAACCTGCTGGCAGGGAGGGAGCCGCATCAAGAGTGCCCAGTCGATTGGCAGGTGCACGGGTTGCGCCGGCGAGCCTCTCGTCGAGCTGCTCTTGTTCGAGCTCCTCGAGCTCGGCCTTGAGCTCATCTTCGTCGACCTCTGTGCCCATGCCGACTGGATTGCTGATTGCATCAGAGATCTCGTTGGTCAGCTCCATCTGCTCGCGGATGGAGTCCATCGTCGCATCGACTCGGTTGATGTCCCTGGCGAGACGAGTGTCAATCCCAGAGGGGTGAGACGCGTACTCGACAGGTGCTTACAAGTTGCCGTGGATCGACTTGAGTACATTAGCACCTTCTTGCATGGCACGCATGGTCTCCATGTTCATGTTGGCGCTCTCGATAGCATTGACCTGCGCGTGGGAGGGTGCTCAGTGAGCCGGACGCGTGCCCGGCACAGAGATGGTGTGACTTGCCTGAGTCTCGAGGGTGAGCCGCCTTCCAGCGAGCTTGTCTAGATCAGACTCGTAGATCTTCTTCTGCCTGAGCGCTGCCGTCGCGACTGTCATTGTTGCAGCCGCAGGTGAGCGAGCGAGCGAGCTGTCGATTGAGAGAGATCATCAGCTCACCTCGCTTGTTCGTCGTTGCATTCGCTCTCGCTTTCTGCAGCTCGGCGTCTATCTTCTTGTTGAGGTGATCTTCTTGCTTCTCGAGCATGATGAGCATCTGCCTCAGATCAACAATCGCATCTCGAGCTTTCTCCCTGTGTTGTATGGCGTGTGTCAGTCACGCATGACGCTCGTCAGGGCGTGAACAGAGCATGCGGTGTTCCGGATGACAGGCAAAGCGAGAAGACAGGGCGCAGAAGGGGCAGCATGGCTGCCGAGACTGACGAGAGGGGAAGCGTCACTGACCTCGAATTGGCGACGGATCGCTTTCCGGTGAGGTAATTCATCCAGGACGACATGCAGGGGAACGGGTGTGCCGATCTGATTGCACACGGTCAGTCGACTGGCCCACTCTCTCTCTCTCCGGGTCCGCGCAGGGTCCAGACTTGACTCGCCCTCGAGAGCCTCAGACAGCTCAAGTGCCCGCCCGCTTCCGCTCGCTCGCCAACGCGTCGCCTCTCGACATTTTGGCTGCTCTGCTCTGCTCTTCTTGCCGCTGGGCTCCGTCGGGTCTGCTGAGCGATATGGCGAGTTCTGCGCTCCAGCAGGCTGCCGCCAAGGGTCTTCGGATAGGCATGATTCCCGGAGATGGCATCGGCAAGGTCGTCATCCCCGTCAGTCATGATGCAAAACCCCTGCAGAGCAAAATGAGGCGCTGACCGTCCCTCGAGCTTGTCAGGCAGCACAGAGAGTGCTCGAGACCGTCAAAGGCATCCCCAAGCCAAGCTTCGTCACCCTGCCGGCCGGCTTTGAGCACTTCCAGGCCACGGGCACGGCACTGCCGCCTGACACGATCAGCACGCTCAAGAACGAGTGCAATGCGGCCATGTTTGGCGCAGTCAGCTCGCCGAGCCACAAGGTTGAGGGCTACAGCAGTCCCATCGTCCGACTACGCAAGGAGCTCGATCTCTACGCCAACATCAGACCGGTCATGTCCGTTCCAGGCGGACAAGGCCGGCAGATAGACATGACCATCGTTCGCGAGAATACCGAATGCTTGGCATGCTCGCACTGCAGCCACCATGATCGCGCTGACTCGGACAACAGTACATCAAATCAGAGACGATAGAAGATACGCCAGACGGCAAAGTCGCCATTGCTCGCAGACAGATATCTGAACGCGCTAGTCGAAGGATTGGTGCGCACGCTAGCTGCCATTGATCTCGCATCTCATCTGGCATACAGGGGAAATGGCGTTCGAAGTAGCCCTTGCCTCTGCTGCCGTAAGGGCGAGATTACCGGAGGACCAAAGAATCTGGAAGGTAGCCATCAGAGACTGGCAGACGTTCCCTCGCTGACAAGTCCGCAGGGACCGCCCAAGGTAACCATCGTACACAAGAGCAACGTTCTCTCGGTTACAGACGGTCTCTTCCGCGAGACCGTTCGGTCCGTCAAGGAGACTGGCGAGGGTATCGAGCGATACAAGGACGTCCAGCTCGAGGAAGGCATTGTTGATAGCCTGGTCTACAAGTGCGCTTCCACCTCCTCCTGATTGTTGTGATCTTCAGCGGCGCTGACCGGCTCTTCCGCCAGGCTCTTCCGTGAACCCGAGAAATTGTCGACGCTTGTCTGCCCCAACCTGTACGGCGACATTGTCTCGTAAGTGTCGACTCGTCAGCGCGGAGCCGGCCTGATGATCGAGCAGAGACGGCGCTGCAGCGCTTGTTGGCTCTCTCGGACTCGTGCCGTCCGTGAATGCAGGGGATAGCTTCATCATGGGCGAGCCCGTGCACGGCTCGGCGCCCGACATTGCAGATCGCACACCCGCCATTGCCAATCCGATTGCAGCCATCCGGTCTGCTGCGCTCATGCTCGAGTACATGGGCTTCCCCGAGCCTGCCCTTGCGATCTATCGCGCTGTCAACGATGTTCTCCTTCAGGGCGAGCATCTGACGCCAGACCTTGGCGGCACGGCTTCGACTGACCAGGTCGTCGAAGCTGTTCTCAAGGGACTATAGCAAGTGCGCAGGAGCAGGCTGCAATGCATCGCAATTCACTCCGATCTGTGATGCTAACTAGTATGACTCGCGGAGTTCTGAGATTGTTTCCGCCGTGCCTCGCGGTACGAACAGATCAGGTAGGAGACGGGCCGAATGCTTCCGGTCGACGGCAAAGGCGTCAATGTCTGCGGGCGAACACAGCCTGTTCTTGAGCAGGAAGATCTCGTCAATCTCAAAGTTGCCGGTGTAGGTCTTGCTGTCTCTCAACAGCATCTCGTGTGCACAACGAGCCACAATTGCGGATGTCCGGCTCCGTGATTGTTCTTCTTCCGACACGATCAGACGGAGGGCCTCTGTGTTGATCAAGGTGTACGGCCAGAGAGCTGCCACTGTCTGTCAGCGGGCGCCAGGGGGAGCAGGGCAGCCCTCACCATTGACAGCGACGCGACCTCTCAGCTCGCCTGCCAGGCCAAGTGAGCACAGACTCATGGCAAACTTTGCCATCGCATATGCCGTCGCTTTGCCAAACTGAGACATGGCATCCTCACTGTCACGAAAGATTGCAAGCGGCGGGGAGAGCGTGAGGATGTGAGGATTGCGGCCCTGTCGACCAGAGTCGATCAGATGGGGTATGGCCGCCGCCGAGGCGAGATAGGTGCCCCTGCCGTTGATGTTGTTCATGAGATCGTAGGTCTTCATCTTTGTGCGTTGCGAATCGGTGAGCGAGATGGCAGAGGCGTTGTTGATCAGTACGTCGATGCCGCCCATGGCCTTTGCGGCGGTGTCGATGCTCTCCCGGACGCCCTGTTCGTCTCGTACGTCCATGACGAGCGGGGTCGCTTTGCCGCCGCATGCCTCTATCTCGTCTGCAGCTGTGTAGATCGTGCCCGACAGCTTGGGATGTGGCTCTTTTGTTTTTGCTGCAATCGTGACATGTGCGCCTCTCTCGCTTGCCAGCTTCTTCGCGATCTCGAGGCCGATCCCTCGAGATGCGCCCGTGACGAAAACGCGGGGAGATGGCATGCTGCGAGTGCTCTGCCGCCCTTTCTCACGAGCGAGTTGCCTCGTCTGTTGGAAACGCGCGCGCGCAATCGATGCACCAGATAAATGCACAGGGCAAAGTGCCCGTCGTCGTCGTCGTCCATGGACCTACCGGACAGACTCGCTCTCTCTCCAAATCCTTGTGCCACATGATCGAGACCGCAAGCTCATCGGCACCACGTCGGGTGACCAGCAGGCGCACCTGTCAGATATGTCGGCAGAGAAAGAGCCGCTGCGAGTTGCCCGACGCAGCGCTGGATATGCCCCCGGGCTTGCTCTCTCGAGAGCTTGCCTGTCATCGCTGTCAGATCCTCTCACTCTCGTGTGACTTGGCGCCAGAGTCGACGAGGAAGCGGCGCAGGCTCGATGCTGAGCCAGAAGACGTCACGCCAGCCAAAGCCAGTAAAGTGCGTGAGACGCTGGCTATCAGCAGGCCGACACGAGGCAGCGAGTCCGGGTCTGTACAGCTGCGGCAAGATGACGATCATGGCCCGCTCGATTCCATCCAGTCTGGCGACCTGCTTGTCACCTTTGACCCACAATTTCCAGGGCCAGGCGCTAATATGACACACGAGGCACGCATGATGTCTTCCACTGGCGCCCATTTCTCAAACGCGCAGCCTCATCAAGTCAGATTCCATGGTCGTTCCTGTGAAGCTGCGAGTGCTCTCCTCCGCACAGCTTATCGTCGTCGCGCCGCCGAGCAGGACGAGTGCAATCTCTCCAAACTGCTCGACGCGCCCCTCATTGAGCGCTTGCGGCCGGCTTACAGCCAGCTCAATACATTTGTGCCTTATCTGCCGCCACTACCATCTCTGATCGAACGCTACCAATCCGATCCCAGCCTCTCACAAACACTTTTGACGTCTGTCACTGTCTACCTTTGCGCACTGACATTGTCAGATGACGCAGAGTCGCTTCTGCCGCGCCAGCGGCTTGCCGGGAAAGTTTGCGAGCTCAGAGACGCCGTCCTCGCCCAATTACCGAAATCACTCCATGCTGTCCAGGCACTTGATCTGCTGAGCCTCTTTGCTCCTTTTGGTTGCCTGCCAGGCACGGCTGCGCCCCCAGGATCGCTCGGGTTCGCCCGAGGATTCAGTATCACGGCTCAGTCCCTCGGTACGGCCATAGAACTGTCTGAAAAGGCGCACGCTGTCTTTGCTCGTGACGTGACAGAAGCATGGGCTTCGGATGAGCTCTGGACATGGCTATCCGTCTGTGCCGGTCAGGCGACGGTTACGCTCGAAGATAATGATTTTCCGGCCGGTCCTTCGACACTCAATACTGCAAGCAGCCTTGCATCTACTCTTTTGCTTTACGGGCAGCAAACGCTTCGGCACGAGCCAGCTGATGCCCACACGGACGATCAGACGATGGCTAAGCTAGCTCTCTGCGAAAGACTGGCACGCCTCACCGAAGTGCACGGCTCGATCGGTCAGATCTATAATGCCTTGGTCGCTGCTGTCGACGATGAAGGCGCTGATCCGACAGTGGCCATCACAACCATCTTGAGGGATGCCACAACTCGATTCGAAGAGCTAGATGAGCGGCATGGATCCTCTCTGGGTAGATTTTGTCCTCTTTCGCGTGTTCGCTCGCTCAGATTCACTGCGCAGACTTTACGCGGGTAGAACGATCTGCTCGCTCTTTTGCCGGCTGGCGAGCGCATCGTCGCATTCGGCAACTGGCTGACATTGGCCGAGTACAACGCGTCGGCGTAATCAGCCTCGTCGGAACTGCGTTCCTGCCGGATCACGGTCCCCTCTTGACGCAGGATGACAAGTCGACCTTTCTGTTGGTGGGGCAAGTCAGTCGGAAAGACAAGATTGCCTATGCACTCGGACGGGCGTCCAACCCACGTGAGGTCATCAATTTCTTCTGGCGAGATCCGCAGCTGCCTGCCGCGGACGCAGTGAGCGAACTGGCGAACCGTCGCGCGGCAGATCTGGAGGACCTCCTTGTCGAATTTGCCGCTCTGGCACCGTCGGAGCGTGCGGACGGAAGTACAGTGCTCGTACCGGCGCATCACCTCACTGCCATTGCCTTGGACGGATCCGGCGTTCTCATGGAGCTTGGGGCTGCCAACATTGCTATTACGAGATCGCTCAGACGGGCACGGCAAGACTTCCGATCGGCTCAGCGTGTCCTGATGATGCGCACTGTGTCGATCACCATGCGATCTCTTGAAGCCAATTCCGCTGCATCTGCAGTGAGAAGGGATACTGTGACAGCGCTGGCAGGTGTGCTCGTTGGATCGATGGCCAGAGTCTCAGAGGAACGCGTGCGGTCTCTCGAGCGAGAGCAACGCGATGCGCGCATTCATGATAACTTGGCGACAACATCTGTGACGACACCACCGCCAACCTCTGCGCCATCGCCTCAAGCTGCCATGGTCGAGCCCATAGACACTTCTTCGCTGCCAGCAGGCTCGTTCGATTCCTTGCTACCGTCCATGCCTGTCTTCGACAAATCGCCGTCTGCCGACCACGCTTCGGTGGATCAGCTCATGAACGATACATTATACCCGCTTCTGGACATAGGCGCCTTCAACTTTGATCAGCCGGGCTCCGGCAGCGTCGAGCCTTGGTTGTTCAGCTTCGCGCCTGACCTGTGATGCCCTTGCTAGCAACAAGCTTGCCGTTCCAGGGTCTGGCTTAGTGCAGAGCTCGATGTACACGTAGGCGTCGTCAAATGATACACAAATCCCATAGGCCATGTCGCGAACCTGCTGCTCGCCAATCGGCTGCTCTAGATGAGCACAAAGGCGACGAAGAGACTTCTGTCGGAGCTCCGACAGCTCCAGCAAGATCCGCCTTCCAACATCGTCGCTAGACCGCTTGAGGACGACTTGTTCGAATGGCACTTTACCATCACCAACGTTGACGGCGACGACTTTAATGAGGGCGTCTATCACGGTCAGCATATCGAGCGGTACTCTGACTTCATTCAGCTCATTGTTTCCGCGAGAGCAGGACGCATCCTTCTGCCTGCCGAGTATCCACTCAAGCCGCCCGACTTTATGCTCTTGACGCCCAATGGCCGCTTCGAGCTGTGAGGTGCCCCCTCTGAGCGACAGACCCGGCTCAAGTTGAGGCTACGCAGGAACAAGAAGATCTGTCTGAGCATCTCGGGCTATCATGAGGACCTTTGGCAGGTCCGGCTGGCTCGATTGCTTTAGCACTCATCATCTGACACGTCACTGCACGAACAGCCTGCCTGGAGCATTCGTCTCGCTCTCGTCTCGCTTGCCAGCTTCTTCAGTACAGAAGCAGCAGGAGCGATCGGAGGTCTGCAGACACCTTCTGCCGAGCGCAAGAAGCTCGCAAAGCAGTCACGCAACTGGACCTGCCCGACTTGCAAGGCATCGAATCACGAGCTCATCTCCGAGGCCATCTCGACTCATGAGCCGGCCGCTGCGCCTGAAAGTATACCAGATAATGCGGAAAGAGCGAGCACCTCTAGTGGCGAGTCGACAGTCGTCGCCGCGCAACTCAATGAGGCACCCGCCACATCTACACTTTTGGCGCCTATGCCGGTCACCGTTGCAGCACGAGCTCGAGAGCCCGTCGAGGCATCCCTGTGGATCGATCGTACTATTGGCGCCCTCATCGTCGTACTCGTTCTGCTGCTCTTGCGCCGTCTGTAACGTGGAAACTTTATCCTACTGCTGTTGCTTGTACTCATCAGCTCATCCCATTGCCTCCCTGGCGCCCGTCACCTGTACAAGAGCTAGACAGCGTCCGGCTTCTGCATGTACAGTGAACCTGTTGTCGTATAGAGCTATTACGTGCAGCCAGTCGATGGAAATCGTTCTGGCTCCAAGTGATTCCATAGACATCATGCAACTCGCCGCATTTCTGGATGATGCCAATTTGCGCAGGTATCTCTTGCTTGTAGTACAACACGCTTCAGCGCTGCAGCGAGGCTAAGTCTCGTAGACGGCGAGTGCTACGATGACATAGAGCGCGACGAGCATGGCGCCTTCGTACCAATTGGACTTGCCGTCCGTCAAGACGAGATTGACGAGCAAGACCGACAGAAAGACGAAGATTGTCTCAAATTGTTCAAAGTTGAGTGTCATTTCCTGTCCGATGATCCAGCCAATGACGACGAGGAGAGGAATGACGCCGATGGCGATCTGAATTGAGGAGCCGACGCAGACGCCGATCGTCAGGTCCGTTCGGCCTTTGTATGCCTGGACGACCGAGGTGACGTGTTCGCATGCATTGCTGATGATCGGTAGCAAGATCCTATTCGAACCATCAGCTAAAACACGCTGTAGGAGAGGCCTGGTATCTTACAGGCCAATGAAAGGCTTCGGCACGCCAAAGTTGTTAGCAAACTGATCTATCGAGCCCACCACTGCGCAACAAGCATGAGCACGGCAAGGCAGCCGGTGCGCAATAACGTACGATAGTCTGCGCAGAAGGATGTGACTACAGTGACAATGAGGAGACTGGCAGCCGATGTCAGCGCGGCCTCATTAGATATGCTGAAAGGAGCGCACGCTGCTACGGCTGCTTTGACGTTCATCTTGGCTTCCTCCTCTTCGGCCTGTTCTTCCGCTTCGAAGAGGTAGGAATGCGATTTGAGTTGGAAGAAGAGGTAGAGCATGTACATGACCAGCAAGATCTGCGCTAGGTCAGCTCAAATGGATGGCTGGAAGCGCAAAGGCGCTCACGACAGAAGTTCCTCTCGAGATGGTCAGCAAGCCGTCGTGGCCGGAGACGCTTGCGAGTGTAGACGCACTTTCCGTTGCTTTGACAGTCGACTGGTAAGCGGCCGGTATCACGAGAGTAGCAGTCGAGAGTATCAAGAGGGAGCTAGACGCCTGTGCTGCAGTCGTCTGGAAGGACGACTCTTTGAACTTGAGACCCGAGGCCAAGAAGGAGCAACCGAGAACGAGCAGGATGTTCGACAAGATAGAGCCCAGCAGTGAGGTCTGAACAATCCTCAGCTCGCCCTTGACGAGCGCAAGAATGCCGACGATGGCCTCGACTGCGTTGCCAAAGGTGGCATTGAGCAAGCCTCCGATAGTCTCGCCAAGTCTGAGCGCGACTTGCTCGGTTGCTTCGCTGAGCAGACCCGCAAGCGGTATGATGGCGAGGAAATTGATGACAAAGTCGGCGGTAGGACCCCAGTGAAGGAAATGCGACAGGAAGCCTAGCGGCACGGCGACGAGGAGGATGTTGATGTAGGTACCGAGGAAGAGGTTCCTGAAGGACTCCAGCAGGCTTGGGTCCCCGTGGCTGAGCGGGTTGGGTGCCGGTGACGGTGGGTTGTGATTGTTGGGTATCTGCTGTGCAGCCTGTGAGCGGTCTGCTTGGCTCGGGGTAGCGGGCAGATACGCACATGGTGCGAGGATCTACGAGAGCTCGTGGACGAGTCCAGTAGAGGCTCGCGCTCTCCGTTGGGCTTTGCGTCTGCCTCGCACCGTCAGCATGACTAGCCGTCTCATCAAGACTGCCCACCCACTTGACATGAGGAGAGAACGGGCGGTGACGTGCACTGCTCTATCAATCTCTTTGGCTGATCTCGCTTTCCCGTAGACTTGCGCTCATCTGCCGTCAATGCACGATCCTCTGAAGCACAGAAGATGGTCGGCTGGTCGAGAAGAGCTGGTCACCAAAGCTCGGCAGGGCGTAGCGCTGATCAGACTGGCAGTCAATCTCGTCGCCTGACCGTGTGCGGACGTCATCAGAAAAGCTTGGCATCGCGTCTACAATGCCACGAGACAAACTCGACGAAAGCCGCGACCACCCTCGAGCGAGACTGACACGTTTTGCCGGCTGGGCGGGCAAGCCCTGGAAAAGCGTCAAGGTGGTCCTTTGCCAGCGTCTTGATCCACCTCAAGCACACTAGACAGGCAGAGATGCACTGTGCAGCAAGGAGCACGGGCAGGGCTGCTCGTGCAGCGCCGCGCTCACTCAGATCTGCGGCACAAGTCCGATCTCTCTCTATCGCTTCGAGATGCGCTAGCCTCTCCCAAACGGCCAACAAGCCCGCTCGTGCACTGTCACGCAGCTTGCCGCTTGCGTCCCCGCTCGCAGAACGTGAGTTCATGGTGCTACTCCGCTCGCGTCCTGTCTTTTCGGGCCTCTAGCGGAGCCTACCGGAATAGCTCCATGCTCACGTTGGTCATGGCGGTTGCAGGACGCAGCTATGCCACAGAAGCGGGCGAGAAGGCCGGCCAGATCAAGGCCATCATCGGTGCCGTCGTCGACGTCCACTTTGATGGCGACATCCTGCCGCCCATCTTCAACGCGCTCAACGTCATGACGAGCGACGGCAAGCGCGCAGTCGTCTGTGAGGTTGCACAGGTCAGTCGTCTCTCTCTCTCTCTCTCTCTCGTCGTCTAGAGCAATCTCACGCCGGAGCGGCAGCATCTCGGTGAGAACACCGTCCGCACGATCGCCATGGACGGCACAGAGGGTCTCGTCCGCGGTCAGAAAGTCATCGATACCGGCGCTCCCATCACGATCCCCGTCGGCCCAGAGTGCCTCGGTCGCATCATGAACGTCATCGGAGAGCCCATTGACGAGCGTGGTCCCATCAAGGGCAAGACAACCCGCCCGATCCATGCCGAACCGCCCGTGTTTACCGATCAGTCCACGACAGCGGAGGTGCTCGAGACGGGCATCAAGGTCGTCGACTTGCTCGCTCCCTACGCAAGAGGTGGCAAGATTGGTCTCTTTGGCGGTGCAGGTGTCGGCAAGACTGTGCTCATTCAGGAACTCATCAACAACATCGCAAAGGCCCACGGTGGCTACTCTGTCTTCACCGGTGTCGGTGAGCGAACGCGCGAGGGCAACGATCTCTACCATGAAATGATCGAGACCGGTGTCATCCAGCTCGACAATGACAAGTCAAAGGTCGCTCTCGTGTTCGGCCAGATGAACGAACCTCCCGGAGCTCGCGCTCGTGTGGCGCTGACCGGCCTCACGATTGCCGAATACTTCCGGGACGATGAGGGTCAGGACGTGTTGCTCTTCATTGACAACATCTTTAGGTATGCTCCTCTGCTTCCACGACCGCGCTGCCGTGCTGACGAGGAAGGGTAGATTCACGCAAGCCGGTTCAGAAGTGTCTGCCCTGCTCGGTCGTATCCCTTCTGCTGTCGGTTACCAGCCCACGCTGGCGACAGACATGGGAGGCATGCAAGAGCGTATCACAACCACCAAGAAGGGATCCATTACGTCTGTGCAAGCCGTCTACGTGCCGGCAGACGACCTGACTGATCCTGCGCCCGCTACAACCTTTGCGCATCTAGACGCCACGACTGTGCTCGAGCGATCGATTGCAGAACTCGGTATCTACCCCGCCGTCGACCCGCTGAACTCGAAGTCGCGCATGCTTGACCCTCGTATCGTCGGTCAAGAACACTACGACATTGCCACAGCTGTCCAGCGTCTGCTGCAAGACTACAAGGGCCTGCAAGACATCATCGCCATTCTCGGTCTCGACGAGTTGAGCGAAGAGGACAAGGTATGTCGCCGCCGTCGAGCTGACCGGATCGAGGCTGATGAAGGGTGTAGATCACCGTCGAACGTGCTCGCAAAGTGCAGCGATTCATGTCGCAGCCTTTCGCCGTCGCTGAAGTCTTCACCGGTATCGAAGGTCGTCTCGTCTCGCTCAAGGTGAGTCAATGCCTACTTCTAGTGTCCCGCTGGACTCACGCATGCCTCGCAGGACTCCATCAAGAGCTTCAAGCAGATCCTGGCTGGCGACCACGACTCGCTGCCTGAGAACGCGTTCTACATGGCCGGCGATATCGAGGATGTCAAGCAGAAGGCAGAGAAGCAGGCAAAGGAAATGTCTAACTAGTTGGCAAAGCTGTGCCACCTCTTAGCAATTGTCAAAGCGATGCAACTTGATGGTGCTATCAGCATATCTGGATCATGAGAAAACTAAACAAATCATTCTCTCAATCACGCCGCCGTGCACGGCGCGTCCTCCTCTCCCTGCTCTGCCGTTCTCGTGTCGCGCATCCGCCCACCGAAAACCGAGTGCCCGAACACATGGTCACGCGAGGCCTATGCAAGTCCAGCAGGGTAGATGTCATTGTTACTGATGCGTGTAGCCCTAGCAGGACAGAAGCAGCCCCGACACGATCGCTAGCAGCGCGCATCAAGGCGCTCGAAGAAGCTAAGCACCGACAGGATGGCGCCAGCAAACAGCGCGAAGACTTGCCGGCTCGTGGACTGGGAGAGATACGGTCCCGTTTCGAAGGCAAGGACAACAATGCGCTCGTGCCGAAGAGCTCCTTCGGATTGGGAGCCCCAATGCCTCGCATCCCCAGCACTGGGCGAGTCTCTGTGCCGTCTCAGGCCAAGCGTTTGGCTTCTTTGAGCGCGCCAGCCATAGACGGTGCAAGTGCTCCAGCTAGCGTCTCATCGCTGAGAGCCGAAGCGGGCTCTGATGGCAGCGCCTCGCCTGCAACCCCGACCGCCGAAGTGAACGCATCAATCGAACCAATACAGCAAAGCCACCTCGCCATCGACGAGCGACTGACGGACAAACAACAACATGCCTTTACTGCTGCCTCGCTTGCACAGTATGATGCAGAGGAAGAGGCCAGCCCGCCATCACGAGACAGTCTGTCGATACAGGCTGCGCTAGACGCGCCTGGCTTTGCTGGCACGACCTCGGAGGCTTTGCCAGCGCTGTCAGAAGTCACGAACGAGCAGCCAGCGTTATTCTTGAGTCGGCAACCGGCAGCTGATGCTAGCGAACCGTCGCTTTCTGCTGCGAGTGAGGCTGTAGCACCGTCAGACAAGCCGGCCTTCGCGAATCTGGCAGGCGCGGCGACGGAAGCCTTGGATCAAGACAGCAGCCTTGCGCACGATATAGCACAAGGACTGCATGTTGGTGATATCGACTATCAGGCAATCGATAGCAGCTCAGGTGCATCAATCAAGACAGAGACAGAGCACGAAGCGGTACTCATGTCCCCAAACGCGACGATCATGCCGCCTGTTTCGCCACTGAAGCCAGCACCACCACCCAGCCCACATGTGAGCCACGGACATGCGGCGCACGAGCGAGATCTAGGCGAAGCGTCGATGGACTCGGACTCGCTCAAGTCAACGCCACAAATGAGCGATGCGGATCAGTTCCCGGGTCAAGCAGCTTTGCCTATGCCGACAGTGAAATGCTCGGACTGCTCTGACGAAGTCGCGCTTGACGACCTGAGCGAGCATGTGTGTCGAGCGCGGCTAGATGCAGATGTTCCTGCCGATGACGAAGACGATGAGCAGATGGCGAGACTGCCCACTTCTGCTTCGAGCTCAACGATCAAGGGTCGTGCTATCAGATCGGACGACTTTGCTTTGCAAGTCGATCAAGCCGTGCCGGAAGACGAGCATGAGGACTTTGGATATGTGACGATCAGTCCTACGCTGAGCAAGCACTGATCCATTGGCATCTGTCATGACTATGTGCATATGTGTCACGTTCTTTCGCTCTGTGCACTCACTGTTGTACAAGTCATCAAATTCACGGTGTGTGGCATCCGCGCAATACGCCAGCGTAAAAGATCTCGCGTGGCGAGGCTCGCAGAGATATTTCTGGGGAAAGGAAATGCTCCGCGAGTCACAAGGTAAGGTTCATTCGCAGATTCGTTCGCACCGACAGCAATAGCGCCTGAGAAACCGAACAGAAGTTTGCAATCCTACAGCACACATGCCAGGTTGCAGAGGGTCATGTACGAGTAGCCTCGGTATAGTACTCCCCGTCGATACTGCAGACAGGATTTCATTGCCTGGCCTTCTTCCTTTGTGAAGACGAACATCCGAAGCTATACAGTCGACCCCACACTGCCTTCAAAAGCGCCCCGCTGGCACTCGAATGTCACAGCGTTGCACTACCCTCAATCAAAGCGCTGTCGCAATTCACGCCCTCGCGCGAAACTTATGCATCGGCTCTCTGTATTGTTGCGGAAGTCACACTGCAGTGTCTCGCTGCAGCAAAAGATCCTCAGCTTGAAGTGGATTGAGATCGAATTAGAACCTCGCACTACAAGCGTCTGCGAATCTCAAGCGCGACGCGAATGGCTCGCTCTGCCTCATATTGTACACAAGTAGACAATCGCAGGGCGACGTCATGCCGGCTTCGGCTCAGTCTCCCAAACGCACCGAAGCGAGTGGTGCGTGTCACTGCTCCACAGGACGCCATGGATATCGGAGCCCCCATCGGCGAGAAATACGACTGCAATGACACGCGTTGTACGCGGGTCGATTGCAGCAGGTCAGCGCGCTTGGGGTTGCCGCATAGTGCAGTCTCGTGAACCGTGATCAATTGCAGCTATCCAAGGGACCCGAAGGCGCCAAAACAGAGCCTACATACGATCTTGTACCATGTGTCGCATCCGGCTTGCAGAGCTGCTAGTCGTACACAGCCCCGCGAGAAGAAAACAGCCGCCTTTCAATATAGCCGTTCGATCGCAGGAGCACCGTATTCGAAGGCCGCTTCTCGCTTGCAGAGAAAGCTAAGAGCACTAAGCAATCAGATCACACAAGAGTACAGGACGTCCTCTGCGTGTGAGCAATCATGGTCCAACTACCCGGCCCCTGTGCTCGTCTGGGCAATCGGTTTCAGTTCCGTCTAGATAGTTTCGAGAGTCGCAACGCGTTTATCAATCAGAAGACTTTGCGTGCAGAAGTTCTGCTCGGAAGAGAGAGAGATTTTCGCAGAATGACTCTGTAGCGTCAGAACGTACAGTGAAAGACGGAGGCCGTTTGACGCATGTTAGGGCTTCAGTTTGAGAACCACAAAACTTCGGATATGTCCCCAAAGATCTCTCATCATTGGCATCGGTCACTGTCAGCTCATTTCGTCTGCGACACTTGCGCACTGGTTGTTCCTTCCACGATCTGCCGTGTAAATTGGGCTCGCGGCTCCTTGACGCGGCTCCTTGACGATATTTCCTCAGATGGCTGCGAAACCACAAGTCTCAAATCATGCACATTCTCAGGTCTTGCTCACCGCCGGCCGACCACTCGTGACGCGTGTTGAGCACCAATATTTGAGCCAATCTGGTGCTGGCCGACCGGCTGTTAGTATTGGCTCGTCAGACATGAAGCCGCACCGCCAAGATCTCTCTCAAGTAAGTGGAACAGAAAGGTTCAGCCTCACAGAAGTGACGCTCACGCAGAGCAAGCAGGTGTTCACAGCCACAGACAACCACATCAAGTGTCAGCATGCCGTCAGACCGGCGAGACGACCAAATGGCCCACGGCAACGACAACGAAGACGCAACCAGCGCTGGCTCTGTTAGCTCAGAGCGGTTCGTCTTTCCCAGGTCGTGAGCCGGCACGCCTCAGCAACATTGCCTTTCACTGCACGTTCGGCACATTGTTCTCGGCATTGGAACCTTACCACTGGAAATGAGGGTCAGTCATGTCCATGGCAAACCCCTTCGCTCATGCGCTCGATGGCCGATTCAGGTCTGCCTCTGAAGGCGCTCTGAGAGATCAGAGGCCGTCGCGGCCGTCTGTGACCTCGTTGCAAATGCTGGTCTGTCTCCTGTTCATGATGTGTCTAGCGCGACGTGTCGTGTCATTGAAGCTTGGCTTGGTGATCCTCTCTGTCGCGCTCATTGACAAGTCAGGTAGTCGATTGACAAGTTGGCAGCGCTCGCGATCAGGCTCGTTGGACATGATCTCTGCCTTCTTCATCCTGTACGTACCATCGACCGGCTGGACTGCTCGTCTGAAGCGTCGGACAGCAATCTCAAGGGGGAAGTCCTCATCTCGAGGTTGTATAGGCCGGATGCAAAGTAAGCTGGTGCATCGGTGAGAGTTGCTACGCTGACCGGGCTATTCCAGACGGAGCATCTCGGACATCTTCAGGCATGCAGGGTACCTCCATTCGGCGTCACGATAGCTTATGACAGCTTTGGCAGGATTCATGTCGTTGCCAATCCAGACGTTCGATCGCCCATCATCACCCTTGGCTCCACGAGCTTCTTCCACGTCAGACATCAGAACCTCTATCTTGCAGCAGGCATGTCATCGTGGCTGTGCTGTCTGCATGGACGCTCAGACCAGCGATTGTAGTCACCAAGAACAATGCCTCCGCCGCACTTGTCTTTGAATTCTGCTACAGAGTCATCTCAGTCGGTCGCAGTTACTTCGGCAAGCTGGACGAGGAGAGCGTCAAGAACAACTTTGTATTGATCTACGAGCTCCTCGACGGTAAGCATGCTTATCTTCCAAATCGCAAGACCTCAAGCCGAACACGCGCAGAGATTCTCGACTTTGGCTATCCCCAAAATTCAGAGACGGACACCCTCAAGATGTACATTACCACCGAGGGCGTCAAGAGCGAAGCAGCGATGGTGCGTTTGGGCCCTATCCGATCCCTCCTGCTGCTGATGGTCAGCTGCAGCGTGAGGAAAGCTCGAAAATCACAATTCAGGCGACAGGTGCGACCTCCTGGCGCCGGTCAGACGTCAAGTATCGCAAGAACGAGGCCTTCGTCGACGTCATTGAGAGTGTCAACCTCTTAGTCTCCTCGACAGGTCCGTTGACAGCACTCGCTACACCCAACGCGTGCTCACATACGCGCCCGCAGGCACCGTCCTGCGTGCAGACGTGGACGGTCAAATCCTCATGCGCGCCTACTTGAGCGGCACGCCGGAGTGCAAATTCGGTCTGAACGACAAGCTAGTCCTGGATCGCAGGCACGTCGATCGAGCCTGCTTTGAACCTGACGCTCATACGCAAGCATGCGTGACAGGGCGGCAAAGGCAGACCGAGATCCAGATTCGAGTGCTGTCGAGCTTGATGATTGTCAATTCCACCAATGTGTCAAGCTGGGCAAATTCGACAGCGATCGCACCATCAGCTTTGTACCCCCAGACGGCGAATTCGAGCTCATGCGGTGCATAACACCAAGACCTGAACAAGATTTTCGCTGACCTCACGAGCAGGTATCGATCGACGTCGAATGTCAATTTGCCCTTTCGAGTGCATCCCATCGTAGAGGAGATCGGTAAGAGCAAGGTCGAATATGCTGTCCACATCAAGGCCAACTTTGGCTCAAAGCTGAATGCGACCAACGTCATCCTACGGATACCAACGCCGCTCAACACGACCAAAGTAGACTGCAAAGTTCAGATTGGCAAGGCAAAGTACGTGCCTGCGGAGAACCATATCATTTGGAAGATACCCCGGATGCAAGGTCAAGCAGAGACGACATTCACAGCCGAAGCGACGCTTTCGACGACGACATACAATAAGCCATGGTCTAGGCCGCCTATCAGCGTGGACTTCCAGGTGCTCATGTTCACAGCATCGGGTCTGCTCGTGCGGTTCCTGAAAGTTTTCGAGAAGAGCAATTATCAGAGCGTCAAATGGGTCAGGTATCTCTCGAAGAGCAGCAACGGATCATACCAGATCAGACTATGATGACATGTCACTTGTTATAACAACATTGTACAGCTTGCATGACGTTGAGAGATGTGCACAGCAGAGCAATCAGAAGTGATGATCTCTTGCATAGCGCGAAAAATCCTGCGCTGCCCATGGCTCTGCGGAGTGTGAGTCGAAGACGCTGGCCGGCATGCTCTGGGTAGGTCGTAAGGCGCGTTTGCCAAGTGAGCGCATCGGTCTCGGTGGCATTTGCGCGTCTTTGACGACGTCCATTGCTTCATCGGACCAAGGCAAGTCGTTTGACTCTGCCTGCCTCGTGCGCTTGAGCGCATGCGCTGGCAGGGCTTCGCTCGATAGAGGGACAGCTTCGAAATTGTCGATCTCGCTCAAATCGAAGCCATCCGTGCCTGTCTCGTCGCTCGCATCTTGTGGTTGTGCAGCCAGGCGCGCGTCCCTTTCCTCTTCGATGGATTTGATCTGCCAGTAGGGTCTGAGCTCTGCGGCTTTACTGGTGTTGAGCACGACGTCTGCTCGTATGCTCGCTTCGGACTGCCATATGGCATGTGCGGATCTCTCGGCTGGCGGCAGAATGTTCACATCTCGTCTGGACAGACCGCGCGTTCCATTCGAAGGCTGATGACCTTGCGCAAAGCTGAGCACGGGTGCCGACTGGCTGGCCTGAAGCGAGCGATTGGCGTAGCGTGTCGTCTCGAGAAGCGAGGCGCTTTGATAGCCTCGATTGACGTTGTAGCGTCCCTCCATGCTCTTCTGCCTGATCAACGCCTGTATCTCTGGATTGACGGCATTGTAAGCGAGCGTCTGGTCAGCAGGACCTGTCTTTGGCGCAGACAGCTTCTTTGACGATGGCGAGCCGCTCATCTTGCCTCGTCGTTCGCGCACAAGCCTCTGCGGCCAGACGACGACAAGACTGACGTGCGACAGCGACGTGTTGAGGAGGACGCGACGACGACGACGAGGTTGACGACGTCTTGCGATGACGGACAGATCGCCTGCACATCACCAGTGACTCGGCCTGCGATCGTCTCTCGCAATGATGTTCGACGATCTCCAGAACGTGCTCCTGTTCCTGCTCATTGCCATCACCGGCCTGCAACTCACTGTCTTTCGAGATCCTGAACCTCTGCTGCATCCTATCCTGCTCGGCAGGCAGGCCCATCCGAGCAAGACAAGAAGACGATATGAAAGCGCTGTCTGGACACACGCAAGCTATATACAAGGCTTCGGACAGGTCAGCAGAGCACTGAAGACCGGCCCGAGCGTTTGACTGATGGTGCAAGATCAGCTCGCCGCAAGACCGGTCGGCTGGCTCAAAACGGTCAAAGACCTCCTCGAGCGAGCACCACCATCTGCGCTGCTCGATGACGCCAAGAGTGCTCGGCCAGCGTCTGAGCAGGCGCAGACAGTCCAAGTCGCACGTGATAGCGAAGCGAGTCAGTGCGTTCACCCTGTCGCACGCTGTCTGCTGAAATAAAACAGTCACACTCGAGAATAATGCCGAGTTCACACAGATGGTAGATTGCCTCGCATGTCTCTCATCGAGCTGACAGCAGGGAAAGAATATGACAGCAGGCTTGCATGCGTTGATATCGTCCCTGCCAGGCTACGCAACTTTGCCACGGTCAGCTGCAGGCTTGCCTGCCTCTTCTGGCCCGATTGTCACGAGCATGTCACCGAAAAGCACATATGGCTGCGCACTGGTGCTTCTCGCGCTCGCTTCAGGCGACGCCCTCGTCCGAGTGCAAAGCATGGACGACCTATACGGCAACTTGTTTGTGTCAGCAATCTTGCCAGCGTATGTGTGCTTCCAGCTGAACAGCTCCACAGCGAGCCTGCGACATTAGCGCCAACCCTTGCGAAGCTTCGTGCGCAGGTGAATCATAGCTCGATTGTGAAGCTAGCGGTCAATCGTAAGATGGCGTTGGCTAAGCAAGGCCTTCTTACTCGTACCTCGTCATGGGATCGACTTTACCTCAGCAGCTTTAGGCGACTCAACAGGGTCGATCGGCTGCGATCCATTGTACTCGTCTGCACATCTTGTATGCTCGCTACGCTAGGAATGACCCTGACTTACTTCGACTTACAGCCGACAGAGTAAAGCAGACTGATCTGACCTTTCTGCGAGCCTTACTCGGCTGTCCGGTCATGCTTTCTCTGACCCATCCCAACGTCTTCGGCCCTGTCGCAACGATGCATTACTATGACCTGCAAGATTTCCCCTTTGATGCCAATGATGCGCCGACAGGCGTGCAAGCCAGCAATATCGAAATCCAATTGACCGACGTTGCCGACACGGATGCCGACGAAGCAGAGGTGATGCGCGGCAAGGTAGGTGCCCCTCTCTTTCCTTGGAGCAGCGCCCAACTCACCCTCCTCGGCTAGTTGCGGCTGCGTGGGCCTGCAGTTGCACCGAAAGCAATGCAGAACGGCTGGTCAGAGACAGACATTCATGCCGAGATCAGAACAAATGGGACGCTGAAAGTCATCCATGCACTGTAGCACGTAGCAATGCACGACAATTACAACAGACCCTGCTTCTTGAGATCTTCAAAGACCTTGCGGTTGTATACATTGCCGTCTGCATCTTCCAACTCCTCCATCTCTTCCGCCCGATGCTGCTCTTGTTTCCCTTCCGCCTTGAGCTTAGAGGCCAGCGCAAGAGCATCTTCGATCTTTGTGATCTCGGCAAAGTGTTTCGTATTGGGCAGCCCCAAAGCACGCATGCCGAAAGCATGTCGTGATTCCATGAAATGACGTTCAAAGTTTTTGCTGCCAACAAGCACATCAGTAAGGATGCAAGCAGGCCGACGAAGGCCACGAACCGGCCCATGTAGACATGATCTGAGCAGATCTCGCACTTGTACTCGACACCAAGCCCGTGCAGTCGATAGAGCCAGTAAGGGATGGGCTTGCCATCCCAACCGAGCGGTAATCGCTTGGGGTTATATATCGTTCCGTCATCTTCCTCTTCCTCAGCTGTCGCCTGGCCGGCTGTATCCGTACCCGTCGCACCGGCAAGAGCGGCGGCAATCTCCTTCGCTTCGCGTATCTCCATCTCCTCGAGCTCCAGCTGGCGCTCGTGGTCTGTCAGAGAAGCCTTGCGTTCGACGTTGCTCTTCGTGTCTGCCTTGATACCAATGAGTGGTGAGCTCGTGTGATCCATAAGCCGCCTGATGATAGCCTCTTGCGCCGCAAGCGCCTTTTCGCGATCTCGTTTGCTGTCTTTGGTATGGGCGGGGGCTGGCGAACCATTCGCGTGGCCATTGGTCTGTGTCTTGGGTCTAGCAGCTGCTTTGAGATGCTTTTTGGACGTCAGATGGGCGTCGTAGACAGTCTGCTTTGAGTAGTGCTTCTGACAAGCCTCGCAATAGATACCCTCTGATGCATCTTCGCTCGCCCCATTGGTCGCTGCAGCTTGCTGAGCCCAGCCACGGACTGCACCCTGGGCCCAGTCGATCTCAAACGCTTTTTGAGCCTCCGCCTTTTCTAGCTCGATATCTAGCAGCGGAAAGACTCGCTGATAGAATGATTCGATGTAGGCCAGCAGATTCTTGAGATATCTGGCGCAGACAGGTCAGATGCTTTGTCAAAGGTGTGACGGAGAAAACTCACGTCGCGTAAGCTTGTCCCGAGGTCTTTCGAGAGCGATCGTATGTGTCGAAGCGCGTGACTGCGTCCAGGTAGGGCAGATAAGCCAGCCTGGTCTGCTCGGTCTGGCCGGGCAAGTTGTTGAACTCGCTATGGAGCAAGAGGAGGTCCAAGTAGCGGCCCAGTGCCTCTTCGCCGGTGAACATGCCATCAACACCTGTCGATCGGTTGCAAGCGGTCAGGAAACCGCGTGATGGGTGTGAGATATGGACGAACCCTCGTCATTTGCAGCATTGGCATGGGCGAGGCTGTCAACAAGCGACTGCTCGTCCTCTTCTGCCATCAGGCGGGCTGACTGATCAGGGTAGCGACGGTGGTGCTCCTTGAGTGCAGATAGGCGGGCGTAGAACTCGTCCATCTCACCCGAGCCGGAAGGTGCTGTCGTCGCGAGAGAGGAGCGTCCCGCGAGTGCATCGAGCTCCCGTCTGCGCTCTGCGGTGCTGTCGCCATACGAGCTCGTGAGCTGGTCTGACGTATCGACGATCCTGTCGAGCAAGGCAGTCGCTCTGAGGTCCCGTTTGATGCGAGTTCGCTGAGGAATGGGAACGGCTTTCTGGGTCCCGACGGCATAGAACTTGGCCTGGGCTTCCGGTACGAGCAAGGAAACGAGATGGGCTTCGTAGGTCTCTAGCAGATAGTGTGACTGCCTCTGGCCTTCAATCACGCTCGTTGATGCCTGCATCTTGGACCGACGTCTGCTGCAACGAGCAAAATTTGGCCAAGTCAATTCAAGAGATTATGCGTCGTGGCTGGGAAAGCCAGCTCGGTGGAGGGAGCAGGACAGCGGTTGAACACTGGCCATCAAAACAGCTTCAGCAGGAAGTCAGCCATGCCTTTCTTCGGGGGAGTGCTCGGCATTAGTTTGGCACCGTTCATCAGAGCGAGACCATCGCTCTATCGGTTCGTGAAGCCAATCGCGGACAAGTATCAGGATGCGTGCGGCTATCGCAAGATGGGCCTGCTGGGAGATGACATTATCCCGGACGAGAACCCCATCGTGGAGAGGGTGCGGGTCTCTTTCGCTGTGTCTTCTGGAAAGGTCCTGACAGTTCGTCATCCTAGGCACTCGCAAGACTGACCGATCGCCAACGCTACGACCGTGCCTTCCGACTCCGCACGGCCGTACAGTGCTCCGTGCTCCACCACGACTTGCCCAAGGATCAGTGGATCAAGCCAGAAGAGGTGCGCTCGACACGCCCTGTGGTGTTGCCCCGGAGCTGATTCATCCGGAGACAGGATATCTCATACTTGCGCAGCCACATCCGTGACATCGAAAAGGAAGACAAGGAGCGAGCTTACTGGGAGAGCGTGACTGTCAAGAAGAAGAGCGCGCACGCATAAGCCGGCTTCTGTCCGCTCGCTTGGGCCGGACTCTTTGTCAGAGCACGAGCTGCTCCCCCTTGCGATTTCGTCGCGCGTGTGTGATCCATGCAGATCGTCTTTTCATATCGAGCGATGCCTCCCATGACGTCTCGCCGAGCTACAGCTACATTGCGCAATTGCGGTCAGCCTGCCTGGTTCTGCTTCGAGCAGCCGTCATGGCATCTCAGCCGTCTGCGAGCTTGTTCGTCGGCATTGCAGTCATACAGACGAGTCGTGCCAGACAGCAAAGATTCGGTGGCTCATTGGTCGAGTGAGCGTGAAGTCTGTCCGTACACACTCCTATCTCGTTCTGTCTGTTCTTGAGAGCTTCGATTTCTCATCAAGAAGACATATCTACTTCTGCTGAAGAGATTCGTCTGTACAATTTCACATTGGAGAGCGCGCATTGCATACAATGACATCAAGGGAGGACACAGATGCATATTCGCTTGTTCCCTAGAGCCAGAGCTGCCAATGCGACTCTTCCAAAAGGAAAGAGCTCGCTTCTATTCTGGCTTCGACAGAGTTCTATTGGTTTATTTCAGTCGCCACCGCGCGCCCGTTTTTTTTTTCACGAAAACACAGCCCGCCCGCAGGCTTGGCTCGCAGTGAGTCCGACAGACAGAGTCAAAGTGACTGGACGGAGAGTTGTGCTGCAAGTCGGGCAACGCTGGAGAAGACGCGAGGGTGGCACAGCGTCCCGTGTCTTGCGGGTTGTTCCAGCCGTCGCCAGGCGATCTCGCTCTGATCCCGCCCCCTCCCGCGCGAAAGAGAGACCTCTACGGGCCGGCTAGATCTGCCTGTAGCATCCACCTGCGCGCCGCTCGCCATTCCGACGCTTTGCCAAGGCCGACTGACCAGACAAGAGCCTGCTTTGGCTCTGCTGCAGCGGCCCTGACGACGTGGTGCCTGAATCTGCTCGGCGCCGTCATCTCAGCCTGCCACCCCGGACGCTCGCCCAGCTGGCAGTCGACTAGCTAGCGACTCTCGCTCGAAGACCCAAGAGAGCCCCTCAATCACTCTGCTAACCGTTCGCGGCGCCCCACACAGGAGTGGGCTAGGACCGCTTCTCGACAGCCTCGACAGCACCCGAGCATACTCTGCGAGCATCTGCCCGCCAGACCGCCCTCTGAACGACTCTCCAGGGGCTTTTGGCTTATTGTGAGACGTCTGTCTGCCGCGACACCGGCAATTGCTCAGGCCGCTTGCCGAATACCTCTGTTGCGGGTCTCTGCTTGCTGCTTGTGAGCAGAGTTCTACCGTCTTGCAGACAGAGCTAAGCACCTAGCACCCAAAAGGCAAGCACCCGTCTCGCTGGCAAACGATACAAGCTGACACGGTGCACGCTCGCATAGGCATCGATGGCAACCGTTGCCCAATAGTCTGTCCCAACCCTTTTGCCGAGAAAGCGAGGTACCCGTAAGTCCATCTACCCGTTGCTTGAGCCATCGCTGACTGACAGATAGTAGCATCATGGCATCGCACCAATACCGCCCTCAGGACTACTTCCAGAGTACTCGAGAAGTCGATCAAGGCATACCCCCGCCTTATCGCTCCGCGCCGCCCTCGCCGCCAGACTTGGGTCATTCTCGCCCGCCGCGCATCGATACATCCGCAATCGATGGCAGCCAGATAGAACGAACCCCAACGCTGGCTAATCCTCAGCAGGGTCCCTTTGGTCATCCCACCGAGACCATCATCGCGATGCCAGACTCGCCAGATCGACCGCTGAGATCAAACTTTGCTTCGTCTGACGACGTATCCGGCCAAGCAACGCCTTATCCTTCTACATCGGCCTCAAATTCTGGATTGTCAAGCTTGCGCTCGTCCGTCTCTGGACCAACAGCGCTTATGGCCACCATGGGCATGACACCGCTCGCCGGACCGTCCAATGCTTCATCATCTGCGATCAATCTAGGCCGACCCTCAATGGAGAATCTGGCAAGTGCAACAAATCGCAAGTCAAGCAAGCCAAAATCGCGAAAGCGGCCCGCGCCAATCAATCCGCTTGACGACAATGACCTCATGCGTCTTGTCTCTGCCGAGATTTCGCCCCGCTCAAATCTTGCAGACGAAGAATCAGAGACTGATGATGAGGGCCAGCGCACGTCGAGGCCTGACCAATTGTCTAGGCAGTCTTCTGCCAGCCTTACGGCCATGTCAAATTCGACAGACGCAGAGGACTCTGACCAAGAAGACACGCTATGCTCAGAGAATGCTTCGCGGCATCGTAGTGCTTTCGGGCTTAGGCCAGAGCCCGTTTCGGCTCGTTTGCTGCGCCTCGTATCTTCTTCTGGCGAAGATGATCCAGATTACACTTCTTGCTCGCAAGCATCCTCCAGGGTGCCTTCGCCTGCTCTGCCTTTAGCAAGCCTGCAACGGCAATCTGTCGCGCCTCCGGGCGCGAATCTGCTCGTGCCGTCTGGTGATCGACATTTACATCCGAATGGCACAAGCTATACAGGACGTCATCACCACCATGTTCATCACCACTATCATCTTCCACCGGGACCGAATGTCCTCGTAGGGGATGCTCAGCCAGCGAGGTCGAACAAGTCGCGATCAGAGAGCACCACACTTGCTGGCTCCTCGACAGACGAAAAGGAAGACTCTGGTTCGTCTGACATGCAGCAGAACGAATACAATGTACCGGACTACTATACGAGCCATCACTACAGGACGTCCAATCTTGCTCGCAAGTTGGGTTTCTCCGGTTCGTCTGTCAAAGAGGGAAAGCACGATGTCGGCCATCTGCCAAGCACGATGCCTGGCAAGAAGGGCAGACGCGGCCAATGGTTCGAGAGGCAAAACAGGTCAAGGCGCGACTCAAACCTTTACTATCAGGGCGTGAACCCAGGTCATATTCACCTGTCGTCCTCTTCCAGCTCGGTAGACTCGCCGACGCGACCTGTCCGATCACGCAAGTCTGGCTCATCTCACGTCGGCTTCTGGTCACGATTGGCAGATCATCCTTTCGTGCCGACCAGGCCGCTGACGATTCTATTCGCACTTGGCGCAATCGCAGCGTTTGTCGTCTCAACGACCACCTTGATCAAGTATATACTCAATCCTGACAAAGAGCCGCTACCTTGGCGGACAATGTGTCAAGATCAGCGACCTTTCGATCACGCATTAGCAGACGCGCTGCCACCCGTCAATATGTTCGTGGGGGTCTTCTCTGTCGATGCAGCCTACGAACGACGGCACCTTATTCGATCAACGTATGCTCGTCACTCTAAGCCCCTCGACCCCAAGACTGGGCAACCAGCACAGAATATTCAGCTGAAGTTCATTCTCGGCCGGCCGCGCAAGAACCACGCTCGTCGCTTGGCTCTCGAAATGGAGACCTACAACGATATAGTCGTGCTCGATATCAAGGAGAATATGAACAGGGGCAAAACGTATGCCTTCATGCGATGGGCAGCCGAGAACGCAACGATCCCTTTCAACTATGTGCCTCAACATGGTCGAACGCAGTCATTGCAAGGCGGAACGATCACGCAGCCTGTCAGCGTTGGCTTCCGCAAGGCAGATTACATTGTCAAAGCCGACGATGACTCATTCCTTGTCCTTAGCGAGCTCGAACGACATATGCGCGTGTCGCCGCGTGAGAAAAGCTATTGGGGATGTTAGTCGTCTGTCTCTCGCTATTGATCCTATGCTGAAGACATTGCGCAGATTTGATCAACAGCGGCTTCATGGCCGGCGAAGTCTATGCCTTATCGGCTGATCTTGTTCAGTACATCGCATCAGATTTGACGCTCCTTTCGCATACTATCGGCCCGGAAGACAAGAAGGTGGCCAAATGGATGCGGCTGCACCCCAATGCTTCGAGCATCAATTGGATCAGCGAGCGATGCTACATTTACGATCATCCCAAAGCCTCCACTGTCTACTCGCATGGCTTCCTGTTCCCAGACGAAGTTGAACGGATACGGCTGGAAGGCAGACGCGGCATCTCTGTTGCCGAGACAGCTCGACGCGGAGGCGAATTCTATAGTCAGTCCTATTCTACAGTCAACGAATGGGGCCTCGAATATGCACCCCCGAGAGAAGGCATGACCATGGAAGAGGAAGTCGAAGCGCTCATCGAAGGAGGCGGACGATGGAGCACACAAGGCTTCGTAGATCTACCGACGCCCAATGACGGTGTCGATGCAGAAAGCGTGCTCTTTGATGCCAACGATGTCCGCCTCGCGCGCAATTCTGCTTCGACCCGCAGACTGCTCAACAAAATGCAGTAAGCCCTACGTTCTGATTCTCCGCCATATTTACTGAAGCTGCTTTTCAGGTCGTCCCAAACTGCGCAGCCTGCACCGGCCGAAATCAATGCAGCAGCGGCACACTACACCAAGCTTGGTCACGATCTGCTTCGGGATCCTACAGACGTACAGATCCCCGGATTATCTGCTCTGCGTGAAGGTGAACACGACGATGCGGCTCGACAGCCACACCAGACATGGGCCATCTTCCCCGATGGCGATGGTGTCCCTGAAGACACAAGACGGCCCTATCCAACGCTCCGCTACGATGCTGAAGCGATGCGAATCAGATCACAGCGCATGCTCGGCAGACCGTATGGCGGGACTGTCGCTGTTCACTACCTCAAGCGCAACGAATGGTTTTTGGAGACGTCACTCGCTCTGCTCGGTCGCTTTGAGACTTGGGACTCGGGTGCAGCAGCTCCGGCATACACTCGCGAGACGCAGCACGCCGTGCCGCGTATCGGTGTTGCAGACGACGAGACCTCACTCGACCTTGAGGATCATCAGGCGCAGCGGAAAGTCATTGTCACCTCGAAACCGCTGACCAAAGGCAAAGAGCAAGTCGACGAAGTACCGAGCGCATGGGGCAATGCTCGCATGTTTGGCAGTCCCATTATACGGCCGGATGGCTACCTGCAAGAAGGTCGCCCTGTGCCACCGCCCATCAAGGTCAAGGAGCCCCCATCGATTGGATTCGGTCGATTCCAGAATCTGCCCAAGGCTGCTTACGCAGAGCCTAATCACCCACTATTGCAGAAGCCCTTCCCAGAAGTCAAACCGAAGGAGCCCGCAGCGTCTTCTTCAGACGAGACAAGTTCGACCTTGCCAACTGTTGCGCTTCTCGCGCCTAATGCGTCAAGCCCAGCCGTAGCCGATGCTACTCTGCCAACGACAAGCAGTCTTGAAGAACCGACAAGCTCGTCGACGCCGATAGCAGAGCCCGAGCCTGTTTTGGTCGTCGGCGAGGCTCAACAGATACCTGCTCAAGACGAGCCTAGACCATCATCTACCGCAACGTAAAGACCTCGCATGACTGTAATAGCCCTAATTTGTCTAGTATGTACAACCGTTGCTGCAGAGAGATCTAGCCAGCGTGTGCGTGCGAGTCAGACTGATTGAATATTGATTGAATGATTTTGCCGCCGCCGCCGCCGCTGCCGCCGCCACCGCTGGAGAGCAGCGCGTAAGCTCGTAAGCGTGATAGCCGACCTGCTCCACACTTTCGCACGACTCACCATGGCCGCAAAGATCGAGTATACGCCGGTGTCTGAGATCTCTGGGGTATGTGTTAGCGTCGTCAAGGCATCGATGACACTCACGCCTTTCCCTAGATCGTCCAAACCGTCAAAGATGGCTTCATGACGTTCAAGACGAGGCCTCTCGAGTATCGCATCAATCAGATCAAGCAGCTCGGCTTGATGGTTCAGGACAATGAGGCGGCCTTCCAAGCGGCTCTGTACGCCGATGTGAGCCTCCTACACAGGGACTGTCCGGGGGCGTCGCTGACCTTTCGCTTGATGTCATCAGCTTGGCCGACCCGCACTCGAATCTTTCTCCTGTGAGATCTTTGTGATCAAGAATGACATTGCGGAGATGATACACAAGCTGCCGAAATGGGCAAAGCCAGTCAAGGCTGACACGGATCTTATCTGGTCTGCTGCAGGGCCAAAGGTCTACAGAGAGCCCAAAGGCACCGTGCTCATTCTCGGGACATGGAACTGTCAGCCTCTGTTTGCGCTTGCTGCGAGATGTGAAGCTCACGCCTGGCCGAGCAGATCCTATCACGCTCTTGCTTGCTCCACTGCTCGGCGCGATCGCAGGCGGCAACACGGCCATCATCAAGCCGGCTGAGCAAGCCATCAATATGGCCAATCTCGTCACCAAGCTCATTCCTCGCTATCTCGACCAAGCAGCATATCGAGTCGTCAACGGCGCCGTCGAAGAGACGACAGAGCTGCTCAAGATCAAGTTCGATCACATCTTCTATACGGGTAGTGGAACGGTGGGCAAGATCATCGCAGTAGCGGCAGCAAAGCAGCTCACACCTGTCACGCTCGAATTGGGTGGCAAATCGCCCACGATTGTCTTCGAGGATGCCAATCTCAAGATCGCTGCACGACGCATTATGTGGGGCAAAGTCGTCAATGCCGCTCAGACCTGCATCGCGCCTGACTATATTATGGTTCATGAGAGCATCAAAGATAAGCTCATCAATGAGATCAAGAATGTCATGGACGCCTTCTATCCCGCAAAGAACCCGCCCCAGCTCGAGACAGATGGCTACTCTGCCCTCATTCACGAAAGACACTTTGAACGCATCAAGGGAATGATCAACGACACCAAAGGCCGCATCGTGCTGGGTGGTCGCACGAATGAGAAGAACCGCAAGATCGAGACCACCGTCGTCACCGACCTCAAGAGCGACGATGTCTTGATGCAGTCGGAGATCTTTGGTCCCATTCTGCCCATCTTGACCTTTAATCACCGCGATCAAGTCGTTCAAAAAGTCAATGAAGGGTTCGCACGTTGTATGAACACGCCCGACGCGTACTGACCTCCGCAGCAGAGATTACCCGCTTGCGATGTACGTATTCACCAACAGCGCAGCCAACCGCGACTACATTTTTGAGCGCACTCGATCTGGTCAATTCGTGCACAATGACACGCTCATTCAATTCATTGGTATGCCATGTGTAATCCCAGACATATATCGCTAATCCTACACGCAACAGTGCCCGGTCTTCCCTTTGGCGGCACTGGCGCGAGCGGCACGGGCAATTATCACGGCAAGGCCTCCTTTGACTGCTTCACACACGAGCGAGCCTATGCCTCTGTGCCTGGTTGGTTCGAAGCGCTCATTGCTGCACGCTATCCGCCATACACGTCGTCCAATCTCGGCATGCTGCGCACTTTCACCGCAAAGTCACTCACTTATGAACGTCCTCGCCCAATCGGCACGAACGGCGCCGGGCCTGCCTACGTTGCGCCCACTTTCTTGTCGAAGCTGGTGCGCACCATCAGAGGCAGCGGACTCATCAAGCTGCTACTGCTCCTTATTGGCACTTATTCGGCTCTCAACGTGCGCTCAAAGCTATGAAAACCCGCAGAAAATGACAGATGCAATCGTGATGGGTATTCTGCGTGCTATACATGGATACATGGTCGCGGTTTCACTGGAATACACTGCGGTCCTGCTCAGGTGATGGCATCTCGAATCTGAGCGTTTACGTACTTGTCCGCGTTTGGTTTGACTCGCCACCACTCATTCATGCATGCGTACGGATCCGGGTCGAAGGATTGCTTAGGGTCGCACCAGCACTTGCCGGGCGGCCCTTGTCGCTGGGGACAATGCCACCACGGACCGTGATAGTATGCGATGTCGTTGAAATGATGTATTCTCTGCTTTGGTAGCAGCAACGCTGCAGCTATGCTATGTACGGGTGCATCCCCCCATCTTTCGTAGAAGAAGTTGCCAGTCTTGTCGAGATAGTCGAAATAGTCAGAGTATTCTTTCGACCGATAGAATCTGGCGTCGGCTATCTCGAAATTGCTCCAGAAGTGGCAGTTGTTGTAGTCCTGTTCTAGTATCGACTTGCTGGCCGTGTCGACGATGAAATGGGCGGAATTGTCGGGAGCGAGATAGTCTGGATGCTCGCGGAAAAAGTCCTGCGTTGTGGTCCAGAGAGTGGGTATCGTAGCTCGGTATTCTATGCGTACGTAGCATGAGCAGAGGACGTGCTACAAGTGCAAGACGGACCATGGATGCTGATCGTGAAGCCATATGTAATATTGTTGCGCTCCATGAACAGGAAGGGGTCATAATCGAGATCGCAAGCAATCTGGATGCCTGGCTCGACCCTCCACTGCGAAGGCAGCTGTCAACATCGCTAGCTGATCGACCATGATGCAACGCACGTAGTAGTCGAGGTGCTGTATCGCTGGCATGCGGTAGAAGAAGCCGCTATTGAAGCGACACATATGACGGTAAGGCTCGCTATCGCCGTAGATGATGCCCGCTTCACCCATCTTGCGCCTCTCGTCTGCTGCTCGCGTTTGATCGACCCAGGCAGGATAGCTCCAATAGTCGCGGGGTATCTGCTCGAAAAAGACGGGCGCTCTCGTGCGCAGTCGTACGCCTGCCTTGAAGTCCTCTGAGAAAGGCTGGTCGTTGAAGAGGTACCAAGGGTACCCGAACTTGCGATTGAAGGCCTTCTCGACCTGTGTCATGCTGTCGCCAAACGACTCGAGCTCTGAATTGCGGACGAGCGAGACGAAGCCGGCGTTCGCTCGCTTGTACTTGTTGAGCGACATGAAGTTCATCTCGGGGGGATAGTACATTCCATCGTTGCTGAGCACGAAGCTGGGCTCAATGTTGGCCTCTTCCAGGTACCGATAAGGCGACGTATCGTTGCCTGACAGCCAGGACGGTACCCAGCGGTCTGCGCTCAGGCGCGAGTTTGTCGCTGACAGGCTCGAGAACCCGAGCACAAGCAGGAGCACGGTCACTACAGCCAGTAGGAGCCGTACACTTCTCGCCTTCAGGGTTTCTTGCCAACCCTGCCAGTTCCCCAGCCGATCTTGCATCGACGTCGGCAATGTCATGCTGCTGAGGGGCAAGTAGCTGCCCTTGTCACCCATCGACGGCGTGTTGAGCAAGTCTTTCCACGCTCCCATCGTGTCTCGGCTCGCGCCTCAGGTCTGCCCCATCTGACGGTGTCGATTGCGGCGTGGCCAGGCGGCAAGAAAGCGCGACGACTCAAAAGAAGAGGAGACGCGACAGGAATGCAATCCATCGGTGCCCATGCGCAGAGCGTTGGGCAGGCAACGGCTCGTTGTCCATCACAGCGGGACACGAGACAGAAGCATGCTCTGTCTTACCACTTGAAGAAGCTGAGCTTCAAGTACTTGTGCCGACCGGGCATATTCGTGTTGCTGATGGCGCCAGAGTGCCACATAGGGTCGCTCCGCAGCAAGATCGTGCCGTCTGCTGGCAATCGCGACTCGGGCTGTGCGCTCTCAGGAATCGCTCGTCTTGGAATTGATACGATTCGGCAATTGCAAGAGCGCCATCAGTGCCTCTGTCTGCGGATTCGTGAATGATTGCGCTGCGGATTTGCTTCAGGATGAAAGACCATACAAAGGCAAATGCGACTCACGGTGGGCGCTGCTGTCGCTTGCACCTTCGGCGGTCGGCGCGGTACACGCAAATTGCTGCACCGACTCTACTGGGATCTTCCCGCCATCTGCAAGATTGTCCTTGACCCACTGCACTTCCTTCTCCACCAGCCCTTTGACGATGCTTGGATCATACGGCAGAGGCTTCTGTCGTCGTTCGAGCGTTAGCCAAGGATGAAGAGCTCGCGTGATGGCCAGCCAATAAGGATCGAACGTCATCGTTGGTCCAGTCGCTTCGAGCGGGTCTGACGGCATCTCCATGACATGCAAGAACTGTTGCTTGGGCAGGCATTTGCTGAGCGCCAGAAATCTGGTCGCTATCGTCTCTGCGCGAAGCGGCGCTTCGAGCGGAAGCAGTGGCGGTTCGACAGCGACCGTATCCTCGTCGTCACTCAGCGCAATCGCGTCTGGGTTATCGAATGAATTGACTGCGACCGTGTTGTCGATGGACTCGTCCACGCCACGTCTGGGCACGAGCGCATCCGCCTCTGCCTCGTCTGTCGAATCGTCTAACGTGATCGCATCGGGATTGATGGAATCTGTCCCTGCTGGCGCATCAGCTTCAGCGGGCTGTGCCTGATTGCTGCCTCGGTTGATTTGAGTAGCCGAGCCGTCGTGCTTGACCAGAGCCGCGAAACGAGCGTGCAGATGTGCTGCAAACCAGAAAGGTGGCTTGAGTACTCGGAGCAGATGCATGAGAGGCGGCGAGCCGAGCGTGTTGCTCTCGATCTAGAAACAATTTTCAGCAATCGAAGACCTCAATACGGCATCAGCGAGCACCTCTTGGCGGAAGTAGGGCTTGTAGCGCAATAGACCAGCCAAATCGCCATGATGAGCAATGCCGAGCGGCCAGTCGTGCGACAGAAAGACGTCTGGCGGCGCAAGCGACAACTGCGTGCCGCGTGAGCGTTGGAAATTTCGCGCAGATGAAAACATGCCTGCCCGAGTCTGAAGACATCATACTCGCGTGTATGATAGGTACTTCTGACGGTCGAGCGATCATAGGGCAGCGTTTCAAACCGGCCGGATTGGTAGTCGTGACTCTTGTAGATGCCACTGATGCCCGATATTCTGAGACCGTTGATGAGGAGCGAGCCTGCTGCGCCGAGATAGTAGATTCGTGGTGCGAGCCTGTCGTGTCATTCACACGTCAAGCGCATTCGCTTGCTCGGGCTCGTAGAACTGACCAGCCGCCGTGAAAGCTGGAATAGTCAAGATTGAGATATACAGCCAGTCAGCAGCAGCGAAGGACTGACAGTTCCCACATGTAGTTACTCGCTTCGTGATTGCCTCCGATGACAATGGTCAGGAGAGGCGCTGTCTTTTTGCCGCTATAGTAGCTACCCCGTCGTACGTGAGCCTAAGCACGGCCATCGTACAAGTGATGTGCCCACTCTGAGAAGCCGCCGAGGCGCTTGTATTTGTCAGGCACGGCAAAGCAATGCAAGTCTGCATGGTTCCTGAGAGCCTGTTCCGCCCCGCTCAGCGTGACCGAGACCGCGTGGCATCGTCTTGCTGACTGACTTGGAAATCACCGCAGGTGAGCAAAAGGTCAGTCTGCTGTCCTTCTCGACGGTCTACGCTCGCGAGAGTGCCGTAGATATCGTCAAGCTCGCCATGACAGCAGCCTTCTATGGCGACCTGCCGGCCTGTGCATTCAGGACTGGGCACGTCATCACTAAGGGCAGCCGACACACTCGCATCGATGCAGATCTGCTGAGACGCCGGAGAGCCTGAGGGAACAAGACGGCAGCAGTTCGCCGCCGAGGCCATGACATGCCGTCGCGCCCAAAATCTTGTTTTCCTGGTGAGCGTCATCGAGCCATCGCAGGAGGACAGCGACACCTCGGACCGATTGAGATGGATGAGGAGCTAGCCTACCTCCAGCCTGGCTTCAGTTCATCCTCGCTGACTGTCGCCAAGCTGAGAGGCATCCTGCTGAAGCACGATGTCGCTTTTAAAAGCAACGCAAAGAAAGCAGAACTCGTCAAGCTGTTCCAGGATCATGTCGCCTCTGCCGCCCCCGTGAGTGCATGCCATGCGACTGTCTACGATCGGCTTATGCAGTGGAGTCGTCTAGGCCTTGCTGGCGCGCTCACACGCGACAGAGCCATCAGATGCAGGCATCGAGACCTTAGCGATGCAATCCGCTCGTCAGGCAGACTCATCCTCTCCCTTACCTTCCCCTGCACAGCCTGCTGCGAGGATCAGCACGAGCACCAAACCGCGCAATGCCAGTTCAAAGGCCTCTGCCCGCCCTGATGACGATGAGATATTTGCATCAAAATCCACGAGCGCGAGCGTCAGCAGGTCGCCCAGCAAGGGCAAGAGCACTTCTCCCAGGAAGAGTGCTGCGACGCCTGCTGCTCGCAAGTCTGTCGCAAGTGCCATACCCGGCCGTAGCCGCGTCACGACGCCCTTTCGAGCCGAGGACAACGAAGCCGAACTCGAACGTCAACTCGGTCTAGGAGGATTTGTACGTGTCGGGCACTCAAAGATGCTGGACTGGCTGATTTGCATGTGCGTGTAGCTTTCCGGGACTGCGAAGAAGCAGATGGAAAGGAGCGGATTACATTCGCCCGGTCAATCATCACCGCCCCGATTTGAGTCTCCCGCCGAGTCAAGACCCAAGGTAGTCGGTCGTGGCAATGCCCTTCGCGAGCTGTCACCCGATTCTGATTCCGACGAGCCCTCGAGCAGCGCCAAGCCCTCTGAGCGTTCTTCACGCATCTCTCGCGCCTCTTTGCCAGCCTCGGCCTCGACCAGCAACCTCAACGGCGAGAATGGACATACGACAGAGCCGCCGTCATCATCGCCTGTAAGCTCGAAGAAACGGTCTCGCAAGTCCGGCTTCTCAAATCACAACCCTTTTCAGCGAGAGACCGATGATGACACCGATGAAGATGCCGAGGAGAGGACAGTGTCTAGCAAAAAAAAGGCAAGACAACGCTCGCCTCGTCATTCAGAAGACGCGGAGTCCAATCTTCTAGCTACCTATACGCGCGGCTTGTCAGAGACTGAGGCTATGGAAGATGTCACCTTTAACACTGCCAGCGAGACACCGAGCTTCGACATGTCGCCGCCTAGCTTCAGCACCATTGGATCCAATACAGACATGAGCATGCAGAGCGCGGGCGTCTCCGCCGCCACGACGCCTCTTCCTCGCTCTCAATCAGCTCAGGCTGCCCTGGGTAGCCGCAACCCGACTCTTCTTGGGACCACAGGCAAGGATCGTCGCTCGACATTTACTCCCCATGCACCTTCGCCATTGACCTTACACTCTCAAACGCGTGGTCCCTCGGTCTCATTTGGCAAAGCTCAGCCTGATCTCTCGTCGAACGGCTCCAGCAGCAGTCCTGCCAGAGTTTCCTCCCGCTCCCCGAAGCGAGCTAGTATGCCGGCATCGACCACGCAGGCACAGACGCAAGGTACACCGAGTTTCATCCAGTACATGGCGCCTATCGATCAGCTCGTCAGTCCGCCGCCGGAAGAGTATGCGCGCTTTTTGAACAGCGTCAAAGGCGATACTTCTGCAAACGGCAGCAACAGCGTCAGCGCCGCTCCCGCCATTGCTGCCACGCCAGAACAGACCCTTGCGAAAGCGCGCGCTGATTCAAAGGCTCTCCAAGCTGAGGAATCTAGGCGCAAACGCATTCCACGCCCTCCCAAGCCGAGAGAGCTCATCCTTCCGAAACCGCATATCGTTCTGCCAGACCTGTTCAGACCCATCAAGCAATTTGTCCTGTCGCCTCTTTCGTATCTCTTCCTCTTTGCGACGCTCTTGACATATGGCAATTGGTACCGCAGTCAGAAGCTCGCAAAGGGTTTATGTGATACAGGCAGCGACAGCGTGGGAGGCCGACACGCGCCTTTCAGCATCGACGCAGGCACGGATCACATCGATGCAGACGGCACGCAGATCAGAGTGCTTCGGCCACGCGCGACTGCCATCCAAAGAGCTCTCGTGCCCGTCTGCACGCTCTGTCCGCTCCACGGCATCTGCCAAGATGGTCATCTGATAAGCTGTCAGAAAGGCTACGTCGCTCGCAAGAGTTCCTTCACCCTCGGTGGATTTCTGCCCATCGCGCCTGTTTGCCAGCCAGATACTGCACGTTCTGAGCGGATCGAGAGCGCGGCTAAGCTAGCTACACGACTGCTGCAGCGTCATCGTGGCGAGATCATATGCAACACTCGCATGCATCTCGCAAGTCCCTCTCCACCTCTAGGCGAGGAACGCTTCGGCACCGAAGCAGATACACTCAAAAGCGATCTCTTGCGCGTTGAGGTATGCTCGCCATTCTGCTCTGTTGCTATAGCTTAGAGATGCGCACAGACAAAGTGGTCGCCTCAGGCTTGGCAAGATGCGGTGGAAGAAGCAATCGCTCAGCTTCACCATCGTGACGGCATTCTGTCGCAGCCTGCAAAGTATGCTCATCTTGTGGACTGATAGACCGTCCGCTGACGCGCTGGCAGTGATCGTCGCATGCTCATTGCGCGTGACGAGATTATGACACTCACGTGCCGCGCGAGACTGGCTTCGCAGCGCTTCATCTTCCGTCATAAAGGCTCTATTGCGATAGTATTGGCTTTGCTTGGCTTCTCAATCTGGGCAAAGTTCAAGTACAATCAGCGCGTGAAGACTCGAGCAGCAGTCGGTGAAATGGTAGAGACGGCGCTCGATAAGCTGCAAGATCAGCAGTATCGTTACTATCTCGATCCCAGCCTAACCCCGACCCCCTACGTCGCGCCAGCTCATCTTCGCGATGCGATCTTGTTCTCGGTCCACTCGCCTGCCTCTCGACAGGCTCAGTGGCGTCAAGTGGAGAAGATCGTCGAGGGCAACGCCAATGTTCGCGTGCGAGAAGCAGAACAGCGGGGAGAGATGTTGCGCGTATGGGAATGGGTGGGCGAGATGGAGTTTGACTACGATTTCGCGGACACGAGCATGGCAAGCATGGGCGGTTCTCCAGCGGGCAGCGAACGTCGTCGAAGGCGCATCAGCATGCGCCCAAACACGCCGGCAGTGGCTGCGTCTACATCGGCGCTCTATCCGAGCTTGCCATGAGGCAAAGGAAGACAAAGCATGTGTTGTACAACAGCTGACGAATTATGAAGTAATGTTTGACGATGCTTTTGGCGCACTCGAGATGGGCGTGCGACTCCCATCATCAGACTGGACTTGATTGTATACATGACCGCCTTCGAGCGACTGACGATGAGCAAAGTCGACGGATTCGACGCTTTCACCGTAGCCGGCACGACCGAACCGAGCATCTTTCTCGTCGTCTTCGTAGCCCGCGGTGCCAAGGCTCAGGCTCACAGAGCTCGCCCAGGGATCGTCTTCGCGTCGACCAGCACCGGCATGGCCGTTTGCGCCGCCTTGAAGGTCTAGCTCGGATGGATTGTTGGCTGCTGCGCGTTTGAGATGAGCCTGATGACCGCGTTGGTTGCCCATCTCGAAGGTGTCGTCCTCGTCGTCGCTGCCGAGCTCCTCGTGCTTGCCAGCCGCCTTGTTACCGCGTCGGCTCTGAGCTTTGCCCCCGGGTACAAAGGGTAAGTCGCGGAGAGAAGCGGGCACGAGGTTGGATCTGCCTTGCGCCCGCCTTCGTCGACGGATGAAGAACCAAGCGATGCCTGCACTGAGCAGAACGAGTGCTTGAGACGCGTCGCTGAGCGTGAGCACAGTCTGGAAGGTCAGCGCGATAGCGTACCTGCCAAGCCTGCGACGAGGCCAATGAAACCTCCCTCTGATCCTGCTACGGTAGGACCTCCATAAGTACTCTTTGGCGGCGAGGTGGCATAGCTCGTCTCGGTCCTGCACTCCACGCTCTGAGCGCCTGCCTACCTGGCCCCGTCGACCGATGAGGCGCTCGACTCACGGGTTCTTGTCTGGATCTCCTGCTGCCACTCCGCCTCGCCGGTGCAGGGCGTGAAGCTGTTCAGGTGACAGCGGCGCGGGTGCAGGCGTCGGGGCAGGCACAGGCGAGCCATAGATGGGCCGAGCGAGGCCTAGCACTCCTGCGCCTATCAACAGACTCTGTGCTGCACGCCGTCGCAGCATCTCTTGGATCAACTCGTCGAACGGCTGCCGTGCTGCGCGGAAGCCAAAAGGAAAAAGCAGCGCGGCAGATCCAAAATTGCCACGAGGAAGTCCGCTTTAAAGCTTGCCGGAGACGGTGACGATGCTGCAGCGGTAGAGGTTTGTATGGCGATGACGGTGGCAGTGCCGTGGAGCGAGTCGGCACAAGCCAAGGCTGCCCTGCTCAACAGCAATTTCTTCTACGACAGGCGCAAAGTTCCCGCTCAGCCGTTGCCGGGCTCTCCAGTCCGTCGGGGACAGAACAAGTCGCTCTTGCAGGCACAGAGAGACCAACAAGACTCTCAACGCTATGGCGGCTCAGCCCGTCGGAGATCAGACGCTCCCCCGGCTTCTGCAGCCCGCCCAAGCTCATTCGCTGACGGCAATCAGTCAGCCGCATCTGAGCTCGAGGGACAAGCCTGGCGTGGCGGCCAGGCGCCAACAAGGCCAGACTCGAAGAAAGCTGTCTCATACTTCTTCCCCAAGGACGTAGGCGAGTACCATTTCGGCGAGCGGCATCCCATGAAGCCACATCGTCTCACTTTGACCAATCATCTCGTCATGGGCTACGGCCTCCACCAGAAGATGGGAGTCTACCAGCCCCGTATTGCCGACAAAGCAGAGCTTCAGACCTTTCATGATCAAGATTACATCGACTTTCTATCGAGGTCAGTTTGTCGGCCAGGGTACGGATGAGTTGGCTTGCTCAGAGGACGCCCTTCACACAGGATAACACCCGACAACGCCAAAGAGTTCGGCAACACACTCTCACGCTTCAACATCGGTGATGATTGTCCCATCTTTGACTCGATGTTTGACTACTGCCGCCAATACGCGGGCGCATCACTGTCCGCTGCCAGACGACTAGCAGCAGGCACGACCGATATTGCCATCAACTGGGCCGGCGGACTGCACCATGCCAAGAAATCCGAGGCTTCCGGCTTTTGCTACGTCAACGACATCGTGCTGGGCATACTCGAATTGCTCAGAGTGCATGCCAGGGTGCTCTATATCGATATCGATATTCATCACGGCGATGGCGTCCAGGAAGCGTTCTATAATTCCAACAGAGTCCTGACAATGTCCTTCCACAAGTATTCCGAGCACTTCTTCCCCGGCACGGGTCACATGGACGAACTAGGCTCTCAACTCGGCAAATACTTCTCGCTCAATGTCCCCTTGCAGGACGGCATCGACAATGAATCCTATGTGGCACTGTTCAAGTCGATCATGGAACCCACCATCGCTACCTTTCAGCCTTCCGTGATCGTCCTGCAGTGCGGTGCAGATTCGCTGGGCTGCGATCGATTGGGCTGCTTTAACCTGTCGATTGCAGCCCATGGCGAATGCGTTCGCTTCATCAAAGCTTTCAATCTGCCATTGCTCGTTCTCGGTGGCGGGGGCTATACGATCAAGAACGTCTCCCGATGCTGGACTTATGAGACTTCGGTCTTGCTCGATGCTCACAATGACATCTCCAACGTCTTGCCAATGACTGCTTACGATGACTTCTTCGCGCCAGACTTCAAGCTTCATCCACCGCTTTCAGGCAAGATAGAGAACCTCAACACTCGCAAGCAACTCGATCAGATCCGAGTGGGCCTGCTCGAGCGCCTACGCTTCATGCATGGCGCGCCCAGCGTGCAAATGTCAGTCATACCGCCCGAGCTTGCGCCTTGGCTCGATCAAGAGGAAGAGATAGAGGCCGCTGCTCGACAGACATCCGACGGGCGCAAGACCGACCAGCACAAGTCAGGCGAAGACTACTTTAGCTCTCAGACCGATCAAGATCAAGCGCCCGTCACGCCAGGCGACCGGATCACGTCCGATGCTGTCGCTTTCGATGCGGCAGCATACTCGAGCTCGGCACGCTTGGCTGACACGCCCCCTTCGAGGCGGATGTCGGTGAGCAGCGTCACCTTTGCCAAGCCGGATCTGGCAGCTCAGGCGAGTCCCACCGGTGAGTCCTTCGCCGAAGCACCTTCCAAGACCTCGCGACCGCGTTCCACGGGTAAAAGGCGCAAGAAGGTCACCCTCGCCGAACCTCTGCAGGAGCAGGCAGAGCCCGTCGTTTCTGGCACGAACCAAGGAGACGACGCTGGCGATCCGTCCGAGCGTACCGATAATGCACCAGCTGCTGCAATGCGTGATGCTGACGAAGCTCAGACAGCAAGCGAGCAAGTGCGAATGCAGACTGACTAGATTGCACGGTGTTGTTGTACTGCTCAATGTATGGTCGAGCCCGGTGGCAAACGGGGCGTCAATGATGATCATTTACATCGGAAAGTGTGGGGTCGGCCTTTCATCATTGCTATCACGCAAAAGCTGCGACCTCTACGCTTGACCGAGCGTACCCAAGAGATAACGCGCACTACCCACGGTGCTAGACACCACGCTCACACAGCGTATACAAGTCATCAGGCCATCCGTGTCGCTGCTTAATCACTGTGCTCAGAAGCCCCTTCTTACGCGTCTCAGCCCTCTAGGTGCGCTCACTCGAGCAACCTTGCAGGAGTTGCTCCCATCCTACGTGTAGCACGACTGACAAGTCAAGGATATCTAGGTCTATAGACGCGAAAAGACAGAAAGGAGAGCGTATATTCGGCACCGAACAGAATCGCCCTTTGCGCGAAGTCACTTCACGCATATCGTGTCACATCATATCATGTAAGTGTGTCTTTGTGACATCCAATCTGCTCGCTCTGTTCGCGATCTCTCCTTGCCCCCTTGCCATCGCCGCGCAGGCTCGGCCAATTCTCCGCGCGCGGGCGAGGATGGGGGCAACTCCACGTGTCGACGTGTCAACTGCCTCGGCCCAAAAATTTCTTCTGCGCCGTGAAAATTCAGGCGATTGAAAGCGCAGAAAAGCACAGGAGCTGACTGACTTGCTTCCCTCTGCTCACCTCCATCGCACGGACGCTTGCGATTGATCCGCAATTGACGTTCGTTTGCTCATAAACGGATCATCATCACGCTGGCGAGCAATAGACTAGACAAAATGTCGCCAGCACCCGTTGCTAAAACGGCGGTCTCGACGCCCGTCAAGATCGACCCCTCCACGCTCAAAGCATCCCATGCGGCACAAGCCGCAGACGATGGCAATGGTCAGTTGACCATCTTTTCAGCCTCTCCCTACTGCTGGCGCTTGTCTGCGCCACCGGTGATGCGGAGCACTTGTCCTCGTCATAGTCGCACATGCTGATGCTTGCTCCACCTGTCTACAGCTCACAGCGAGGCCAAGATTGATATCGAAGCCATGCTCAAGGCCGACGATCGCGAACGCCGCGATGCTGCCGCGCTTGAGCTCGTCAACCTCGTTAAAGTTGAGGGACCTCAAGCTTTTGTCAGGCTCGGATTGGCCGATGCCATCTCCAACGTTTTGGACGACAAGAAGGCATCAGTCATCGCCAAAGAGTCTGTTGCCGGCCTTATCTCAACTATGTGCGAGCAAGGCGTCGGAAACGCCGTCGAGCCCTTCTTCTTTGAAAAGATCGCCAACGGCGTCTTCGAGCTCTTTGGTGACAAGGCTGCACCCGTCCGTGACGCTGCTGTTGCGGCAGTCAAGAGCCTCGTTCAGATCATGTCGCCATGGGCAACCTCCCTTCTGCTGCCCACCTTGCTGCATCAGCTCAAGACCGCGGGCAAATGGCAAGTCAAGACCGGATGCCTCATCGTATGTCCTTGGTCTCGTTTGCTTCGTTTGACAAAGTAACACTCGCGCAGATCCTCGATCAGCTCGTCGTGTCAGCACCGGGCAACGTCGCAAAGGCGATGCCTACCATCGTGCCCGTCCTTGCCGAGGTCATTCACGACACCAAGAAAGAGGTCAAGATTGCCGCGCGCAGTTCGCTCACGACTGCAACCTCACTCGTGTCCAACAAGGATATCGAAAAGTTCATCCCTGCGCTGATCAAGTGTTTGATCAACCCTGTTGAGGAAGTCCCAAAGACTGTCCAATTGCTTGGCGCGACGACCTTTGTCTCAGAGGTCGATTCTGCCACGCTATCTCTTATGGCGGGTCTGCTCGTACGTGGTCTCGACGAGAGGCCCACTGCGACGAAGCGCAAGGTCGCTGTCATCATCGACAATATGTCTAAGCTTGTCGACAACGAAGACACTGTCCGACCTTTCTTGCCAGGTCTCTTGCCCAAGCTCATCAAGATCGAAAACAGCGTCGCAGATCCTGAAGCTCGTGGTGTCGTATCGCGCGCCATCAAGACTCTACAGGAAGTTGGCAAAGTTACAGGCGATGGCTCAGATGTCAAGCCGCCCAAGGTCTTCAAGGCCGAGCAAGCCACCGGCCATATCGTCACTGCTATCAAAGAAAAGCAGACCACATCGCAAGTCTCCGCCTCATCGCCTCTGATCGTCTACATTGGCGAGCTTGTGGCTGCGCTGGTCAACGGCAAGAACTTCGAGCAAGGCGAATGGGAGACCACTTTGACGCCCTATCTCTCGCTTTCCGTTCCCGAGGCTGCCGATGCGCAGGCGATTGCGCTTATCCTGCTCGAGAAGTGTGCTCAGGAGACTGACGAACCTGCCGAGATCTTCGCTGACGAGGAGGAAGGCGAAGATTTGTGCAACTGCACCTTCTCGCTCGCCTACGGTGCCAAGATCTTGCTCAACACTGCAACGCTACGTCTCAAGCGTGGTCACCGATACGGACTTTGCGGTCGCAATGGATCCGGCAAGTCGACGCTCATGCGCGCCATCCAGAATGGTCAAGTCGAGGGCTTCCCTAGCCCTGATGAAGTTCGTACCTTCTACGTCGAGCACGACATCGACGGATCAGAAGCCGAGATCACTGTCCTTGACTGGATTCTTGCCGATAAGCGGATCCAGGCTGACGAAGCTGCCATCAAGGAGACCCTCACTTCTGTCGGCTTCACTCCACAGCGTCAATCTGAGCCCATTGGCGCTCTTTCAGGAGGTTGGAAAATGAAGCTCGCGCTGGCACGAGCTATCCTCTTCAAGGCTGATATCCTCCTGCTCGATGAGCCAACCAACCATCTCGATGTCCTGAACGTTGCCTGGCTGCAGGACTACCTGACGTCGCTCACTACATGTACCTCGATCATCGTTTCGCACGACTCGGGCTTCCTCAACTCAGTCTGCACGGACATCATCCACCTCAATCGATTCAAGATCAAGCGTTATCCTGGCAATCTTGAAGCTTTCGTCAAATTTGTGCCAGAGGCCAAGGCGTATTACGAGCTGACGGCGCTCGAAGAGTATCAGTTCAAGCTGCCTGATCCACCTCTGCTCGATGGTGTCAAGACCAAGGAGAAGTCACTGATGAAGATGCGCAAGGCCGGCTTCCAGTACCCTGGCAGCCCAGTGCAGCAGCTCTACGACATTACTCTGCAGGTCTCGCTCTCTTCGCGTGTCGCCGTGCTGGGACCAAACGGATCTGGCAAGTCCACGCTCGTCAAGCTGCTGGTCGGTGAGACGGAGCCCAACAAGGGCGGCGAGGTCTGGAAGCATCCCAACTTGGTCATCGGCTACGTTGCTCAGCATGCGTTCCACCATATTGATCAACATCTCGACAAGACACCTTTAGAGTATTTGCTCTGGAGATATCAGACCGGCGAGGATCTCGAGGAAATGATGATGGCAAACAAGCAGCTTACAGAGGAAGACATCAAGAAGATGAAGGAAGGATCCATTGTCATCGTCGAAGGCGCCAAGCGTACAATCGACGAGATAACCAACCGAAAGAAGCTGAAGCAGTCCTTCGAATACGAAGTCTCATTCAAGGGCATGTCATCGTCCGAGAATATCTGGCTATCGCGCGACGAGCTCATCAAGCGCGGTTACGAGAAATCCATCCTGGCAATTGATTCGAGAGAAGCGCAAAAGGCAGGCATGCTCCGACCTCTCGTCCGTAAAGAGATTGAGAAGCACATGGAAGACTTTGGTCTTGAAGCTGAATTCACCTCGCACAATAGCATGCGAGGTCTGTCCGGTGGTCAGAAGGTCAAGGTCGTTCTTGGCGCTGCAACCTGGCGCCGTCCTCACATTGTCATTTTGGACGAGCCAACCAATTACTTGGATCGAGAGTCTCTAGCTGCGCTCATCGCTGCGCTCAAGTCATACGAAGGCGGTCTCCTAGTCATCACGTATGTCTTCCTCCCTCTTCGAATAGCCTCGCGCTGACAAAGCTGCGCTCAGACATAACAAGGACTTCTCAGAGTCGATCTGCACCGAAACGTGGGCGATGCAAAAGTGATTCCATTCTTTGCCTCTTGTAGAACGCTTTGCTGACAGTGTCTGCAGTGGTCATCTCGTCGCTTCAGGCCACAACTGGGTCGAAGGCCAAGGTACGGGCGAGCGTATCGACAAGGCTGCCGGTGAGGAGGAGATCAAGTACGACGCGCTCGGTAACAAGATCGAAGAGGGCAAGAAGGCGAAGAAGCTGTCCGCCTCCGAGGCTCGCAAGGCCAAGAAGGATCGCATGGCTCGCCGAAAGCGAGGAGAGGAGGTCTTCACCGACGAGGAGCTGTAGTCTACAGCATGCCATGATCAAGCTACGCTCCTTCACGCTTGATCGTCTCGTGTTTGTACGACTGTCTAGATGCATTTGTTTCTTAGATTCGACCTCCTCCTTGTCGTCCGTCGATGGGCACGTGTCACCAAACTCATGACACGCCGACGAGATTCCTTGGGAAGCGCGACTTGCTCGCTTTTTTTTGCGTCGAGACATCAGGCGATGGACAGAGCGTACAGCCAGACTACCAAGCAGGTCCTCGAGCACTTTCGGGTAGACCAGAGCGTAGGCTTGTCTGCCGCCCAAGTGGAGGCCAACGCCAACCAGTACGGCCGCAATGGTAAGCAAGATGCGCTTTGGGAGCCTGACGATGCGAGATTGACGTGTCTGTCTCCCTGTGCAGAACTGCCGAGCGATCCACCAACACCACTGATAGCGCTCATCTTGGAGCAGTTCAAAGATCAGCTCGTCATCATCTTGCTCATCTCTGCCGTCATCAGCTTTGTGCTAGCGCTTCTTGAGGAAGGCGACAAGGCAACCGCCTTTGTCGAGCCGATCGTCATCCTCTTGATCCTCATCGCCAATGCTGTCGTCGGTGTTGTTCAGGAGAGCAACGCAGAGCAAGCTATCGAGGTCAGCGCAGATGCCAAGCTCACCAGACCGTGCTGACGTGTCGTCCTGCCGTCGCCTACCAGGCCCTCATGGAGTTCTCGCCGGACGAGGCAAAGGTGCTCAGAGATGGCAAGCCTGTCAAAGTCCATGCCACCGAGCTTGTGCCGGGAGACATCATCTCTGTTGCCGTGGGTGATAAGATTCCTGCCGATGCGCGCGTCTTGTCCGTTGCTTCGGCCAGTTTTACCATAGATCAAGCCATTCTCACCGGCGAATCTGTCAGCGTAAGCAAGACAAACGATGTCGTCAAGATGGACAGCGCAGTCAAGCAGGATATGATCAATATGCTCTTCTCAGTCAGTTCATCCCGGGCGTCGCGTCAGGGAAGACTAACGCTAGCCCAGGGCACGACTGTCGTCTCTGGCAACGCAAAAGCAGTAGTCACTTCGACCGGACAGCGCACTGCGATTGGCGACATTCACAAAGCCATCACGACTCAGATCTCGGAAAAGACGCCGTTGAAGCAAAAGGTCGACGACTTTGGCGAGGCACTTGCAAAGGTCATCTCTGTCGTCTGTATACTCGTCTGGCTCGTCAATATTCGCAACTTCGGAGATCCCAGTCATCATGGCTACCTAAAGGGGGCTATCTACTATTTTAAGGCCTGTCTTTGCCAGATGCCGGTGAGGCTCGAGCTGACAGGGGCCTATAGATTGCTGTGGCGCTAGCAGTCGCAGCTATTCCTGAAGGACTGCCGGTTGTCATCACGACCTGTCTAGCTCTTGGCACAAAGAAGATGGCAAAGAAAAACGCCATCGTGCGCAGCCTGCCGAGCGTAGAGACTCTCGGCTGCACGCAGGTCATCTGTGCAGACAAGACCGGCACGCTCACAACCAATCAGATGAGTGTCGCCCGTCTCGTTGTCGCCTCCGCTAGCGGTCTGGATGACTATAGCGTCGAAGGCTCAACTTTTGCACCAGTTGGCCGCGTGCTGAATGCGTCTGGCCAAGCCGTCACTGCTGCGCATAACCAAGGCCTGGCCCGGCTAGGCCAGATTGCATGCGTCTGCAATGACGCTAAGATCTCATACAATGAAGACACGAATGCGCATGGCAACGTCGGCGAGCCAACAGAAGCCGCGCTTAAGACGCTAGCAGAGAAACTCGGCACCACTGACGCTGGCTTCAATACAAGCATATATTCGCTGGCGCCGAGTCAGCGCAATAACGCCGTTAGCAACGAACTTGATGCGCAATTCAGTCGCTTGCTCACCTTTGAATTTTCTCGCGATCGCAAATCGATGTCTGTGCTCACGCAAGAGCGTGGCGCCAACGGCAAAGCAGCTCTGTTTGTCAAAGGCGCACCGGAAGCAATCCTCGAGCGGTGCAAGTCTGTCCAAGCCGGTCTTGGCTCGTCTGCTCCGCTGTCGGCCAGCGTGCGTACCGAGCTCCTGGCTAAAATCGCCGAGTTCAGCACTCAAGGACTACGCTGTCTTGCTCTGGCGCTGCACGACGATGTCGATGCAGATGCCTCGCACTACAAAACATCCTCGGCTGCAGACTATGTCAAATTTGAGCAAGATCTGACGTTGGTGGGCATCGTCGGGATGCTCGATCCGCCTCGGCCAGAGGTACGAGGTGCAATCGCCAAGTGCCGTAGCGCGGGTATCCGTATCATCGTCATCACAGGCGACAACAAGAACACTGCAGAGACAATATGTCGACAGATCGGCGTCTTTGGCTCGAGCGAAAATTTGACTGGGAAGAGCTTCACCGGTCAAGAATTTGACGCTCTCACCGACAAGCAAAAAGTCACTGCAGTATTGGAAGCAAGCCTCTTTTCGAGGACAGAGCCTGGGCATAAGTCTCAGCTCGTCGAGCTCCTCCAGGCGCAAGGTCTGGTCGTCGCAATGACCGTACGGACCCACTTGTCGCACGATAGACCGTGCTGATACTACTCTGACGCAGGGAGACGGCGTCAACGATGCACCAGCACTGAAGCGAGCCAACATCGGCATCGCTATGGGTACAGGACAAGATGTAGCGAAACAAGCCGCCGATATGGTCTTGGCAGATTCCAATTTTGCCTCCATCGAGGCGGCTGTCGAGGAAGGCAGATCGATCTATGAAAACACAAAGCAATTTATCCGATATTTGATATCATCTAACATTGGCGAGGTTGTGTCGATCTTCCTCACAGTCTTGCTTGGCATGCCAGAAGCACTCATTCCGGTTCAGCTTTTGTGGGTCAACCTGGTTACCGACGGTCTTCCTGCGACTGCTCTGGGCTTCAATCCGGCTGACCACACCATTATGAGGCGGCCGCCCCGTGACGCGAAAGAGGCACTTGTCGGTCCCTGGCTGTTTTTGCGGTACATGGTCGTCGGCACTTATGTCGGCATCGCGACTGTGGCCGGCTATGCTTGGTGGTACATGTACTACTCAGCTGGCCCGCAAATCAGCTTTTATCAGCTTACTCACTTTCATTCGTGCTCGTCTCTGTTTCCAGAAGTCGGCTGCGAGATCTTCCTCGGCGATTCGGCGAAGCGTGCAACAACGATATCGCTTTCGATTCTTGTCACCATTGAGATGGCCAACGCACTCAATTCTCTGTCGGAGAATGAATCGCTCTTGACATTGCCACCGTGGGCGAACCTGTACCTCTGTGGAGCTATTTGCCTGAGCATGGCGCTTCATTTCATGATTCTCTACGTTCCTTTCTTCGCTGTACGTCTTGCGCTCTGTTTGCGTGCTATGCTGACTGGCGTGATCAGGATCTCTTTGTGATTGTGCCCCTCAACTGGGCAGAATGGAAAGCCGTCCTCGCATTCAGCTTGCCGGTCATTGTCATCGATGAGGTTTTTAAATTCATCGGCGTCAACTTCATTGGTAGCTAGCTCATTTTTATCGCCTTTTCAAAGCTAACAGCCTACATCAGCGCCTCCGAGCAAAATAAAGACAGAGTAGACGTTGCATGGATAGACGATAAACACCCCAAAACAGCCGTCGTTGTACGTTCCCACGGCTCACTTGTACTAGCGTTGAAGCAATGCAAACCATCGATTGCCTTGCTGCGACGCCCTAGCTGCCCTGCTGATGGTGCAGCCAGTCCTTTGCATCTGCGCTGCGGATAAGCAGAGCTAATAGTCGCGAGGGAAAAGCACATACACAGTCTTGTCATCTTCCAAACGCCCTTGCGTCGCTTGTCTACGCCGAGGACAGATTCGTGAATCTCTCGTAGTCGGTGGTGATACTCCAAATTATCTGCGAGGAATCTTTGCAGGTCGGTCAAGCACTCTTGGACGACGGTGTATTGCTGTGCAGGCGTGAGATTCGACACTGGTGATGCAGGTGGTACCTGTAAGCCGTTGTCGTCCGATTGCGCTGTGTCGGCGGATGGTACTGCCGTCGGCTCGACAAAGAGGGCCCTGACGTATGGCTCAGGCGCGAGGTATCTTCGCACGGTAGCCGCAAGCCGCTCGCTTTCCATCGACCGGCCCTCGTCGTAGCTCCTGATGGTGGACTTCTTTCGCTTCGGCTCGCCGATGCGTCTGCTCGAAACACCCGCAGTGAGAGTCGTGTAGCTTGACGCATTTGTCGCGGGCTTTTTGGCGCGGCTACTCCTCCGAGGTGCTGCAGGCTCCTCGTCATCGTCATCTTCGTCCTCTTCTCCCTCGTCCTCGTCGCCTGGCTCGCCCTCGGGTTGCTCACGGGCTTCTGTAGCGACAGCTCGGATTGTGGGATCGTCTGCAGTACCACCCCCGTGTGCATCGGGTCGGCCTTCTTCGGGCTGCCTTGTACGCTCTTGCGTAGGCGGAGCAGCTGACTGAGCTCGATCAGACCTGTCATCGCTAAGTGGCGTGGACGGATCGTTCGCTGCATGGCTCGCTGCCCCATCAGTCCTGCTGATTGCTCCGTTTGTCGGCGTGGCTTCCCGTTCTGCCGCTTCGTCTGGAGTGCCTTCCAGTATGACGTCCTGCATGTCTTCGTTGTTGACGGTCACATCGTCTTCTTGATCAACCTCTTCTGCTTGCTGCCTCCGCTGCTGACGAGCTGCCTCATACGCCTGATCGTCAATATGATTATAAATTTGAGGCAGGACGTCGCCTCGTAACACGTCGCATACTCGCGTCAAAGTCTTGATCAGGGGCGAATCGGCTTCTATGAGACCGATGACGGAGAGTGCCAGAGCGTCCAGTTGACGATTTGATTGTGCAAAAGTGCGCGCGACCGTCGGCGTTGAGACGAGGTCCAACGGTGTGAGAAGGGGAGGAGGCAGCTGGGCCTCATTCTTGGGGCGCTTTTGGGCGGTCTGGAATGACGAAGGCTCTAGTGTGCCTGTCAACCTAAAGTCGAGGCCGTCGAATATGCTGGGATGGGACGGCGGGAGATCGTCAGCATCGGGCGAGCTGTCTTCCTCTCTGTCTGGATCGAGTCGTATGCCTTCCTGGGCGAGATAGGACTCGAGTGAGACTTTGATTCGCTTTCGTGCGCGGTCGGCAGTGACGAGGGATGCGCCTGCGATGGACTGCAGATGAGCGGGCACAGCCTTTGTTGGGCCAAAGACGCCATAGCCGCTATCGTCGGTGAGGGGCAGATCCCACTTTTCGTTGTAAGCCCAGCCGCCCATGCGACCCATGCGATAGCTCCTTGCTAGCGGCGCTAGTTTGTGGCCACGATTGGTGACGGATGGCTTGTGCATCTGTGCGCCCCGCTCACCCTCTGACGCGTCCCGGGCAACGGCAGAGTAGTAGCAGTCTCTGTCATTCGATGGCAGGGCACTGTCCGCCTGATGAGCACTCTGTGGGCTTGTATGATCGCATTCCACGCACGCTATGAAAGCCTGAGAATCTTCAGCTGGCTCAGGCGCAGCTTTGGCCCTCCTTTCTTGTTTGTGATCGTCCTTTTCCTTTGTCAGACTGGCAGACACTGCTTCGGGTTCGGAAAGGATGGCTCCGTTCGTGGCGGCGAGAGGCGGAGCGGGCTCAGGCTGCAGCGTTGTGATTGGGCGAGCTGCTTGCATGGTGGGTTCCGTCGCTGGCTTTCGATCCTGTGCGCTGTTGAATCCTGAAGATTCGCTGCCGAGGGAGGGCTGTGTAGCGGCAACTGCCAGCGAGTGTCGTGGTCAGCATCATGGAGCGTGTGGCAGATCTTGGCTGACTGACATTGCGTGGTCATCTCCTGATGCCGACGATGGTCGACATGGAACTGTCTGAGCAGCGAGCGTGCGCTTGTCAGTCAACAGCTCGTGACTGGTCGTGAGAGCAGATAGAAGAGGGCAAAGGCGGGAGATCATTCTAACGAGATTCCAACGTTTGTTCGTCCATCTGCCTGCTGCTTTTATCACGAGCGCAGGCATGAGGCGTGTAGCGGTTCTGCTGATTGTTCCTAATCATCTCGGTCTTGTCGACGTGCGGGCATGTCTGCGTCATGCAGAGCAGAGCTGCTGTCCGCTTACCTTGCTTCCCTTGCGGCGTAGATCCTCCTCGCCTCCGCCTCCCTGGCGGCAGTCTGTCTGTCAGGCAGTCAGCCGGGTGCGCGCGCGCCCTGTCGACGTGTCAACGAGTGGCGTCAGAAGCGACCATCATCATCACCTTTGATCTGCTGGCCATGACAGAGGCAGAGCCGCAGGTGCCTGAGCAAGTAGTCGGTCAGTTTGCGCTCGCTGTCTTTGACGTGCTTGCCCTCTGGCCTGCTCTGCGCATCGCAATCCAGCAAGGCCACTTTTCGACGGCACAACATGAAGATGACGGATCAGAGGAGCTACGACGGTCTCCCGTCGGACAGCAAGTCGCTCCACGAGCATCTATCGTCGCCTCGTCGAGTGCACCTGCCAAGGGCAGCAGAAGAACGCGCGAGCAGATCATCAAGCAAAAGAAAGTCGACCTCGCTGAAGAGATTATCGATGCTTTCGTGACCAGTACAACATCAGATGCCGCACTACAGCGACCGACCATCGTGCCCGTACCAGACAAGAGCCGCATGCAAGCCTTCTTGAAGGAATTCGTCGAATACGAATTTTCCGTGCTGCTCGACGACCAGTCTGAGCGCGCCATCACTGCCGAATTAAGCGAGCTATGGCGAGAGATCTGGCAGCGATTCCAAGCGAACACTCTGCCCCCGGCAGTCACGACCGCTGGCAAGCTCGAAGACCTGGCGCAGAGAGCAGCCAGAGCGAGACAAGAGGATGGCGCAGCGCGGCAAAGTCTGGCAACGCGCATGCCGAGCGAATACGACGGCGACTCTGACCTCAGTCCGGACGACGAGTCTTCAGACGGTGACGGAGTTTCGGACGAGGACATGCAGATTGACGATGCCCCGCAGGCTCGAGCGGTGCCAATCATCGACGAAGATGGCTTCACGCTCGTCCAGGCAAAGTCAAAGCGATAGATTCATCATGCAACTCACTATGCTCGCACTGCGCGCACTACGCTAGTAGCACTTCCACGACTACAAAGCTCGGCTATTCAAGCTATCGGCCGAGTCAGTCTCGCCTTTGCCGCCGCTAGCGTCTGCAGCCAAATCTGGCTTTTTCTGCTCGCTCGGCCGCCCGGCGCAGACAACAGTAAACGGTCGACATCCGCATCAAGACGTCTCACTGCCGACTGCAGGTTTGGCTGAGCGAGTGCGGAATCAGCCGCCCAAGAGTAGCAGTACCGTCGGAGGGGTTCTCTAGCTCAAGACCTCGTTGCATGTGTTGCGTGCATCCATCAGTGCGTCTCATGAGTCTGCAAAGTGACCTTTGAGACGGCACAGCCAGCGTTCTAAGGCTATACTTGCAGCACGCTGTTCTCAGCTCAGATCTCAGACCGCGGATCAGTGATCGACATTTGATGATGCCTATTTGCCCCCACGTCCTCGCGTCCTCCTTGTGCATGACATCATGCGACTTGGGACAATCTATTTGTCCGAAGGGCTACCTCGTGCACGACAGATCCATCGCGTTCGCAGCACCCCAGCAACGCAAACATGAGCAAGTTCACCCTCTACGCACACGACGGGCCAGGTCCCAATCCAGTCAAGGCAGCGATCATCCTCGACGAGCTCGACCTCGACTATGAGATCAAGGCCATCCCATTCGGCCCGGAAGGCGTCAAGGGAGCTGCCTATCTCAAGATCTGCCGTAAGCATGACCGGTCCTTCCTACGAGTAGCATGAGCTCATCTTCCTGGCAGCAAACGGACGAGTTCCCGCGCTGGTCGATCATCAAAATGGTGACTTTGTGGTCTGGGAGTCCGCCGCCATCCTACAGTATGTTGCCGCCAAGTACGACAAGTCTGGATCCTGGGCTGGCAAGACCGTCGAAGAGCAGGCTACCGTCAACCAGTGGCTTGCCTTCCAGATCTCCGGTCTCGGGCCGACTCAGGGCAACGTCAACTTCAATAAGCTCTACTTTGAAGGCGCAATGGGCGAGAAGCCAAGCGCAGGTCTCGTCAAGCGCTTCCGTGACGAGTGCGCACGCATCTATGGTGTGCTCGAAAAGCAGCTCGAGCACCAGGAATACATTGCGCTCGATCGTATCACGATCGCAGACGTGGCCTATCTCCCCTGGCTGCACAAGGACATGGTTGGCTTTGGTGACCTGACGGACATCTTTAGCAAGTATCCCAAGGCAGTTGCTTGGATCGAGAAGCTCTCTGCACGTCCTGCAACTCAGAAAGCATATAAGAAGCTCTCTGCAGCTTATGGCAAGTAGAGAAGGCCAATGCGCCAAAAGATTCCCGCCTGGCCAGCGAAACGTCTACAGATCATGAGCATAATTCGAATTCGGAACGAGAAAAAGCTCGAGCAACGACTTCCAAGGGATGTAAAGACACAATGCAGCATTGATGTCATCCTAGAGTTCTCAAGGATAGCATACTGGTTTATCGCTAAAGCGGCGACCATGACAAAGGCTTTGCCCACGATCGCCAGATACGTTCCACCACCTTTTGCTTGAGGGCGTCGTCTGTACTCTGTTCTAGATCTCGGATATCATGCAGGAAAGCTACTTGAAGCGTGTGGTCTCGCGTCGGAAAGCCAAGCGAGCCAGCGTACGTTCGTAGTACCTGCGTCTCGATCAAGATCTTTCCTAGCTTACGATCAGTAATCTTCTCGTTCACGTCGCGCTCTGCCTCTCGATGGTTCAATACCATCTCGATAGACCTGTGCCAAAGTTGAGCCAGACGGAATTCACCGAGGCGGGCGTCCCACCTGATGGAGCTCCATGCTCGGCGGCGAGAAGCCTTGACGTCTCTGGCGGCGTTGGGACCGACTCGAAGCGAAGACAGTCCGCGCAGTAAAGCGAACAGAATGATGATGCTGGGCGCGACACCGACAAAGGCAAACGTGAGCTGCTGAGATTTGAGCATCTTCTCGATGCCATTCATCTGAGGATGGCACAGTCAGCTCGAGTCGCGGGGCAGGTCTCCGAGACATACGGCGAGAGCGACATCGACCTTGACCTTTTGCACTTGAATCAGCAGCGTGCGCACGAGCGAGCCCGTAACAGCCGAGCGCAGCGGGTTCTGCGGACAATGGTCAGCTCCGAGATCGAGCAGCTCGTGCGACCGCGCTCACCTTGATATCTTTCTCCCAGGCTTGCAACACCGTAGTGAGGTCTCCCTCGCGCACTTTGCTGGCAATCTCGGCAATCTGTGCTTCGCTCATCTTGTATTCGTCTCGACCAAAGTCAGCGACCATCCGCTCCAAGCTCTGCATAGAGTTGTCAGTCTCACATGGGCTACGTGTGCAGGAGTACACACGTCTAGATCACTCTTCAGAGACTGAGTGCCCATTATCGCGAGCTCGCTGTCGCCGTGTCGAACGGTCTGGATGATCTTGCCAACGGGCTCGATCACCCAATCGATGAAGAAGCCGCGGACTGTCTCGATAGCGCCATCGTACCATGCAGTAAGGGTTGCGCGGGAATCGTAGAGATACTTGACGCCATAGTAGGTGACCAGAGGCGCAAAGATGATGACCGGCCACGCACGCGTTAGGCGAGATGGTCGCGACAAGCCTTCGAGCGTGATTGAGTCCTGCTGAAATGTACCCGGCAGGCTCTGACCAAGCAAGCGTGCCAAGGTCGCAGTGCAAGCGTCTAGGTCGTCAGCTGTCGATCCGACATCGCTGCATATATGGCTGAGATGACAGAGCAGGCTTGAAATGTCTTTCGCAGGAGATACGTCCTTCTCGGGCGCGAACAAATCGCGCGAGATCGCCGCCAGACTCCCAATGCGCACCTCGAGCCTTGAGCGCAGGGCTTTCAGTGATTTAGTCTTGCGCCGAGCTTCCTGACGTGCTAACTGCATGGGGGAAAACGTGAGAAGCAGCAACTTCCGTGAGCTGACTGTGGAAGGGTCAAATGCTGTCGACATCTTGGCTTGATCTGTGCCAGATTGCCCGACAAGGTGCGGAAAGAATGACGTTACGAGCAGGGTGGGCGGCAACGCCTCTTTGTAGGTTTCCCATCGAAGTAAGCTCTTTGGCCGGTCTTGAGTATCGGTCAGGATTTGCAGCCGGTCGCTCAGTGTGCGCCCGAGTCGCATCAGGCGTGTAGGCGTGGCTGATCTACCATGTCAGTCCCTCATGTTAAGCAAGCGTTGTGCTTACTTTGCACAAGGTAGGTCAGCAAGCGCGTATCATCAGTAGCGATTCGCTCCCAGTACCGCTGCTCTTCGATAACTTGGACAGCTTGCGTGATTGTGGCATCGAGCGCTGATGCATATGTCGCGAGAGCAAGATGGCCGACCAGAAGCCACTTCATTGCGCTTGCTGCGTCCATTTCATTTGTGCTTTTGCTGCCGAGAAGAATCTGAACTGTGTGTGCATGTAGCCACTGCAATGTGCCCAGCGAGCGCGGATTGTCCTTGGCTTTGACGCGAACGAGGTCTATAGCAGCTCGCAGTTTGCCCGTCTCCGCAGTGAGAACTTCTGCTGCATCATCGGTAGACTCGCGATCAATCAAACGGTCACTGATAGCATCAAGCTGATCTGCGAGCGCTTCCGCTCGCTCTCGCGCAAAGCTTGAGCTCATAGATCACAGGGCGCGGGGAGCTGAAGCGTTTTTGCTATCTGTCTACAAGACACGGCGGACTTGTTGATAGTCAGAGTATATATGTGTCCTGTCGCGGGCTGTTTGATCAACGGCCAACTAGACTGCATAGTCAAATGGTCAACCAAGTTAGCACAATTGGCTAGTGCATGCGACTTTTAATCGCAAGGTTGTGGGTTCGAGTGTACGTCGCATCCTGACTGCGCTCGTGAACTTTCGCTGATCTATATCTCCTGCAGCCCACACTCGGTGGAATACCAATTTTTTTGGTGAATTCAAAGATGACTTTCCGCAGATAGCAACTGACTTCCAGAGAACAAGGCGCGCCGTGACTATCTGCTCATTTTTTGAGCTCGACGTCCCCTTCAAAGCCATTCCAGCCGAGCTTGATAAGCAGAACCACTTCAAATGGCTTGGCAAGCTCAGTGACGATGCTCTGAGCTACAAAGCGCTTTTGTGTCTCCTCAAAGGTGTCAGACGACATCTGTACCGGGTTGCCGCATGTACTTCTGCGCGACGCATTGTTCGCAGCATATTGATCCAAGAAGGGCGTACATGCCCCTCGGCGTGACCAATGACTGGCTTGCATGTTGTACAAGCAGTATTGGATCGACTGTCACGTGATCTGAGATTGACACGCGCTTGGCGCCTTCAGGACAATTTGCTGCGACCAAAGGCAAGCGCTGTCATCATGAGGGCGTTTCATTCCAGCGTACTGCGCTTTGTACTGCACGCATCAGTGTGGTTGTTCTCGACGACCCTGTTCATGTTGTCATGGCTTCTAGGTAAGCTATGATCTGACTATTGTGCCATTGTGCTGATGCCCGGCCTGTCTGGCCTGCTCGCAGTGTCCACGACGCATGACAACAAGGCCATCTTCGTCCATGCATCCGCCGAGTTGATGACCGTATCGGGCATGTCTGTCGTCGCCCTGCCTATCCTTGTAGGCCTGAGCTTCAAGACATCTATCGAATGGCCAAGCCGAATCTGGTTCGAGCTCGGCTGGATGTCCATCTTCTTTCTGCTTTTCCTGGGTCAGTCCAGCTGCATGCAAGGTCAGCAATGCTGAAACGCAGGCATAGCTGGCTCCGTCAACCTCAATCGAGACTATCCCAACTTGGGCAATTGCTCGCAATACGTACGCTCCCTCTTGGCTGACTTGCCCACGCTGACGCAGCTAGGAGTAGGAAATTTGCAAGCTCATCCAAGGCACACTCGCATTCGCTTACATCAACACAATCTTGCTTTTCCTGAGCACGAGCCGCCTATTGCTTCTCTCGCTTGGCGCTTGGAGGAGAGGGCGAAAGGACATCTGGACGGCTCACGTCGACGAGGCTTTCGACGAGAGTCTCACGTGGGGTGGGCCGTCTGCTTACTCTAAGCACTTGCGCCAGCGTCAGAAGATCTACGAAGAGGTCGAGACCAAGAAGGGCGACATCTAGATCTAGCAGAGTCTCATTCGATCGCATCATTCAAGCACGTGTACATGTATACCGCTTTGCAGCTCGCAACATTACCATGGCCCGTCTATACGGAGAGTGACATGAGCTCGTGCATCATAGAAGGTCATTTTAAGTCTATATTGTGGTATCTTGCTACTTGCTAAGTGCTGATGCTCGTTTGGCATACTACCGGTCTGTTGGCCGACTATCAGCCTGCGCTATGCCGAAGCGGCAACAAACGTACGTGATTTCGACACGCGGCTTCCAGTGCAGTGAAGTGTGATTTGTGACGCCGTTGATTCTGTTGTGCGCCATGAGCTCACTGCTCTGCTGCAGAAACGTTGAGCGCACCTCGGATACGCATTGAGGTTCTTGTGGAGAGTGATCTGGAACACAGAGGCACCGCCTTGTCTCGAAGTGATGACAGAGTAGGCGAGGAAGTATGACCAGATACGGAACCCTGCCGTCCTACCCGTATCAGCAGACGCCGCGTGTGAGGGTCTCGACAGGACTTACACTTATCGCCGTACTTTGCAACAATCTTCTTTTCGTTGCTGAGCCAGTTCTTGTACCAGCGGTAGATAGTTGCGCTGTAATGCACGCCGAGGACGTCGATGTTCTTGACCTCAAAGCCTGCTGCCTCGACTTGATTGATGACCCAGCCAAGCGAGCATGACGCGTCCGCCCCCGGAAAGACAAAACGCTTCGCCGACACGTCAGTGCTGGCGCCGTACTGATACGCAGACAGCTTACATTCATGAAGAGTCCCCAGATGAGGTCCTCGTATTGCCATGCTGGTCTGATGCCTGCCACTTGCAAAACGAAAGTGCCATTGTCATCGAGCAGATCGTAAACCTGACGCATGAACGAGCCATAGCGTCTGATACCGACATGCTCTGCCATCTCGAGCGATACAATCTTTGTGAAGCGCTGGCTTGGTTCGGCAGGGATCTCGCGGTAATCCATGCAGAGAATGCGAGCCTTGCTCGAATCGACCCTGTCTGCATCTTCAGACGGCATCAGGTGGAAGAAGACGCCTGAGCTGACCCGTTCTTGGCGATACGCTCGTTGCCGAACTTGGTCTGATTCTTACCGAGGGTGATGCCGGTGACATCGCATTTGTAATTTTTGGCAGCAAAGGCAGCTAGGGTTCCCCAGCCACAACCAATGTCGAGCAAGGTATCTGTCGGCTGGAGATCGAGCTTTTCGCAGACGAGGGCGAGCTTGTTGTCTTGCAGCTGCTCGAGAGACTCTTCTTTGGTATTGTCGAGAACGATGCCTGACGTGTAGACCATGCGGGGGCCGAGGAACCACTCGTAGAAGTCATCACCTCTGCTAGGCGCTTTAGCTCGCGCGTACGCTGAAGAGCAAAGCTACATACCGATCGTAGTGGTCTCTGACCTGCTCTTCATCCTGCGACTGGGAGTGCATGATGACTTCGGGCAGCATCTGGAGGAAGACGTATTCGAAGAGCTGTCGCGTGAAGCGGAAAGAGGCCCAATCGTGTCTGTACTCGAGCACGTCGAGCACGTCGCCTGGCACTACCGTCAGCTGTATGCAGATGCTGCGACTCTGGACGCACCTTTGAAGTCGACCTTGCCTTCAAAGTAGGCGTCGTAGAAGATCTGCATGGGAATCTTTGCATTGGCTTTGGCATAGGTCTGCTTGAGATGGGCGTCCTTGAAGTCGATATAGTCAGTGATGGGCTTGCCGGGAAAGGCGAGCTTGGTGTTCTTGCGTGGGCCAAAGGTGGACATGAGTGTCCAGTAGGCGATTGTGACTGGAATGCCGGTCGTGAGGAGCAGCAATAGATAGAGAGGCATGCTCAGGCCAAAATAGGGTACGAAGCGTGAGACGAGGATGGGTGTGAGCAGGACGAGAGCTGCGAGGTGGATGTTGCTGAAGCTGCCATTGCCCTCTGCTGGCAATGGAGCATTTTTGATGGCGGGCGATTTTGTGATGATCACGCCCTCGCTGCTCTGCGGAGCTGCCATGGCCGCTGTCGATGATGATCTCACCCTGACACAAGCTCAGACCTACCCTGGCACTAACTCAGGCCAGCAGGAGCTCACCTCGGGCCACGCAGCAGTCGGCAGTCGCGAAAATTACAGAGGCGCGACGAGAGAAGTCAACGAGGGAGACGGAGACGAGACGGAGACGGAGGGCAGGAATAGGCTAGTATGCAAGTGGATGTGGGTTACAAGACAGTGCACAGATTGCACAGACAGCCAGTTCGCACATCACACGCCAGCAAGCAGTGTACTGCCAAACGCGTGGACCTAATCTCTCGCCTCTGCCTTGGCTGCCATTGGCAATACAGGCGCAGTATGCGGGCTGTGAAAATCGCCAGGTCTGCCGCGAGGCATCTGTGGATACATGGAATGTGTCTGGGCGTCTGTGGGTGGTTGCGAGCCGTATGGGTTCCACGGTGAAGACATGTACTGACCGGCTGCACGCATCGTCGGGTCTGTAGGCGGTGCCCCGCTGAGATAGCTCACAGGGGAGGCTTGCGGTGCCGGAGCCGGTGCTGCTTGCGCTGATGCCCCCACTGCAGGATATCGCGCACCATTCATTGGTGGCGGGATGAATCCACGAGGTGCAGTAGCAGACGTAGTGGGCGCAGAAACCGTTTGCGCCTGATTTGAAATAGAGTGTCGGGCATCGTAGGGAGCGATACCGCTGCTACCGCCTAGCTGCCAGACGAGTTGATCGTTATGTTGCTGCAGCCGATCGTTCTCTTCTTTGAGGTAGCCGATATAGTCGATGGCTGCCGTCAGAGACTCCCATTTAGAAGACTTGGACTTCTTCTCGCCGGGCAGTGAGTCCTTGAGCTCTTCAAAGAGGTCCTTCATCTCCTTACGACGTTTGCGCTCCGCAATCTTGTGCGACACCCTGAGCTCTGGCGATCGCGAGTAAGGCGTCTCTTTCACGTAATTGCCGCCTTCTGTCGTTGAACCCCGTCGAGAGGACGGCTCAGTGGACCCGAGGGACGATCGGTGTGAGTCCGTCGAGCCAAATGCCCTCTGTTGAGGTGTTGTCGACGCGGTTGCGGTGAAGGCCCCATCGTATGGTGGCTGACTGCTTGCCAGACCGTACGACTGCCCGCTCTGTGGATCGAAGCGAACAGGAGGAGCGGTCGAGCTTCCGAGCGGTACACTGCGCGACAGACTCGATGCGCTATCCCTGCGCTGGCCAGAGTAGATCTCTGAGGGCAGGTCAAAGTCGCCCCGCCTCTGGGGCTGCTGCTGAGGACTCGGCTGACCGGCGGTAAGTCCGGATGCAGACGAGCGGGGCGAGAAGCCATAAGTTGCGAGATGCTCGTTCAGAGGCGGCATCGAAGCCGGCTGTGACGGTCGTGTGGGAAACGCAAAATTACTCGTGGCAGAATTGGCAGAGAAAGGGCCCCCACTGACGGAGAGCTCGCCAGACGATACGGAGCTTTGCCGCCGCGCGTTTGACGAGTTCATGTCGTCTGTGACATTGTACAGAGATGCGGCAGAGCCTCTTCGCGAATCAAGCGACAGACCGGACAGCCTGCCATTCTCGCCTAGAAAAGCAGACGATCTTCGTTTGCCGAGAGCCTGCTCAACGTCCATCTCGCCTTCCTGGTCTGTCTTGCGCTTCATGCCCTGCAATTGGGCTACCTGCTGTGCGCGTACAGACGCTAACGGCTGGTGACCAAACGCTTGGCTATGCTGTGAGAGATCAAACGAGCTTGCGGCTGGGCCGAAGCGACGAAAGTCCGAATGCTGGTCGCTCAGGACAGGGTAGCCGTTTGCAGCAGGCGAGGCTAGCTGAGAACGCGGATCATACGGCCTCAATGGTGGAAGTGAATTCTGATGCTGCGAATGCTCGTCTCCGCCCCCTCGTAAAACTTCTGGCGAGGTGCGCCCTGGCGATTCAGCTGGCACGGCTTCGGACACTGAAGACCGGCGGCCATCGCCGTCTGGGTTCTATGCAGAAGTTTCAGAAATGGCATAGACGCGCAAGAGAGACTGCTCACATTTTGCGAATACGCTGGTTCTGCAGCTCTCAGAGCCTGATCGCTTCCGCCAATGCGCTTATTGATTGTGCTTTGTTGCAAGCCGTGCTGCTGCTGCTGCTGCTGCTGCTGCGGGGTGCTCGTGCTCGTGCTGCTCATGCTATCCATTGAAGCAGTTTCGGAGGGGCCTTGCGTATAATTGCTGCAAGGTGGGCTCAGCTGTTCTATTGGGCCTAGGCAGTCAGTCGCCGCGTGACTATGAGGATGCTCATCGAACGCACGACAACCGCGAAGCTAGTATCGTGACTTTGTGATCGGGTGCGCACAATGGCGGCAGAGTATCACCGACACTGTACGGCGATTACCGTCAGGAGTGACTCGACAGAGGCCCCAAGCTCTGGATCCTGCCGAGTCGCGGTGACTCTACTGCTATCTTATTCTAGTGTTGCGAGGTGCTTCGAGGTAGTGTGGATCCAGCGCAGGCAGGGCTGGCACCGCCTTGGTGGGCGGCCCGTCAAGCTTCAAGCCCGACTCGCGTTGATAAGAGAACGCTCTTCAGAGGAGTTGAGAAGTCGTCTGACAGTTCCGTCCTGAGATAGACAGCGATGAAGACACTGTGGAGAGATTTATTGTTGTCTCCAGGCAGCCCAGCTTTGTTTTCTTGGGAATATCGATGATGTATCAAAGCTTGTCGTGAGCTCCCACGAGGCAGCACATGCGCTCGGCAGCCAAGTCGAGCGAAGATCTTCTTCGGCGTCTCTCGCGTGATCGATCTGTCCGGACAAACAGAATCAAACCGCTGTCGTACGATGCGCTGAGCTACACCTCGTTCCTTCACTCGCCTGCCAATTGCTGGGACACGCCGAGCAGACCAACAGCTGGCTTGCAGACGGGAGTGCGCCCCCTCTGGCACAATTTCCTGATCAATCAGAAACGCGTCATCGGTTCATCAAGTGGCTGCATTAACAGCTCTACAGCTCCTCCCTGACCGAGCGTGGTGCTAGACCCGGGTAGCATGCCGCTGGTGTAGTCACTTTGAAGGAGTACACGCATTTTTCGAGTTCGGCGACAGAAGTGAGTGCGTTCGCGGTACCGCAACTCAGATCCACCCTGGTCGAGCGAGCCGGGCCGTTCCAGCAGACCGTACCGGCGTCGTAAATCTGTCGTGAGTAGAACAGGTCGCTGTCGGCCTCGGCAGTTGTGTTCCAAGATGCAAATTTCCTGAGGGTGCATCAGTAGCCGCGCTCGCGCTGAGATCTGGACTCACCCTAAGCTGACAGAACCCGAGCTACCCTTTTGCTTCGTCTCGCCAAAGAAGCAGAGCTCGTATGTATATCTGTTGATTCATCAGGTGAAGGCTCGCGCTCAAGAAAGCAAGCAAGCGTACTCGCCGAACTCCTTGGAGATGCACTCCTTGTCGAGCTTTTTGAACTCCCACTCGCGCCCATAATCAGTTGCGAGCGTATCTTTGATGCTGTCTAATTTGCGTTGCGAGTCCGACAATGCGCTTTGCGCGTCGCTAAAGGCGGCTCTGGCTTTCGTCACATCTGTGTGCGTCTTAGCCCATCCGCGCAAACAGATATGCGTACGCACGTAGCCCATCGGCAGGTGTAGTCGCCACCCGATCAGAGATAACGCCGAGAATCTTGAGTGCGCTGACGAACGATTCGCGGAAGCTGTGGTAGCTCTCCTTGAATGTCTCTGGTAGGTAGGCTTCGATCTGGAATACTGATCTCGCCAACATTAGCATGCGCAGCAGGAAATGACCGCAGCGTACACAAACCAAGAGGATCGGGTGTGGCAGCTCGCGAGAGCGTATCATCGCTTGCCGTTTCCATGAGTGTCAGGCTGTCGAGATCCTCGAGCTCGGCAATCTCATCGTCGGAGACTTGCCGCGCGGCTTCAATGATATCCACCGGGTCGGCATCTTCTGCAGCCTGAAGGGCCTGCGCCTCGTCCCCGTCGTCTGGGAAGCCATATCTTTGCAGGTAGGTCTTGTAGCCGCGTACAGCGGCAAGCACGGCCATGTCCTGATAGTTCGGGTTGAAGCCAACTTTGAGCGTCGCCATTAAATCTCCGAGCTCCTTCAGCTTCTCAGAGAGCTGCGCGCGCTCTGCTTTCAGCGCAGCCAAGGTATCCTTGTAGCTTTCAAGCTTTTTGTAGAGCTCGCTGCCCTTTTTGCGCTCGATCTCGACCTTATCAGTCGATTCGGCCCGCTCGAGGGCAGCCTTGGCCTGATTCTCGCGAACCGTCAGATCAGCTACGTCGCCCTGTAGCTTCGCTAGCTCTCTGTTCAGCCGCTGCCGCTCTTTGTCGCCTGCACTGATCCAGTCCGATCGGACCTTTGCACCGACTCTGAACTTGCGCGACGCTTCGTCCAACTTCTTGCGATACTCGGCGCCTGCTTGCTTGCAGACGTTGGGACAGTTGACCTTGCCGTCAGTCTCGTCTGATCCATCACAGCACTCCGGATCGCAGATTCCATCGTTGAAACGCGATAGCAATAAGCATGAAGGCACATGTCCTTCATTGCGGCACTGAAACTGACCTGTCGGACAGTTTGGCGAAGCAGATGTACTGCCTCGGCTCGGTTTAGTATCTCCGCTTGCACACTCTTTGCTGCCGACTTCGATGTCAATTGACCAGTCTGAAGTGACGGGGACAGCAGCGTTGTGTATGATGAGCTTGGTGGCCGTCTTCCCTAAGCCGCCTCTTCGTCTGCCCGCTGTAGCTGCAACGCCGTCGGCCCAATCGAATGCAAGTCCATTCGATTGTCCCGCGACACGCACGCAGCTGGGCTTGCTCGCCATGCCAAGCACGATGATTTGCTCGATAGGCACATCCGAAATGTTCTTCGCCCAGCGGTTGCCGCTAGGGTCATATTGGCCGATCGTCTCTTGCAGATCCTTTGCTAGTCCTCGCTCTGTGGCTGCGTTGCCAGACGAAAGACGTAGATTTGAACTGCCCGGTTTGCTCGGAGCTAGCTCGAAATGCCGCCAAATGAATTCACCCCGCTGATAGGCAAATGTATCGCCATCGTCCAGATAGAGCTGACCTGATGCTGATGTGGCAGCAATATCTGCTGCGACGACGAGCGTGACTGGATCTTTCCACATCAAAGGAGCAGAACGTCGCACAATGTCACGCCTAGGAAGAATCGAGCCACCGCGAAGGAAAGCTGGCACAGTACTGAGCGGCGCTGGTACCTTTATCTTGGCGCTACCCGAAGCACTGCCGAAGTAGAGATCGTGTGTGAAGTAATTGTAGTAGGGCTGCTCGTCGGCGATATAGACTTCGACCTCTGTGACGCCTTCCTGACCGACAGGCTTGACGAGTAAGCCTGTATCGCCGACGTAGAATTGATCATCAACGGCGAAGCCTGCAGTGTCATCTGGGAAGACGACGTATTGCGGACGCATGATTGGCTTGCCGGTCTGACTTGCTTCGAAGAAAGCGGTGTAGTACGCGGGCAAAAGGGTATAACGTAACCTGATCATGTCCCTGATATAGCCTCTGATAGGCTCATCGAATAGATACGGCTCTCGGCGCTTCGTGTCGATGTGAGCATGTGCACGGAAGAAGGGGTGCCATGCGCCGGACTGATACCAGCGTACTAGCAGCTCATGGGAGGGATTGCCGAAGAAGCCGCCGACGTCAGCGCCGCTCCAGGCCATGCCGGCGATACTGTTACTGAGAATCATAGGTATCGCGCTGGCAAGGTGCTCCCAGGTGCCGAGATTATCCCCTGTCCAGATGGCGCCATATCTCTGAGAGCCCGCGTAGAACGATCGCGAAAGAACGAAGGGCCGACGAGCAGGACTCTCTCGTCTTGTCAATGCACCGGCAGTAACGTTCTGAAAAATCATGCCATTGATGTTATGCACGTCCCGATGTTCCCAGCCGCCAAAGTGGATGTTATCCTTTGGCGCGGTAATCTCTGGCCCGTTGAAGACCGATGGCTCATTCATATCGTTCCAGACGAAGAGATTCTTCCTTGAGCCCACGAAGACGTCGAACTTGAAGAGGCCGTGCCACCAGTCCCACGACTTGGGATTGAAAAAGTCGACCCATGAGCTCGAGCCAGTCCAGCACCATCCCTCGTATTCGCGGTTATCAGCAGTCTTGTAGAGAATGTCGAGCTGTTTCGCTTCCTTGTAGACATGCAAAGAGTCTACACGCTTGATGTGAGGATCGACGATCGCCACGAGCTGGCACGAAATTAGCAGAGTCTACGCATCAAAGGGCCCTGGACGCACCTGCCGACCTCTGGCAGCTAGCTCATCCTGCATCTTCTCTGGCTCGGAAAAGTAGCGTTTGTCCCAGATAAAGTATTTGTGATCCTCTGCGTATTCGATATCTAGCCAGATGACATCCATGGGGATGTCATGTTCGTCAAATTTGGCAGATACTTCTAAGACATCTTCCTGCGTTTGATAGTTCCAGCGGCATTGGTGATAAGCAATTGCAAACAGCTGCGGTAGAGCCGTTGTGCCTGTCAAAGCAGAGTACTGTGAGAAGACATCATCGCTCGTCGGACCGAGAAAGACGAAGAGATCGAGGATGCCAGACTCGGACATCCAGTGCGTGCTGGTGGTGGTAGAAGTCGGGCCGCCGTCTTTGCTGGACGATGTGGCCTTCTTCCACAGACCAGAAACAGTCTTGAGGGTTGACTGCTTGGTGATATCGATCCAGGTCTCTGCAGCATTGAGCCAGAACACGGCGACGGTCGAGCCGGCGCGGTGGGCCTTCATGAAAGGGATTGCACCGTAGAGAGCCATTTCGGAATCATACTCGTATTCGAAGACGTCCAGGTTGTAGTGACGATACGGATCCGTGTAGGCATCCTTGCCGCCCCTTGTCGTCTTGAGCGAGAGAGGGCCTGCATGCTCTGGTATGCCAAACACGTGCTCGTAGCCCGGAAAGGTGATGTCGAGCGAGAGAGCTTCCGGTCCCTTGGGTTTGGTGTCCTGGCGTCCGCCGAATGTCTCCTCCCACATACCGTCTTCGTTGGGTGGCAGAAAATGGTCAAAAGGCGCGTCACTACTTTGAACGACCGACGAATCTGCAGGTTGGACCTTGAGCGAATCACTCTCTCTGGCCTCGTCAAATGTCGCCTTGACATCTTCTTGTCCTTCTTGTTTGATGGACTTGAGTCTGAAGTGCTCCATCTGGAGCAGACCGCGTTCGTTCAAGACGACATGAGGCTGGCCATCGCGATAGAACGTAATGAGAACGGGCTCGTGTTGAATGACGACTTGACTGTGCTTCTTGGGACCATAGAGGATCTCTGTGGAGCCTTGCAAGATTCTCACTGTCGTCTTTGCGCTGTCCTGTTCGACGACAGGTTCATGCTCGAGTGCCCAACGCGCAGCTTCGTTATAGCGCTGTCGCAGACCATCGACCTGGTCCATAAGGATCCTCACATTCCCGTCTTCGTGGAACCTGATCTCAAGAGCAAAGCGAATGTCCTTGTGCAGCGCATTGGCGACGTTGGCGCGAAAGACACCGTCGCTGAAATGGGGCTCAGAGATGCCATAGGGCGAGCGCCAAGTGCCACTGTGTTCGTCAGAACGGTCGGCTAGTGCTCTCAGTCGCGAGCAGAAGCCGGACTGAGCGCAAGTCTTGAAGTCGCCTCGCTTGACGGCCATCTGACGTGGCGACGTCAGAGAGGGCAAGCAGATCAGGTGTTGCAGACTTACGACGCAGGTGAGCAGAAGCAGGCAGACGAGCCATAGCTCTCGCCTGCGTGCACGCAGCATCTCGTCAGGTCAAGGATGCCCTGGCACGAGCGCTTGACCCGGTCGATTGAGTCACAAGGCAGACACGTCGCGACCGCGTAACATTGTCGACTCGTCGGATCTCCAAAAGTGCTCGGCGGATGGAGATGTGATGACTCGGCTTCTCAACGGCATCACCGCCTTTCTCATCGACCTGAGCGGCACCTTGCACATCGGCGACACGCCAACGCGAGACGCAGTGCGGTCACTTGAGCGACTGCAAGCGACGGGCAAACCCTTGCGCTTTCTGTCCAACAGCAGCAAGGAATCCCAACGGTCACTCGCCGAACGGCTGCGGCGGATGGGCTTCGATATCGATGGCGCAGATATCTTCACTTCGCTCTCTGCTGCCCGTCAATACGTCAACAGCAAAGGCCACAAGCCAATGCTCTTGCTCAGCGACTCCGCTAAAGAGGATTTTCGACATCTTGTGCCTGCGTCCGAGTCAGAGTGCGATGCTGTCCTTCTCGGTCTGGCGCCGTCGGAGCTTCACTACTCGCGACTCGATGATGCCTATAGGCTCTTGAGCCGGAAGGGAACAACGCTTATCGCCACCCATCGGGCAATGTTCTATGCTGCTGCAGATGGCCTGTCCTTGGGACCAGGCGGGTTTATCTCAATGCTCGAAGAAGCGGCTGGCATCGAAGCTCACGTTCTGGGCAAACCCAGCAAGTCCTTCTTTGAGCTGTGCCTGCTTTCCCTGCCCGACAGCGCGCGAAAAGGCGTGGCGATGATTGGCGATGACTGCAAGGCCGATTTTGGTCAAGGTTGCGACGAGCTCGGCATGCGCAAGTTCATGCTACGTACTGGAAAGTACAAAGCCGGCGATGAAACCAAGGTAGAAGGCAGATCCCCAGAGAGGATAGACGACGATTTTGCAGCACTCGTAGACGCCTTATTGCGGTAGGCAAGATGCAATCCAATTAGAAGGAAGAATACAGATACGAAACATTGAGCGCGATAGGATAGACACAGTGTCCGTTCTGCGTTGCGGATGCGATAGTCTTTGAATTTTGCGAAGTGACTCCTAGCGATCACATAGTGGATCAGGCGTCTGACAGGACAGGCGACAGATTGCCATTGTGTCTCGATCGCTCGTGGTCATAGTCCCTCTCTAAGTCGCCTGATGAATGCCTGGAGTGACGATAGTGGCGAGTGTGGGCCCGTGACGGAGATTGCAAGAGGGCATCGACTGCCGATCGACCATATTCACTCGAACCTCTAGAGGGCGGCGGTGCGTCCCATGGAATTTGCGGTCGAGCGATCAGATCGTCGAAAGAGTCCCTCTGCGAAGAAGAGCCGTGAGCTGGGCTGGCCGGCGAGCCTAGCAGATGGTCGCGTGAGCCAGCATAGGGCCGCCTGGGCGGGTTGAGCGAAGCGCTGCTTCTCGGTCGAGGCATCCTGCGGTCCTCTCGATGGTGGCCAGCTGCCGAACGATTGCCGCGATGATCAGTCTCAAACGCTGACAGGTTGGCAGACGTCAAGTCACGGCTCGAGGGTTGCCGGCCGTGAGAGCGAGACCGCGTGCGGGGCGCATCGTCGAGATCGAATCCTTGGCCGAGATGTGGCGAAGAGCCATTGTGAGGCCTCTGGGACTGGCGTGATGTCCCTCTATGACTACCGAAGACGTCAGAATCTCTATCTCTTGCTGCACGGCGATGCTCTGCGGCCATGCCGTCCTCTCGCTTCTGCCAGTCGGATCCGCTGGCGACATAGCTCTCGCGCAGTGCGCCCATAGATGAGGCTCTTCGGCTGCCTCTTCCAGAATGATGTGAAGGACGTTGTGAGGGACTGGCATCCATGCTGCCAAGACGCTGTGCCTTTGTCTCTGCCAAGGCTTTCTCGTCTAAAACATCGCGATAAGTCGAGGTAGGCTTGGGCGTCGTTCGACCTGGCATGTGGCCGAACGCGCCCACCTTGTGGCCGAAAGTCTCCTTGATCTCCCTCGCGCGAGCGACATAAGCCGGTCCGACTGCCCCCTCTCGCCTGCGCTTCCTCGCGCGCAAGCAGAATATTCCCCAGATGATAGCGACGAGAATGATCGCTCCTCCGACGCCTGCGATGACGGCAGTGGCCCATGTTGGCCATCCAGATCCACTGCTACCGCTGGTATGTTCATGTGCATTTGTTGCCCTGGCCGTGGCGGCATTGCCTTGAGATGGCGTGGCAGTCGTCCCGCCAATGGTCGTCCTGACAGTGCCCGATGGCGCTGCGCCCGAGCCGGACAGTACGATCTGAGTCTGGCCATCTGCGAGCAAAGCAAGGGGTCAGTACGATCTTGCGGGGATTGTGATGTTGCTCGATGCCAAGGCGCTTACATCCAGAAGGGAAAGGCACGGAGATGGCCGGTGTGACGAAAGACGAGAATGCGGACGCAGTCAGTGAGCTTATCGGTTGGGTCGACAGTGAGGGAAAGCCAGTGACTGCCTGTGCCATCCTTGCTTGATGCTGCGTTGATGGGTGGCCCGTTGACAGAACGCCCGCAGTCCAGCAGAAACAAAGTTCAGATTCTCTCACAACAACGCGGATGCGGAACCGGCTCTGGGCGCATGTAAATTCAAGTTGAGGCAGCAGGCCAATGCTGAGGTCTGAAAGCTCTCAGTCGCCATTGCGTTGCGCTAGCAGACCTCTGCGGGAGCGATGTCATCTCGTCGGTGGCGGAGGTGCCTTTGCCGCCAGCAGCATTGACGCCCGCTTCCCGGTCCGAGTTCATCAACGCGTTTCTGGTGACGAACAAACCCTCCTCGCCCGCTCGAGCGGCTGGCTCTAGTGGGACGACAGCCAAGCCAATGGTGATAGGCTCATGGTATCTGCCAGATGCGTCAGAGATGCGCATGCTCGTGCCTAATTCGCCTGTCGGGCGCGCATTGGCTACGCTGCTCTTGTGGCTCGCCAGCTTCGTGCCCGGTGCTGGCAAATCGTCTGATGCGAGTGCGCTCGGTACGGGATCGTAGCCATGCGGAAGTAGGAGCGCCATATCATCGTTCGTGTGCAAAGGTGCCAAGCGAGCAGGTAAGGTGCGCTTGCGGACGACGCCAGTATGATGCGTGCGCGCGGTCAGCTCTTGTCCGACGTAGCAGCCCTTCTTGAAATCGACTGCTCGACTGGCTCAGTGAGAGCAGCCCGGCAGGGACATATGACACACCGCCGTTCATGTAGTCCATATTGCTGCCCGACGGCAGCGAGCGACCCGAGATAATGTCGAGTGGCTCTTCGGGCACACCTTGCAGGATTCTATGCATCGTATAGTGCCTCTCGTCTACTTCTATCTGGGCGTCAGCTGCGAAAGCGTCATCAGCGAGAAAGACAGACGATCAAAGCACGGCAACTTACAAGGTGGATGCGGATTTTGAGCTGTTGTGAGAAGCCGCCAGCCCATGCTTGGTGATCTCGCATCTTGCCAAAGCATGCCATCTACATCTGGCTTGCTCGTGCCATCTCGCGCAGGATAGAGAGCGCGCAAAGTGAACTTGCTGGTCTGGTCGGACAGGCTTACTCTTGAGCGCAGGATGAAGCGGCGCATATAGACCGCCAGCGGCTTTAGCGAGGCGGCATGCACGTCGATGAGATAGCCCTCTGTACCGTCTATGGCCGCGGGATAGATGAAAGCATCGTGCAGGATCCTACCCTATTCTAGCCAATTTGAGCGAGGCAGTCTCATCAGACGTTGGCACACTGACGGACGCGCTCAGAAAGCCAGAATAGAGTGCAGCGGTAGGCGTGCGAGAAGGTTCAAGCTTGTCGATATCGTTGGTGATGAGACCTTGGAGAAAGACGCGAGCATCTTGTCCTTTGATGCCGATCAGGGCTCTCGAAGTCAGCTGAGCCGATCGCCAGGCGTCACTGAGGCGTCCTGTACTATATTCCCTCCTGATGGACTGCCTGACCAGTCTCACACATGCGGGACAAGGCTGCCTGAGCATTGCCTGAACTCGACCTCACGAGGGTGAACAGCGCGTCATCGATGCATCGATTCCTCACAATTCTCGTCAACCCACAACGCTGGCGCAACCCACTCGGAGTCCTTCCGGCCCTTCATGGTCGTCGTGCCCCCCAGTCGGCTGGACGATGAACTTCAAGTCCTTGTGACAGGCTTCGGTGTAGGTCATTGCGAAGCGAGCTCTCCAAGACTGCTGACATGTCACGCTGCAATGTAGCCGTTTTCTTTCTACAAGAGCAATCCGGCATGGGACTCGGTGCAGTCCTTGCACGGCATGCAGCTCGTCCTACCTGCCTCGGACCCGGCAAGTCAGCCCACGCGGATACGAATCACTTCTGCCGAGATGCCCGTGTCGTTTGCTACCGTCTTGCGATACATCCCACGTCTCCACGGTCTCGGGCACGGCAGGGATGACAGACATATACGGTACAAGGAAGGCCCGAAGCCAGCGACGCCGACGTGCGACGTTCCGCTGCAGTCGTATGATCTCATCATCCATGTCGGCGTAGGCGCAAGGGACGCGTTCAAGCTCGAGCAAAGAGCAGACAAGCTCAACTATGGCAAATCGCCGCCCGACGCGGTAGGAGGCAGGCCCCAATTGGACGCTCAGACAGGGAGATGTGGGTTCCTTGACGAGCGATGGGCTAGCTTGCCAGACGATCTGACAACCCGGCTTGATGTATCGGGTCTCGCCAAGGAGCTAAGTGACTCGTACAAAATCGTCAAGTCAAATGATCCTGGTCACTACGTCTGCGAGTTTATCTACTACGCCAGTCTTGCATCCTCGAGGCTGGCCAATCCCGACAATTCAACGCCAGTACTCTTTGTACATGTGCCACCGTGCGTCGTGACAGACCGAGACAAGATACGAGCACTGATGCTTGCTGACAGAGAGAGCGAGCCGTACTCTGTGGCAGAGATGTCACATTTCCATCAGGTCCTGATCGCGACTATCGTCGGCAAGGGCTATCTGCCCTCGCGACGGCGGAGGAACAGCCTGCCCGTGTACGAGCAGACGTAGGCTTGGCATAAGCTAATCGAGCACACCAGCTGGTCATTCATAGTCAGCATGTAGCAGCCAGAGCCGGCGACACAGCATCCGAGAACCGACAAGGCCAGGAGCAAACAGCTCGAGAGCAGTCTGCAATGCATCTATGCTAATCTATCAGGGCAATATTTATTCTGTGTGGTCCTTTTGCTCGCCGTCAGAATCCTGACGAACGTGGATACGCTCGCCGGCAAGAGCGGAAGCTTTGGCGTCTCTGACATCTTCCTCTCGCGCAAAGTGTCGCTTGCTGAGCCAAGCACTCTCTGGCACGACAAGGTAGGAGACGATGCCCATGATGGTCACAGCGGCCCAGATGATGGGTCCAAAGTTGAATGTCTGGGCTGTGACGGGGAATTGGTAGGGCGAGAAGAGCACGGCTGTCAGAAAAAGCGACCAGATCATGGCGATCCAGCAGAAGAGAAGAGAGAAGCGACCGTTGTTCCACTTTGCATCTCTGTATTTGTGCGGCGTACAGAAGACGCGAGCGCCGGAAATGAGAGCGTATGCAGTGATCGTGGGTACTGCGCCGGCAGACACAAGCGAGGTAAAAGCGACTTGGGACGGCAGAATGGTGCAGACCAGGACGGCGGAGACGAGCCAGATGAAGAGGACAGCATTGCGGGGCTGTCCGTTCTTGTCGACTTTGCCTATCCAGGATGATCCGGGCAAGACGCCATCACGAGCGATGGCATAGATCAGGCGAGAGGCTGCCACGATGGCGATGCTTGTGTTCTGATAGTCCACGTATCAGCAGCCGATGTAGCAGCAATCTCATTCAAGACTGACCATGAAGAGGCCAATGATGGCGACTACTGTCATCACAATTTGTCCTCCGTTGCCGAGGGCGAGAGCATACAGATTGACGAACGGTTGAGGCGCATCGAGAGCGAAGAGCACGTCTAATGAAGGCGAGCAGAACAAGAACAAGATAAGAACCGGGAAAGCAAGGATGCCAGTAGCGGCGCATCCCCAGAAGATTCCCCTTGCCGCTCTGAAGCTTGCGCCTTGGGTCTCCTCGGCGATATGTCCTGCGGCATCAAAACCCGTCATGACGCCCGAAGTTGAGAGGAAGACGAGAATGACGTTCCAGGCGTCAGGCGCGCCAGTGCCGTTGTAATAAGTGAGCAAAAAGCTGCCTGGTTGGAAGCCATACGTCTGCGCAACTCCGATAGGAAGCCAGACCATCGTCATGATGAAATCGATCATGATGATGGCAAAGCTGCCCCTGAAGATCCAGGTGTACACACGGGGTGGCATGAGGTTGGTCAGGATGGCAAGGGCTAGGAAGATCTGGGCGCAGATCCAGACGACGGCGCGGAACTTGACATTGCTGTAATCGAGCGTGCCAGGAAAGTAAGCGTTGAAGACGTTGAGCTCGGAGATCATGAAGTTGGTCGTCGCTTGGGTGTTGCTGGCAACAAAGGATGTCCAGGCAGTCGTTGACCAAAAAGCACTGGCAGCACCGTCAGGATGAGTGGCCAGCAAAAGTGCAAGATGGACATACGTGATGAAGCCAAAAAGACGTCCGTACTTTGGACCACCAGCGTCAGCTGCCCATATATAGATTGAGCCAGAGAGCGGCACAGCCGAGCAGACTTCAGCCAGAACAGCGGCGGTGATACACATCAATGGCACAGTGAGCAAAAAGCCAGACCTGTCGACAGACTGAGTATATACAGCGCTAAAGATAGTAGGCTGGCGCACCATAGCGCAACGGGGCCGCCGGAGTAAATGCCGATCGAGAAGAGAATGCGAATGCCTGAGGACACGAGTATAACTTGAGCGATCGAAGCAAGTCAGCAAAGGCTGGACGCACCGCCAACGAAGTACAGCGAGCCAAAGGCTGCACTGAAGCTCTCGAATTGCTTCCAGGTACGGTGGAGTGTCTGTCCGGGCAGGTGAGATATACGTATGTGCAGGTAGTGAATAACACGTACTTGAGTATAGCCATACTGGCGCTAGACATGTCCAGCCAAGTCAGTGCAAGCCCATACGAGAACGAGCTTCCCGCCATTTGCAGCCCCGCGAAAAAGTCCGGGGCTGAGAAGGGCGAGGGAAGAGGAAGGAGAGGAGAGGAGCAAGACGGCACGTTTCCTTCGCAAGCATTATCTTGAGCAGGTTCCGTACACGGTATGATCTCAGCACTACCCTTGTCTGCCCCTTCTCCACTCGTGTCACCGAGCAGAGATGGGAGAAAGGATAGGCACCCGTAGCGCCGACTTTCGTTCGCGGAGGTCAGAATCACGAATGACTCGACAACTCTCGCTACAAGAAAGGGACGGAGTTGACAGACGACAGTGAACGTACGATTCCGGCCACGAGATGGGACGATCTCGTGCGAATGTCATATCAGTGTGCTTTTTGACAACTCCGCCGTCTTTTGGACGAGAAAGAAAAGTCAGTGAAGACATCTTTGTCCCCAAGAGGAGCGGAGATCAACAGTCGTGTGGCAGAAACGAGAGTCAAGCTGAACATGCGTGCTTAGTAGGAAGACCGATTCGTGCCTTCTGGCCTGTCTCACTACGTCCTTCCTGTGTCTCGTTCCCGAGTGCGAGTGCTTATCGCCCTTACGAGAATATCCTCATCCGAGGGGTACGATTCGTTGTCTCTGTAGACGCCTGCCGGGTCTGTGTCGCCGATCTTCGATGCCTGGCTCGTCGTTGTCGTCTCCTGCAAGTGTGAAGCCATACTCGATGAGCGCACGGTGGCTGACGGGTTTTCTGAGTTGGGCGGCTGAAGAGCCAAGAAGGAGGCCGATCGCGGATTCTCCGGCTTCGCGCCAGGCGGGCTCACCGTGCACCCGCCCGACTTCACCAAGCTCTACAGGGATGGGCAGCTTCAATCTGCAGCCATACAAGATCGGTATCCCGCAGAGCAAGCTCGACGATCTCAAGGCTCGGGTGGCCAGCGATCCGCTACCGCCTGTCACTTTTGAAGGCAAACACGAGCGGTATGGCGTCACTCGCGACTGGATGAGCCAGCTCAAGACGGCCTGGGAAGCATTCGACTGGAGCAAGGAAGAAGCGCGTCTGAACAGCTTCAGCAATTACCAGGGCACCGTCGAACACGCCGGTCATTCTATTCGGCTGCACTTCATCTCCGAGCAATGTACCGCGAATCCCGAGGCGATGCCTCTCTTGCTCCTGCACGGCTGGCCCGGCAGCTTTCTCGAGTTCACGGGAAGCATCAAGTATCTCAAGCAACACTTCCACGTCGTCGTGCCTTCCTTGCCAGGCTATCTCTTCTCCGAGCTACCGGATGACATGGATTTCTCGCCCATGGATGTCGCCGCCACAATGAACGAGCTCATGGTCAATCTTGGCTACTCGCAGTACTTTGTCCAAGCAGGAGACTGGGGCGCAATGGTGGCAAGGCTCATGGCTGTCTATTTCAGCGAATGCAAGGCCATCCACCTGAACTTCTCGCCCGTGCTGCCCATCGATTCTTACCTCGCGCCCGTCATGCCGTCTGTCTTGCGATTACGTACGCCCCAGATCGTGAAGACGTTGACGACGCCATTGTCCAGTCTGGCGGGTCTCATCCTGCCGCCCCCGGATCAACTGGGTCTCTCGGCCCGCGATCGAGAATTGATGGCCAGGTCGAACCGGTGGAACAAGACGGGCAGAGCCTACGCGATAGAGCATGCCACTCGTCCGAGCACGATCGCACATGCACTGTCTGCCTCACCGCTTGCTCTGGCTGCGTGGATTGGCGAAAAGCTGCTCGAATGGACCGACGAGAGCCCGCCTATGGATGAGATTCTTGCCCTTCTCACGGCCTGGTGGACGACAGACACCTATGCACGATCAATCTATGCATACCGACACGTAAGTGTCTATGATAGCGACTGAAGCGCAAAGCTGATGTCACCTGCAGTCATTCGGCAATCAGCCAAACACAAAACACTTTGAAAGGCAGTGCTACATCCGCGTTCCCTTCGGCTACAGCTCCTTTCCGAAAGAGATTTTGCCATGTCCGAAGCGCTGGGTAGCAACCTCTGGCAATCTGCTGTGGTATCGTGAGCACACGAGGGGCGGCCATTTCGCCGCCTGGGAGAGACCAGAGGCTTTCTCGGAGGATCTCAGGGATTGCTTCGCACAGCTTGCTAAGGCGGGCAACATTTCCTTTGCCAACAGTAAACTATGAAATGCACACACTCTAGTTGTCTGCATCGTTTCGGACCGCCCTTGGTCCGGTCGGCTGCTATCTTTACTCGCCTGCGATGAGGGCGCCCATTGACGAATTGCCGCCGGGACGTTCGCGTACCTTGCGGGTGGGAATGAAGCCGTTTGACGACTCGCTCACGTATCCCGGCGTCTCGGCAGCATTGGCACCGACGACGCGTGCAGGACGAATGGGACGCTCGTCAGCCCCGCCGCTGAAGAGGCTAGCGATCTGGGCCGAGCCACCGCCAGTCAGCTCGCGCACCTTGCGCGTGGGCACAAAGTCTGGAACACCAGCTGCACCATTCAAGAGCGTCGTGCCGTTGCTTGTAGTGTTGTCAGGAGCCTGTACCGCTTTGGCTTGGGACCCATTGCCCGTTTCGGCACTGCTCGAGCTGCTGGCCTCAGTGACGGCGCTGCCTGCCACCAGATCGCCAAATTTGGCATAGCGAGGCAGCTTCTTGAGCACAGAGGCATTGGGGTCGACCTCAATACCGATGTGCTTTAGAAAGTCGACCAAGCTCGCCTTGGTAAAGACGACGCTCGTCTCGTACGGCAAGCATCCTGTGCGTGCATGAGCCATGGCCTAGATCTAGCGAGGATGACCTGCCTACTTCTGACTGCCAATTCTTCTCGTTCGAGTCGATTGCACGCTGCGTGAACGTCGACATGCTTTCGCTTTGTGTGTGACAGACTCCCCCGAAGTGTGCTCAATGCATACGCTCGCGGCTTCTGCACGTCCGACGAGATGAAGCTCGCAGCTCGCAAGGATCAATCGACTGACGAGGTAACTGACCCGTCACGAGTGCGTCACGCTTCGCGCTTCTTCTTGACGCGTTTGCCGGTCAATGCCACGTGATGAACGGCTGGCTCATGCTGGCCCTCGCTCGGATTGGTCTGCTGACGCTTTGGCGGCGTGCACGATGGCTGATACTGCAAGTCTTGGTCTTCCTCAGGATCGCTAGACCAGTCAAGCTCGTCTTCGCTGAGCATCCGGCGAGGATCGGCAAGACGACCTTGCGTCAGCTCGTCGAGGAACAATGTCCCAGCTTGTGCGGCACATACACCGCGCCTTGGCTTCTCCGCAATGGCTTGTTACATACTGTCTTCACGGCCAAGGCGGATTTCTCCAAGATGGACAACCTCAACTATGAGCGCCAGTATATCAGGCTGCCGGATGGCGGCACGATAGGCATGGACTTTTGCCCTCCTTTGACAGAGGCACAGGCAATGCCAGATGACGTTCCACTCCTACTGAGTATGCAAGTGCTTTCTTACTTGTGAACAGTCTCCTCTGAGTCGTGACTGCTTGCTACAGGCACGGCTTGAGTGGAGGCTCTCACGAGAGCTATGTTCGCGGAATCTTGGCACAAGCGTCCCGACCGGTATCTCAAGGCGGCAAAGGCTGGCGTACGGTCGTTTTGAACTTCCGTGGGTGCGCCAACGTGCCATTGACGAGCAAGAGGCTGTACAACTCTGGCGCGACGGATGATCTCAGACAAGGGCTTTGCTTCATCTCGCATGTACTTCCGCAAGCACCGCTACTCGGCATGGGCTTCAGTCTTTCGGCCAATCTCATGGCTGTCTACGCCGGCGAACAAGGTAAGGATACTCCGTTCAAAGCTATTGCAGTGATGGGAAACATCTACGATCTCTATGCGAGCACGCTCAAGCTCGAAGCCTCACTGCCTGGCCTCATGCTATCAAAGGCCATGGCGAGTAATGTACGAACACTGGTCGATCGACATAGACACGCATTCGAGGACGACAAGAGGATCGACTTGGAAAGCTTATTCGATCGGCCGAACCTGACTCTGTATGCTTTCGACACACTCATCACTGCACCTGCAGCTGGCTATCGCTCTGCCGAGCAATACTACAAACAGTGCGGCTCCATCAACTACTTGCAAGGTATTGAGGTGCCTTATCTGTCGCTGAATTCGATCGACGACCCCATCATCGATGCACCCAGCATACCGAGCAAACCTTCGCAGCTCTCGCCTTACATGACTGTCGCCACCACGGATCACGGCGGCCACTTGGGCTGGCATCAGCATGCAGTCCTCGGCCTGATTCCCCGCAAGACGCGCTGGATAACAGTGCCCGTGCTAGAGTTCTTCTCCGCTATACTCAGCGCCGATCCCACGCCTTCGCCTCATCGCCGAACGCTGCCGCCTTTCTCGGGAAGGACAGCCTCGACAGGTACGGAAGTGCGAGACGCTCTGCGTGACGATATTGGCTTTGAACTTATCGGGCACGATACCTTCAAAGGCGGTTTGACAGAGGCAGACGCATCTCAGGGACTCACGAGAGGCCTTTGACATTAGCAAGACTATGCATTATGTCTCTCGTGTGTGCTTCATTCTCCTCGTGGCAGATGCTTGTGCGTCTGTTGGATTGTATCCTGCACTGATGCTGTTTCCAGTCGCGTCGCTCGAAGCGTTTGCTGTCCTCTTGCATGCATGAGTTGTTGTATGCTCGCTTCTATCCTCTCGAGTCGCGCTTCGATGACCGGCAGACGGTCGACTTGCGACTGATATACACTAGCTTTCGGCTCAGGCTGAACTTCAAACGGCGAATCGCCCGAATACGGCTGCGGTGGGAATTGAACGGGCGGAAAGCTCCCGCGTCGCAGTAGCGTCAGGTTGGGATTCTCGCTGGCAGGCTTCGATCGGCGGGATTTTGGAGCAGCACTCGACTCGCTTCTGACAGTTGAGCCTGATCGCTGGCGAGCCATTGTAGGTGCATCGAAGCTGAGTTGACCCAGGGCGCCACCGAGCTCGGTTGCAGGTGTCAATGGCACCGGCGTCGAAGGCTGACTGTGGGTCTGGTACGGTATGACATAGCCAGACGGCATGGGCCATATAGGCGGCGGCCTTGCACGGCGATCAGCTGACGGCAGAACTAGTCGCGGCGCCGGACTCGGTTGGCGAGATTCAAAGGGCGTCACTGTCTGTTGCAGTGCGTAGCTTATAGCATCCGACTGTCTGATTTGCGGGTTCACATGCTGTGACGACTTGCTGTGTTTGCCAGATCTCTCGCCGTCTGGGTTTCCGGAAGCGACAGTGCGAGCTTTGTTGTGTAGCAAGCTTGACAGCGGCCGAGAGGGAGCAGCAAATCGGGTCAAGCAGACGACCGACTCTGCTGCTCGCGCCATGTCGGCACACGCGAACGCGAAGTAGTCCTCCTCGCCATCGAGACTGCTGGCATCAGAGGCATCGCTCAATGTCGGTGTTGCAAGCGAGTGATCTGGCAATCCACAAAGGAATTCGTCGCGGCAAGCCAGCTCAGACCAGGCGGCGACTGCTAGCAGGTGCGCGTCGACAACCAGCTGCTTCGAGCAGTCTGGCTCATCGATCGGACTGAGCATGCGCTACCTTTGTACGATCTTGCCCGAAAGCGGCACAAGGGCGCAAGTGCTGCTCGAGATGCCCTCGAGAGCAGGAAAGATGTTTTGCAACCGACTGAACTGACGTCTGCGTGTCATTGCTTTCCATCGCTCGGGGCTCCACCGAGCTTTGTGACGGAAGACCGAGGCGGGATAAGACAGAGGATAGGACACAAGGGTATTGGGTTTGTCGACCTGATATACGATGATCTGCGGCATTATGCAAAGGAAGGCCGCTCGATCAAAGTTGTCCAAGGGCCTTGCTGAACCTTACGCGAAATGACGCAATGACGTCCTGGCTATTATCGGCCCCTCCTCAAGTCGAGTTGCAGACGCATGCGTGTTACACAACAACATCGTAGATTGCAAGCGCATGACTAGTCGGCCTTGACAGTGCTGACAGGGGCTGTATAAAGCGACTTGGGCCCAGAAGCGCCCGGTCGCATGGGCGTGTAAGTGCCTTTGGTGCTGCCAGTCGGCAGCTCGGTAAGAACCGAATAGATCATCCAGATGATCAGAAGTGCCATCACTAGAACAACCGCCATGAAGTAGACAGGATTGTCGAGCATGAAATGCATGCCACCTTCCATCTTTTGCTGCAGCGTGAAAGCCCATCTGTCCATGAGGCCCCGCGATGACTTTGGTGATAGTAGACCGCGTTGGAACTCGCTTAAGGTAGCGAAGATAGAGCTCTCACTTAGTGCTATCCGTCTACCGTGTGTATCGACGTCGAAGTATTCCAGCCTCTGCGATTGAGTCAGCCGTCGGCCATGTAGAGCGTGAAGCCGTGCGAAAGATACCTTGGGGTCAGCAATGACAATGGGAACGTCTGTACCCTTGATGCTGATCTTGTAGTTCTGCTGGAGCCACTTGGACCACTGGTCTGCATCCATCCATGCAAAGTTGACAGGCTTCAGATCTCCAGTCTGCGCTTGCGAATCGCTATATAATCTTGCCAGAGTTCTCAGCTCGTCTTTCCGCTGCTGCATGCCATCGGGTCCTAGTTTTTGCGGAGATAGCGCAGCGAGGACCATGTATGCGCTTCCCTCTGTGTAGTCCTTGAAGTATTGCGCATTCAATTCACCCAGCGAGGGTAGCCTGTTGGCGAACAGCCAAGCTCTGATTTCGCGATCCGCAAAGACGGAAGACATATGTAGCGTCTTGAGAGGCTGTGCGATATCGTAGTCCTTGAAGACGAGTATGTGAGCCTCAGTGAGGGGAAGCTTGTATCGCTCAAAGAGATCGCTCGACGACGTCTTGAATATTTTTGCGCCGCCCAGGAGGACCTTGGCAGCTTCCGAGACGAGGCTCTGATAACATGTTCAGCAAGTCACTTGTACTCTGTGAGAGCCGACTGACTGTCTCTTCCTCGGTCGCGGTCTTTGGATATAAGTAGAGGAAAAAGATGTCTTCCTCTTGGCTGACTCGCTCGAAGACGCCGGGACTGATGTCATGCACGCCGAAACTTGCAGCAGCCTTGAGCGCAAACGCTTGCATCTGCGTGAGCGATCTCGAGCCCTTGTATTCTATGCTTTCTCCCTGATGAAAGCTGAGGAAGCATTGTCAGCACCAGACCAGACCCGGGCGCAGAATGACGAACAAAGTCAGGGTCGGAAAGCCACGTATGTCTGCCTTGCGACAAGCCTCGCGGTGCTCGGCAACATCGCAGTCGAATTCTGCGACATGGACGCGTTCCTTAAGAAGAGCGGCCAAGTCCTTCCAGGCAGGGGCGAGCTTCTTGCAGTGACTGCACCAGGGCGCAAAGAACTTGATGAAGATAGGCGCTGTTGCGGAGGGAGAAATGAGATGGGTCAGGCCTGTTGCGTTGAGCGTGAGGAGTTGACCGTCGATGTTGGGGAGATCGCGCGATCGGCTCTGGATGACAAATTCTGAGCCTGTGCTCGTAGACGGCGTATCGTCGACGGCGGGTGGTCTGACAGCCTTGACAGACTCGTCCGCTTTCACCTTTGCCTCCTGTATCGGGACTGGCAGGTCAGGCACAATCTTATCCTTTGACGTATCGCTCTTCTCGGTGACGGCTGCGGCGGGCGCTGCCTTGACAGGCTTGTAGGCAGCAATCTCCTTGTCGATGAAAGCGGTAAGCTTATCCTCACTGCGCTCCTCTACAAAGGGCGTCGAAGAGATGCCGTCTTTGAACCTGATCATGCGCGTCAGTCTTTCGAGACGGCTCTCCGACATGGGTGCTGGACGTACATCCGCAGATCCGGATAGGCTTTGACAGAGTTTGCATCACATAGATCTGCGCAGGGCCATGAGATGAGTTCAGTCTCGGACAGGCGGACACAAGCTGACCGCCTTGATCTGCGCAATCGACCTGGCCAAATTGGATCCGACCGGCATCAATGAGGGGCTGGGACTTCTCGACGAGATCTCTCCATGCCGGTGCAAATTGCTTGCAGTGGTGACAGTAGGGTGAGAAATGTTCGATGAACCAGAGGCCGGAGCTGATGGTGGAGTGAAAGTCGGCGCCCTTGAGTTGTACGCCGGCATGCTCGATCGGAGCTGCACCGGCCACTAGGCAGCCTGTTCCCAGCCAGAGCACTACGCTCGCCACTAGGCTCCGAGGAAGCATGTCTGGCCGCCCAATCGTCTCGACAGCGATGGGCGTTTTGTTCGCAACGATGACACGACGACCGACCGCGTGGACTTTCTTTCTCGCGACGTGTCGTGACGACGAGGCAGGCGTACGCAGGCGGCGGCAAAGGACGAGCAGGCGCAGAGATGGTCAGGTCGACGATGATAGCCCGAGTCACAGATGGTGCGTACCTGACGAGTGCCAGCTCATGCCGGCAGCGCTGCTCCATGCCGGGTCTGTCACTGACGCGCAAGGAACAGGCTTACCCTTGGCCGCCTCTGTCGACGACGAGCAGGTCAGCTGTTGCAGATCTGCCAGGTCACCGTGTTGATGTCACGGAGGAGAATCCAGACAGAGGGAGAGCTGAGCGAGGTGAAGCAGCAGGCCAAATTGATCTTTAGGCGATTGACGCCTCAATCCGAGCCACGCTGTTCCATCGAGTCTGGGCCGTCGACGCTACAGTAGGCAGACAACGACAGCAGAGCCTACCAGCCACTGATGACACGCGTGTAGCTACCTCATCCTCAACGATATCGTCTACCTGACCATCGCCGACAAATCGTACCCTAGGAAACTCGCGTTCTCCTACCTGGACGAGCTGAGCAAAGAGTTTGAGCGCTCGTTCGGGGGTCCGTTGCTCGTTGGTGCTTCAGTGTGCTCCCTCAAGGTGGCCTGCTGTGACAGATGACGCGCGGAAACCCAGCTTGCGACCGTACGCGTTCGTGCGCTTCGACAGCTTCATACAGCGAACGAAGCGGCTCTACCAAGACACGAGGTCAGCAAACGATGCAAATGTGATCGGCGTGCTATCGCTCAGAGATCGTCACAGGAATGCAGCCGGAAAGGGGGCGGGGCTGGATAGACTGAATGAAGACTTGCAAGATATCACGCGCATCATGACCAAGAACATGGAAGATCTCCTCATGCGCGGCGACTCTCTTGATCGTTCGCATCCCCATCATCACCGACGCTCTGTAGCACGACTGAGAGAAGCGCAGGAATGTCACACATGTCCACGTCACTCAGGGACGAGTCGCTCAAGTACCGCAAGGCTGCGAGACAGATCAATCTACAAGCTGCGATACGCAAATATGCGCCCATCGGCGTACTCGGTCTCATGCTCGTCTTTGTCATCTGGTGGAAGTATCGCTAGCGACGGCGAGGCCATGCCGGTCACTGTTGTAATATTTGGCGCGTAGTCGCTTATGCCTGCCTCCCTTGCCGGTAGAAGCAAGCCAGACTTTCCCAGCGAGGCCATTCCCTCACCGACCCGCTGGCCAGTGCGGGCGAGCTGACAAGCCCCAGTGCCCACGGCGCAGCTGCATCACATAGACGCACATAGACCGGCCAAGCGGTTCACGTTCTTGAGCGAGCCATCAAGTCTCCGCACTTTGGCTCTTTCCAGCTTGTCTGGCCTTCGATTTCTGACCGACTCGATGCCAGCACAGATCTCGATTGCTTGGTATATCTTCCTCCTGCTCGCCATGACCGCCCTCGTTGCGCCCAAGAGGACTTCCCCCGTTCTGGCAACCCTTGCCTTGCTCTATCTCGCCCAACGCTTCAACGGACTGGCGAGATACTACATCAGGCTGGCCGTCTACATCGCTGGACTGGCCTCCATCTCTCTTGCTGCCATACCTGCTGCCGTCGTCATGCGCTTGCTCGGCCAGAAAGCCAATGTCAACTATGTCGTCGCTAGAGTGGCATACTATCTCATCAGTCCCTTGCTTGGCCTCACGATCACCGTCGAGGGCGCGGAGCATATCAAGCAAGCTAGACCTGCCGTTCTTGTGGGCAACCATCAGGTCAGCCATCGTGGCTCTGGCATAGCAGTCGTAGCTGACATCGCCCGTCTAAAAGTCCATGCTAGACATACTCTACCTGGGCGCTTTCTTCCCGACCCAGTGCTCCATCATGGCCAAAAAGGAGCTCAAATGGGTACCCTTGCTCGGTCAATGGATGTGGCTGTCCAACGCCGTCTTTGTGAATCGCACAAACAGACAGGATGCCATGAAGGCTTTCCAAAAGGTGGGCGAAACGATGAGGCGGAAAGCAGTCAGCCTCTTCATCTTTGTAGAAGGTACTCGGTCATCCACCGAGGTTCCCTCGCTCTTGCCGTTCAAGAAGGGCGCATTCCATCTGGCTGTACAGAGCGATCTGCCCATTGTTCCCGTCGTCTGCGAGAATTACAATGCTCTTTACAATGCCAAAGATCGGTTCAATTCTGGCGAGATCATATTGAAAGGTACTCTTTCGCGATATACATTTGTGCAGAGCTGATCACACCTTACCAGTCTTACCGCCTGTCAGCACACAAGGGCGGACAAGTTCGCACGAAGACATCGAAGCGCTCGTGCATGAAGTGAGGGAGAAGATGCTCGACGCACTAGAGGAGCTTGCCTGCAGACCAAACAGCATCGGCGCTAGCCGCAAAGTCGAGCGAGACGGTCAAAAAGCCCTCGAATGGAAGCAAGGCAAAAGGCGTTCCTGAGCGCCCACGTTGACGGGTCCTCAGAGCTGTATCATACTCCCTCATGTATTGCATCTGCAATGTTCATTCCAAGTTTTGACATTGCATTCGAGCGCATACAATTTCCATGGGTGCCTCATGCCATGACTGTTGCAGGAGAGGACATGGTCGGTACTTCGGGCATTGCCGAAGGGTGACTGGCAGGCGTCTGCTGACTTGCACCGGCAATGCGCTGAGGAGCCGTGCCATCGAGCAGACCGAGCTGTGCGTCGGTCCAGAGTCGCTCTACCTTTGCAGGCTTGGCAACGCCAACGTTGGCTCTGCCGCCGAGCGCTGCCCAGTCTGAAGTCTTCTTGAGACCCAACCTGGCCCAGACTTGCTGGAGTGACTTGACGAGGTGGCGGTGCTGATCAGCAGTGTGGCCTGGCGTAGGCGTGATACGAAGTCGCTCTTCACCGACGGCGACAGTGGGGTAGTTGATGGCTTGGATGTAGCATCCATAATCATTGAGCAGCATGTCAGAGGCATCCTTGGCGAGTTGGGCATCGCCGACGAGTACAGGCACGATGTGGCTGGGATTGGGAATGACAGGAATGTCTGCGCTGGCGAGATCATTCTTGAGCTCGATCGTATTGAGCTGTTGCAGGCGACGATCGCCAAGGTAGTTGACCTGGTACTGGATGGCAGCGCGAGCGCCAGAGACGACCGCTGGCGGCAAAGAAGTGGTGAAGATGAAGCCAGGCGCATACGAGCGAACGACGTCGATCAGATCGGCAGAGCCAGCTACGTAGCCACCGACGACGCCGTAAGCTTTGCCGAGCGTACCGGTGAACATATCGACGCGGTCCATGATGGTGCCAGCAGACGCGCCGCGAGCTTGCGCCTCGTAGTCGAGGTGCTCCGCAACACCAGCACCGCGGGGGCCGTACATGCCGACTGCGTGTACCTCATCGAGGAAGGTGATTGCACCATACTTTTCGGCGAGCTCGACGATACCTTCGATAGGTCCGACGGAGCCGCACATGGAATAGACAGATTCGAAGGCAATGATTTTCGGCGTCTCGAGTGGCAACGAGGCAAGCTTCGCTTCAAGATCGGCCAAGTCATTGTGCTTGAAGACCATCTTGCGCGCTTTGGAATGCTGTATGCCTTGGATCATGGATGCGTGGTTGCTCGAGTCAGACAAGAAAACGCAATTCGGCAGCTTCTGACCGAGTGTAGCCACTGTTTGGCCAATTAGCGAAGATCTAAAGGATAATCTGGAACAGAACGTACGAGTAGCATCGTTGGCGACGTAGCACGAACTGAACACGAGTCCAGCTGGCTTCCTATGGAGATCGGCAACCTCTGCCTCGAGCGAGAGGTGCAGGGCGGCATTGCCCGCGATATTGCGCGTGCCACCGGCACCGGCGCCGTATTTCGTGAGGGTATCGTGCATGGCGTTGACGACGACGGGGTTGCGTCCCATGCCTAAGTAATCGTTGGCGCACCAAACGGTGACTTCATCGCCTTCGACGGCAGTATGGGCTACAGGCCATTTCGCAGCAAGCCTATTGATATTGTTGAAATAACGGTAGGAGCGGTCGCGATGCTTCTTGTCCAACTCCTCGCCGTAAAAGGCGTTGTAGTCGAAGCGACCTCGCCGGACGCCTGTCATGCCCTGATTGAGCCGGGTAGCCTCTGAGCCCGAGCCCGCCTTGAAGGCAGAGGTGACGGGCGATGTACCGGAGCGAGTGGACGGCGCCGTGCGGCTATCGTGCTCGGGTGTGACTGACGAGCGAGTCATAGCCTGAGCAGCGAGTGACTGTGCACGCCGCGCGGCTTCGGCACCGGCAGCAGCATGGGGACAGATGCCGCCTTGACCCGGCTGGATGGTAACGCCCGAGGATCGGTGGATCTCGTCGATCTCCTTGCGGTTGGCAACGGCAGCATAGCCTCTGATCTGGCCTGTCGATGCTGCACAACTGAGCTGAACCTGTCGGTACTGGATCGCGGCTGCCATGATGGGACAGTCACCGGCCTTGCGGCGCAGTCTGTTGACACCCTCGATCGAGCTCGTGCTCAGGTGACGGAGGGTAGGCGCAGATGTGCGCTTCAAATAGGGGCACACATGGCTGTATGCTTTGAGCGTCGACGGCGTCATGAGGGAGGACATGCCGGCCGCTGTGATTTTGTGTCGAGGACTCTCGGACCGTTGCTCTTTTCGCGAGCTGCCGCTTCGATGGTCTTGTGCGGTATCGACTAGGACCAAGGGGTGTACGCTGATGTGTCCTGTCACGCTGCACAAGCCGATACTGCGCTCCTCGAATCTCGATGGAATTCAGCGGCGGCGCAAGATCGAGCGACCAATCAAAAGCGCGTGTTTTACCTCTGCGCGGCTGATACTCCAAAGTGATTCGTGTGTGTGTGTGTGTGTGTGTGTGCTTTCAGGTGCAGGCATCTCTTGCGCACAGTCCTCTCCATTCATATTCATACAAACATGAGCGTCCACAACAGCTCCATCAGAAGCCCAGCCTCGACAACTCTTGTCCAATCTGCACGGTCCTCGTCGCAGCCCCGGCGTCTTTGACCGAATATGCGGGCGGCGGGCAGAGGTCCGCTTCCTGCCGCCTGCTCTGTGCTCTCGCTCGCTTGGAGATGCGATCGTTGCTCGGCTTGCTCTTGCTCTGACCCTTGGCCTTGGACTCCATCATCGACGATACGAGCAATGTCACGCCACCGAATGCAGGATGTGAAGTCATCTACCAAGCGCATGTTAGCCAAAGTTGCTGGGTGACTGCTTCGATTGACATACTCTGGTAGAAAGTAACGTCGAATGTCAATCTATGCAAGCTCTGGTGCAATGCTATGGCAGGGGTTGTTCGCTGGCTTGCTTGGCTTGACTTGGCTTTGCTCAGCTGGGGAGAGTATGGTTGTGACGCATGACATGAACCTCAACCCGGTCTTATACGAAGGCAAGCGCATCGCAGTCTGCTCAACGACGATTCAGTCCATAATCTCATCAGCTCCAAGTCTCGTCGATACTCAGGGACGCGCTAAATTCAGCCACAGCACAAAGGCGTCTCAACAATGGCGACCGCGCGTCTGCTTTCATACCTGTCTTGCATGCCTACTTGACCTCACTGTGACGTCGTCTGAGCCGTCGCGATGCCCTCCTGCCAGTTGCTGTGTCGCATCCTCGGTCGTCATGACCCTCTCGCCAAATTGCACGACCCCAATTCTCGTCTTGCTCTCTCATCTCAGATATAGTCATGTTACTCAAGGTCGCGCCCGCCCTCACGCTTCTCGTCACACTCGCTTCACATGTGTATGGCAATGGCGTCGACTCATCAGAGAACCCATCGGCAAGCGCAGGCGGAGCAAATGCAGTCAAACTTTTCTTCACGCCCGCGTGGGTCCCGGAGTACTCCGTCAAGTGGACTGTTCACCCCGATGTATGCCTCTCCGCTTACGTTGCCCCGCGTTGCTCAGGTAAAGCAAGCAGGGCATCTGGTATGATGAGCCAAAGCAAAGCATCATCCGGGTCGGTCATTCGCCTTTGACGGGCAAGATGTACCGCACGACCGAGTATTACTGTGCGTGACGTTTCAGTCTATCTCCTTGATTGCTAGACTGATTGCGAGGCAGTCGATGGTGTGGCGTTCACGCTCTTCTATGGTGAGGCAGGCAAGATCGAGGCTGTTCGTGTGGACGATCCGATCATGTCGCACCTGCAAAAGGCCATCGTCGACGGAGTCTCAGTTCCCGTCGTGCCCGGCATCAACGATGTCTTCAACAATGACGTCTAATAATAATGGAAGCCAATGCATCGCTTTTGCGCCCGTAACGACTACACCTGAGACGCGGCTCGGCCACTTTGCGCTGGATGCTTGCACTGCCTTTGCATCGCATCTGCAAGCGTGCTGCACCCTTCTTCTCCAGCTCCCTCCTTCCTCTCAATCTGCGAGCTACAGACATGCTTTCCTTCGGCCTTCTTTCGCTCGCCCTTGCCAGCCAAACGCTCGCCTTACCCTCTACGACTGCGCCCACGGCTTTCGTCACGACTTACAACGTCACTTGTACGCACCCTGCCATCCTACGAACGTCGTACTCATCCTGTACTCTCAGTCGGTTCGATTGGCTACTGCCCGATCAATGGTCCCAAGGATCCCTACCGCTCCGTCGGCATGAGAAACGGCAATCTCCTCGTGCACATCTCCAGCAATCCTGATACCGCGCCAACTTTCGTAAGGCTCACATGATGCAGACTCATTGGAATGTAGCTGACTCTTTGGTATGAACGCATAGTCAGACGCTGCCGTCGAGGGTACGACGGCTGCGCCTACGGCACCCTTCAATGGCAAGGCGTGGACTTTGAAAGTAGCAGCGCCGGATGTGCCCCTCGTCCCCACCAAGTGGGATGATTGCTGCACCGGTACGCCTTGTGGCATGGTGTACGACGAGATCTGATCCGTCAAGACAGCGAGTTCTTATCACGAGATCATCTTCCCGATCGATGGCACAGCCGCTACGACGAACACGTACGAGGGCGGAGGTCATGCAGGCGCATCGATGCTGCAGGTGAGTCTGTTGCCTCGACCTTGTGGTATTGTTGATCGTTGGGATGGTCGACCAGCACTGCTATGCTGATCGCAAGACCAAGAGTGGCGACTCCTGTCAAAAGACCCTCGGCTTCAAGTCAAAGGCCGATAGTGGGTCGCTCGCTTGCTCAACGTTGCATCGCTGATCTTGGCGGCAGCGATCAATGCTTGCGACATCAGCCAATCGTTCTGGGAGGCTCCCATCGTTCAAGCAAAGGCTTGATCTGCGCAGGTACGCCAATGCATTGCTAGCCTTTTGACAAGGCCGGGACTACCTGTGCTAGCTGGCTCACGAGGAGGATGATGATGACTTGGACTTGAGCCACTCTTGAGGATAGTCTTTGAAGGTAACGCCAGCATGACGCTTCTTGATCCTCGCCAGCGTCGGCCTGTCGTCCAAGGGGATATCGCTCAGATCGACCGACTTGTCCTGCGAGTCTTGCGTCAGGTTGAGTACGACACGACGAGGACGCAATAGCTCACCCTTGCAGAACGTATCAGCCTGTCCAACGTGTCTGAGCACCACTTTGCATTTGCCTCTTGGGTATTGTACCGTTGGCAGCTGATGGCGATGACGTCCTTCTCTGCATCCCAACGTGTACCCGCGAGCTTCCTGATAGTATCCCTGGCCTCACCAGTCGGAAGCTCGAGCGAATTGATGGGCACGGTGATGGCGACTTTTTGATCTACCGCCGTCGGCACGCCTATCCACTTTTGAGTGCGGACTTGTATCACTTCATCCTTTGCAGGTGGTACGAAAGGACGTCGTAGATCTGCTCCAGCGCTCACCGGTGAGCCAAGTCTACTAGCTCAGCAGGTGAAAGACGAGCCTTTGAGGAGAGGCAGTTGAAACTCGATCAGGCGCAAGTAGTGTAACCTTTCGCGGTCCTTGGCGAGCGCGAGGTGACCGTACGAAGGAAGATCATCGTAGCCGTAGGGTTCCATCTCGTCCATGTCCATGCCCGGCTCGAGCAAGATCTCTGGCACACGGTCGACTCTCTGGGCTTGCCTGCGCGTTGTGGTGCATATACATCGCCTGCTGAAGCTCGTCGGCGGTAGTTGTGATGTCGATGAGCATGGAGCTGGCAGTGGCGCAGCAATCAGAGGTCGTAATCGCAGCATGGCAGGTCGACCTTGGACTCTCGCAGAAAGAGCACGACACGTATCGGACACGTCACCTGGGTGGCGTCAATCGATGATGCCGCGGCCAGACGGATCGATTTGGCTCAGAAGACTTTGAGACGAGACGAAGATGCAAGGAAGAGCCATGATCAGGCCTGTCACGGCATCAGCCAAGTCGTTGCTATCAGCCAAGACGGTTGCCACTCGACAGACGGGCGCACACTTGAGCACCCTCTCACCCTCGACTTCTTCAGTGCTCGTGCGCTCCAGACGATCTGCTCAACCCTCCTCGACGTCAGGTCTATCGAGTGCGAGGAGGAGCTACCACGCCAAGGTGCTCGATCACTACGAGCGACCTCGTAATGTGAGCCTGCCTCGCTTCGCTTGACTGCGTCAAAGCTCGATGGATGCTGACTGAGGCGACTTTGTTTGATAGGTCGGCTCGATGGACAAGAAGGATATCAACGTCGGTACGGGACTGGTCGGCGCACCAGCATGTCAGTCTCCAGGCAGTGAGATGCTACCTTGGCTGAAGCATCGATCACAGGTGGTGACGTGATGAAGCTTCAAATCCGAGTCGACGATCAAGTAGGTCACCGTTCGCAAAGCACTCGCTCATGTGCTCATCATATCAACGACCATCAGGGAGTCATCTCAGACGTCAAGTTCAAGACCTTTGGTTGCGGATCCGCCATCGCCTCATCGTCGTACATGACCGAGCGCGTCAAGGGCATGACGCTCGAGGAAGCCGGCAAGATCAAGAACACCGAGATCGCAAAGGAGCTCAGTCTCCCGCCCGTCAAGTATGTCAGACCTGTTTGTCCCGCCTGATGACACGTGTGCTCATAGGCAAGCGATAGGCTACATTGCTCCATGTTGGCAGAAGATGCGATCAAGGCCGCCATCCGTGATTTCAATGAGAAGCGCAAGCAAGGTCACGCCTCAAAGGGCGGCTTCATCGATGTCTCCCAGAGCACCGCAACTGGCGAGACGGTCGCAACTGCTCACCCTACCGCTGCATAAGCTCCCACGACACCTCTGCCTTGCTGTTTTTTCTGCATATTGTGCCCATTGTATACTGTTTTGCGCGCTATGGAGTTGCATGCATTGCAATCAACAACAGGACTTTGCAAGGGCTCTCTATTGGGTCGTCAAGGGCCGCGCATAGGCTGCTTTGACGGGAGCAGGCCTCCGAGCTAGCCACTGACGTGCGGCTTTGCCCGGTCTGCGCAAGCTGGCACCGGCAGCAATGCACAGCGAGAGCAGGACAAGACTGCCGGCCTGATGGGCCGCTGCCAGAGGCGTCGGCACGAGGTAGACGAGCGTCGAGATGCCCAGCGAGACTTGCAAGACGGCCATGCTCATCGAGGCTGTGATCCACTTGTACGTCTGCGGTGGCAAAGCATTGCGCACGAGAGGTCTGCGAGCATAGAGCCATACGCCGAGGATGGAAACAAAGGTGGTCTCTGCTAGCGTACGGTGATCGAACTGGACCGTCGTCGGGTTCTCAAAGATATTGCGGCGAATGAGATCGGTGTGACCGTCCTTGTCGCGCGCATATCTCGCATCGAACAGTTCTGCTCGGGGTGGTACGAGATGCTCGCCCATGTAGGGGAACTCATTGTAGACCAGGCCAGCATCCAATCCGGCCACAAATGCGCCTGCTCGGGCGATCAGTCATGACACCTGAGCGTTGCAAACTGCCCGTACCTGATAGAGCAGTCAAGAAAACCAGACCTGTCAGCGCGGTCAGAATGATGCGTGTCCTGCCCGCCGTGCGAGACTGCAAGGTCGAGATCGTGCTGGCGACTGAAGGTAATCCCGACAGGCCAGTCGATTTGGCAGCCAGACTCCAATCTCTGCCGATGCCCAACGCGACGCGTAGCGAAGCAGCATAGACGATGAAGGCCATACCCAGATGCGCAGCCAGGCGGTACTGGGAGACACGCGGAACGCCTGAAGGGTTGGCTTCGGCTAGCGCGGCATGAGTGAGACCAGATTTGACCATGTACCAGCCAAGAGCGCCCTGTGCTCCGATGAGAGTGGCGATCGTGAAGAGCGCTGCCCCGCTCTGCCTGTTCAGTCGCCGTCGGTAGATGAGATAAGGTATCGGCACTGCACAACTTTGATCAGTCAGACTGTCTACAAAGCGAAACGGGCAAGACGCACGCAGGAATGCCAGACCGATGACACGGCCCAGCATGCGGTGAGACCATTCCATCCAGAAGATGCTCTGAAATTCCTTCATGCCCATGTTCTTGTTCGTGATCTGACCCTCCGGCGTGGCTTTGTACTTTGCAAACTCGACTTGCCATTGATCATGTGTCAGAGGTGGCAGCACACCCGTGACGAGCTCCCACTCGGTGATTGACAGGCCTGATTCTGTCAAGCGCGTGAGACCGCCCAAGATGACGATGAAGAAGACCATCGTCGAGATCGTCAAGAGGTAAGGAACGACGATAGGATCCGTCAGACGAGGCAGCTCCTGACTCGACGAACTATCTCGATGTGTAGGGGCGCTCCCCCGATCGAGCGCAGCCTTGCGGATGGGTGTCGCAACGGGCAACGTCTGACTGAGCGGCGCACCTGACATTGCAAGTGTGGATGCCGATCGGATCGCTGCGTGCCCCGTTGCGAGCAAGCTGACGGAACATGGCGAGGACCGTATTGTGCTGCTCATGGATAAGCTTGCAGCAATACTAGAGCTAGCTACTGGCTGTCGTATAGCCGTAGAGTGCAACGAGCGATGTGCAAAGTTGAACGTTCTCGGCGGCAACCTGGCGGCTTGCGCTAGCTGCCACTGCGCTTGTCTTGCACAGCAGAAGCCCGAAGCAGATGCCAGTGCCCGTCTGGACACTAGCAATGGCGCTACTCTGCTCATGCTGCTCGATGAGTGACTGCTCTGAGATTTACGAAATTCACCAAAGCGCGCGTTCTGAGTTTGCCCCGATTCGCCACGTATGGCATGCCAGAGAGAGAGAGAGTCTCACCAGGCTTCGCGATATCCCGATGACCTGCGCGTCATCACACACCCTGCAAAGACTCTACATCACGTATGGCTACGCTCTCACTTCGTCTACCTTTGCCTTTTGGAGTGCAAAACCAGGTACCACCCAGGCACCGCAACCGCACTGAGCTCCCGACCAGTCGAACGAGCCCAGTTTAGCATTGCACCTCGCGTTCGGGCACGCGAGCTTCCCGCCCAGACTACCTCCTTCGAGCGTGCTCGACATCCAGGAGAGCGGCTCGACAAAGTAGGCTGAACAGCTTGATGACTGCAGCAACGGAGGGGAGGAAGGCGTCTCGATGACCGGCGAGCCTTCGCTAGAGCCTGGCGGTGTGGGATCAAACACGGGAGGTAAGGAGACGCGGAGATTGGCCAGGTTGGCTGGCAAGCGATCTGCCAACCGCTTGGGCGCGCCGTCTGCTGCCGTGCTTTGGATCGAATCAGAGTCATCTGCTTGGCCGTCGGGCTGCTGCCTCTGCTGTCTTTGGCGCTGCTCCACTTCGAGCCGTTGTTTCTCCTTGAGCTTGAGTTCTTCTAGTTGTGCTCGATATGCAGTCATATCTCGTCTATGGGGCGCAAACGCTTGCTGCCCGACGCCGGGCTCATGCGTCAAGATAAATTCGCGCGATGCCAGTTCTCGCCTGCACATCCTACATCGCAGCCTTCGTCCTGAGATGTAGCTACGATCCTGTCCGACATTGACGACGTTGCTCACGGGCGGTTTCGGCGCTGGCACAGCAGGCTGCGCAGGCGTCAGCGCTGTCGGCTTTGAGCGAAACGTTCTGCGTGGAGGTGGTGCATCTGCGATGGGTGCACTAGCGGCATTGGCAGCCATCTGCCGCACTTCCGCACGTGCAGCCTGATCTGCCTCGCGTCCTTTGCTGCCCCGACTGCTCCTACTGCTGGCGCGTCGCATTCGCATCGAGGTGAGAAACTCTGTACGTTGCGCTGACATTTCCTGGGGAGTGATGCTGCCTTTGCGAGAGATGGGTTGGTCATCTCCCTCGACGGAAGAGATCGATGTCATCCTGAGATCATGAAACGGATCTGAGCCCGATCGCGGTCGGGGCGAGGGGGCAGGAGAGGGAAAATAAGCCAGATAGAGCTTGTCTGGCACGCCATCGCCGTTGGTGATCTCGCCAACGTTGCCGTGCATGAGGAACCTTCGAAGCTCTGCATACTTGGCAGGATCGGCATCACATTCACATCGCTCGTACAGCTCCAACTGGCCCATGAAGAATTCTGTTGGCTCTACGATCGTCCGTACGCTCTGTATCCTCGCGATTGCTTCTGCGCGTGCTTGAGGTCAGCAGCTTGCTTGCTTGCTTGAGCTGCAAAGCGTGCTGACCTTCCACTTCGAGATCGAATTCTGACATGAGGAATGCAGCGACCAGTGTCGTGCTACGCGAGACGCCCGCCTGACAGTGCACGAGGATGCCGTGACCTTGATTGAGCGAGTGCCTGATGATCTCGTTGGAGCGTTTGAAATGACTGATCATGTCTGTCGAGTTGTTGTCGTCTACGGCTATGCGAGTGATCGCAAAATCCTCTGGCACGACATATCTCTGCTTCACTGTTGCGAGCGTCAGCCCGACGCCGGGTCTGATGAGGTGTGACACACTGGCAGAGATGATGTTGTGTATGCCGTGCTCTCGCAGGAGCGGGAAGTTCTGCGAGGACGCCAGATCGCCAATGAAGAGCCCAGGAATGACTGGCCATACATTGCCTTTAGCGGGAACGCAACCGTCTCGCTGAGCTTCAGAGGCACACACCTTCGTGCATGTGCACTCTTGGTGAGCTTTGCGCCGACATGACGAGCTGGTTCGAAGGTCAGCACGCCTCGCGGTCAAACAGATGTCGAGGTGATCGGCAGCTCGGCAGCTGTAGACTGTAGACGCGACGAATGACGGTTCAAGGTCAGATGAGAAAGATGCAAATGCGGTAATACAACGACACTCGTGCAATGCAGTACGACGCCTGATCCGCTGCACTGATCGCTCTGCGCACTGTCTAGCGTGTGCCAATGAGATAGCCTCAGGCAGCCTCCTGATCGGGCCAATTTTCAGACGCACCCAGGGTTTCCGGTATCGAGGCGCTATCGGAGGTTGCGACACTCACTCCTTTTCTGGATCGTACAGCCATCTGAGCTCTTCGACATTCGGCTACACTCGGCCGCAGCGTCTCGCTTGAGCTTTTTTGGGCCTTGCCAACGACGGACTGGCAGGCTCACGCCTGATCGCCCGTCAGATATGCAGCCATCACGAAGGATTCTGCTGACTGACTCTGGCCTTGTTGCTGCGTTGGTGAGTCACTGGCTTCACATGCTGATGCTGGGATGCAGCTGTCGCCCCCGACAGCCTCAAGAGAGGCCGTTGGCTCCGCTACTGCCTCGAGTGGACGTGTGCGGTACTTCTATAGAGCGTCTGCCGTCATCGTCTACGAAGCGAGAGGATCTGCGTGCGCAATCACTTTGGCGCAGGCTTGGCTGTGCGCGTCCCATTGTCTTGGATCATTCTTGGAAAGAGGCCGGAAAGTGCATGGACGGTTGTCTGTGCGTGCTCTGACGAGGCTGAAACTTGTATATGATTCTCATTGGACTGGTCTTCTCCGGAGATATGGCACGCCGAAAGATCCGAGACAGATCTACGACGCGCCTGGAAGTCAGACTGTGCTCGCACTGCGTCGTTGAGGCAGCTCACGCCAATACGAGGACTTGACAGTGTCGTAGTACCGATTCGTGTCCAAATCTATTGTTGATTCTCAAAGCCGTAGAAGGGGGTCATGGTATGCCTGTGTGGTATCGGATATGCGCAGCAGGACTACATCGCCTTTCTGTTGACCTAGGAGTCCGGTTCGATGCTTTGCTCCAAGACTGTGTGGGATCTCGAGGCAAAATAGACACTGACTCGCCTGCAACTTCGTACGCATGAATTTGCTTCCCCACACCTTCGCATCCCCTCTTTCCCGCGGTCACAACATCCCCTTTGTATGCAGCTTCAGTTGCTGAGAAGAGTGAGCTAGCTCGACCAGTCGAGATGCACTGTCGGGCAAGATGTTCGTGCAGTCATTTTGCGCAGATACAGACTGGCGCACGCGGTCTAAGGGCTGACGAACTCTCGGCAATGTGTATAGCGTGACGTCTGTGTGATGGGGTCATGCCAGCAGAGCGGTCCGTCCTCGCTGTCGGAGGAGTAGCGCTCGTCGATTCGGGTGGGAACTCAAATCGACCTTAAAAGCGCGCGAATTCGTCGGATTGCTAAACTTACCGCTTCGTCTCAGGCGAGACTTCGATAGCGATGGCCTGTCGAAACCTCAAAGCCGATCTAGTGCTCTGCGTACAGCGATCGCCTTGCTGCGTCAGGGATCACAACGATGTGGCTACTTGCCTCAGGGATCATACGAACGAGCTGCCAGAAGAGTGCCGCCACTTGCGGACGGCTTTCTTCGAATGCAAGCGAGGCATGGCACGTCTGGCTTCGCTTGACGATATGCTGAGCTCATACGTGATGATAGCTTGACATGCGCAAGCGATTCAGAGGGCTAGATACAGGCACGAGACGGCAAGATCTCTCGAAAGCACAGGAGATTGACAAGTTCCAAGATCCGCTATCTGCTGCCGCAGCCAGTGCAGCGTCCGGTCCGCCGACGAACAGTTAGCACATGCACGAGTAGCTCTGTCAGGTTTTGTTAGATGAGATGTACAAGCGAGTACAACAGCCTCTTCCGAAGAAGCACTCTACCGCGCTCTTTTGTTGATGATCGTCTTTCCTTGCTCTTTGTATCTGCACGCGCGAGTCAGCTCCATCAGTGCCGAGCGTCAAGAAGAGCTCACTCTGCTGCTGATATCCAGAGCTGATGGAATGTGCCCAAGCTGGCGAGAATGGAGCCGCCTAGCCATGAAGCATACTTGCGCTCAACTGAATTGCCAGGCGCATGTATTTTGACCTTGAGCTGCACGCAAGCGTCAGCACAAGGAGACGCTCAAAGACAACTGGCGGGCTTACACTGCCCGAGAGGGACTCCATCTCTCTCTGCAGACGATCTGTAAAGCCAGGCATCGATGTAGTACCGCCCACGACGACAATGTTGAGCAACAACTGAGGCATGACATCGGCGTCACAAGCATTGACGGCGTTGATGATCATGTGAGGGATCGAGACTGATTCGCCCGGAGCTGGCGTGGGGATGGTCGAGCCCGAATGCGCCGAGGGTGACGGTAGATGAGTGAACTGCAGGCCGTACATCAGCTATGCCGTTACGGGCCACAAGTCTGCGCGTACAGCAGCTGGCAGGAAGCGCGGGTTGAACAGGACTTCGGGTATGGCGTAACGATGCATGCCAAAGTAGGTATTGAAGCCGTCTGGGAATTCGAAAGGCTTTGAGCCCCGTTGCGTAACAGCCCTGGAGCCCGATGTGTCAGCGGTGGACACTTCAGGCCATGCAGCTATTACTTCTCATCCCAGGGGTGGTCAAAGACGGCGGCCGTTGTCTCTTTATATTCGGTCATGACTTTGGCTTCTGCATACGCATGGAAGCTTGCTGTCGTGATATCATCCTCTGTCGGTCCGGCATTGCTGTCCTGCATGACCGCATCGCCCTCCGCCGCGGCGACGGGGGCAGGCGCGAAGTGAGGCATCCTCTCCTCGCGGTAGACCGCATTGGCAGGCTGTCCTGGCTCGACGGGGGTCTTTGACTTGACGAGGTAGTGAGGCCGCACTTGCAATGGCGGCTGCTGCGTCCGGAAGGATGTGCTCAGGCTCGTGTTGAGCAGTCCGCCGGCGAGAGAGGATTTTTGTATGGCTGCAGGCCAGAGAGAGAGTGAGTGAGTGAGCGTGCCAGTCGATGCAAACGCGTCTCGACGTACCTTTGCGCAGAACAAAGCCGTCAAAGACTGGCGTGACGGTAGCGAGCTCCTGACCGATGTCGACGATGAGAGCAGTACCCTTGCCAGCCGAGAAGGCAGCGAGCACGGCGCGGTCGACGGTATAGTATGCAGGCGCCTGCCAGGTCTCGAACGCAATCTCGAGCATGCGTTCCCTGTTGGCTTTTGTGTTCCAGCTAGGCTCTGTGGTCAGAAGCGGACTGTCTGCCAGACTGGGTATCCGCAGTTGTCCGGTGAGGGAGGAGTGAATGAGCTGCTCTGCCGCATCCCAGTCGACGACAATGCCGTCTTGGCAAGGGTTGAGGACACGTTGGTGAGCTCGCCAGACGTTGGGGCCAGCCTGTCCGAAGTAATGCTGGGCCTCCTTGCCGTCTCGAGCGGGCACGTAGCCGTAAGAAGTCGGGATGATGCTCTTGGGTGAATCCTCGCCGGCATAACTTCACTCTGCATCAGCCTTGGCCCTGCTGGGAGGTCAGCTGCATGGCTCACCCTGCTCGCGTCGTCGAGGTGCCGATGTCGAGCACGACGGCAGAGACCTCGTCACCTCCATAGACGACCATCCTTGCGCTGTCTTGTCTCCTCTCGTCTCTGTTGCGCGCTTCCTGATCCAATTTTGTTGGCTGAGCCGCCTCGAGCTGAGCCTCGAGCCTGACTTCCACGTCGGTACGGCCGAGCGGGATGCCGGCCTCCAAAGTGCTCACAGACGAAGAAGAGCGGGTGAATGAGCGGACCGTGCTGCTCTCGCCAGCTGCACAGGCGGCCGACTATGAAGCGATTGCAGCGACAAAGGCCGCACGCTCTCTGGATGACAGAGATCCTCAGGATGTCACCCGGAGAGCGACCATCCTCATCTTCCTCGGCGTCTGGACCGGCGTCTTCCTCGGCGCTCTCGATACGACCGTCGTGGCTACGATTTTCTCTCAGATCTCGAGTTCGTTCGGAGCGTCCAATCAGTCATCATGGCTTGCGACATCCTACTTGCTCGCCACTGCTACCTGCACACCTCTCTACGGGAGGCTGTCAGACATCTTCGGCAGACGAGGCGCCAGCATGCTCGCCCTCACACTCTTCACCGTCGGCACGCTGCTGTGCGGTCTCGCAGGCAGTATGGAGACGCTCATCGTTGCAAGGTTGATTGCCGGCATGGGTGGCGGAGGTCTCATGACGACCTCGAGCATCATCGCGAGCGATCTCATTCCTCTCAAGCAACGTGGCTTCGTACAAGGTCTCGTCAATATCTGCTTTGGCGCAGGTGCAGGCCTAGGGGGACCGCTCGGCGGTCTGATTGCAGACCGGCTCGGATGGCGATGGGCCTTTCTCATGCAGATCCCGCCTCTCATCGTTTGCTTCGTCCTCGTCTTCATCTTTGTTCGCTATCGAGTGCCAGGTCAAACCGGCACACTGTCGCAAAAGGTCAAGCGAGTCGATTGGGCCGGCAGCGCGACGCTTGTCATTGCGGTAGCCAGTCTCTTGCTTGGACTCTCCTTCAAGAACAACGAGGACTATGCCTGGTCAAGTCCCTGGGTCTGGGCACCCCTCATCATCTGGGTCGTCTTCACTCTCATCTTCGGCCTCGTCGAAGCGTACGTCTCGCCTGAGCCCGTCATGCCACTGCGTTTGCTCAGACAGCGCTCGATCTTCTTCATTGCGCTGTCAAACTTCATCGCATCGGCCATCAGCTTCAGTGTGCTCTACTTTTACCCGCTCTTCTTCGAGAGTGTCAAGCTATCGACAGCTGGCGAAGCGGGCTTGCATTTACTACCTAACAGCGTTGCACTGTCCATCGGCTCTCTTGTTTCTGGCTATGTGCGTATACCTCACCAACTCTCGACGTTGCGCTGAAGTCTGTGCAGCTGATGAGACGGACCGGCAAATATTGGTGGTTGATCGTCGGCTCGGCAGGTCTACCGATTGTCGCCTTTATCATCATGGTCATGCTCGACCGTAACTCACCAGCATGGCTCACTTGGATCGCAGTGGTCAGTCAGATCAATTGATGCAGCTCGATCGTTGAGCTCACTGTGAATCCATCTTGACAGATCCCTTCTGGCTTCGGATATTCGAGCCTGATCACCTCATTACTCAGTACGTGTCCTGCCCGGCATGGCAATGATCTCTCTCGTGACTCGTGTGGTACTTGTAGTCGCACTCATATCAACAGCCGATCGTGCGGACATGGCAACAGGTGAATCTGCCTCTCTTTCTCGCCGGATGGGGCTCATATCACGCCACAGCTACGGGTCTCTCGTACCTCTTTCGCTACGTCGGTCAAGTTGTCGGCGTGGCGCTATCGAGCTCCTTCATGCAGTCCATCCTCACAAGTCAGCTCAGAGCAAATCTTACCGGCCCGGGCTCTGCAGAAGTACGTCTCTTGCGCCATGTGTTGCACAGAACTGATGAATTCGCTCATCTCAGCTCATCGAGAAGATACGGCATACCACCTCCATCGTCAAGGATCTGCCACCAGATACTCAGAGTATCGCCATTGATGCCTACCAAAAGGCACTGAGAGCAGTATACCTTCTCAATGGCGGCCTGGCCATCCTTGGCCTCCTGTGCGCCTTCCCCGTAGGTCTCGCATGATTCGATGACCAATTGTCAAGCTCATCGTTGTCTCAGATCCGGGAGGTACCGCTTTCAGACAGCTTCGAAGAGGAAGAGCAACGTAGACGCGAACGCGAAGATGCGCAAAGCACAGAGACTTGAGAGCATATTAGACGCTACATACAACATCTGTTGCTGTACATGTTGACATTCTACGTGTTGCTGCGATCACTCTTGCGTACCATTGATGTCCATGCTGCACACCGTGATAGGCTTATCGAAACTCGTCCGCGCAACCAGGCGGATCTTGCGCGCAATGTCAGTCTCTGCATCGTGACTTGCCGCTAATGTTAGCGTGAGGTTGCTCCTGCCCTCTGAATCTGCCAAAGGCGCTGTCGACACATCAAGAAGCTCGCGCTCGTCCTGCGCACCCGTCAGCATGACTCAGAATGTGGGCCACGGACTACGGACATAGGCCAGACCTAGGTCTGATTGCGTTTGTAGTCTCCATGCCGAGCCTGCGCGTGCAGTCACTTGGGCGAGGTTATCACTTGCGATAAGCTTGATGGCGGAGATATTGGTGGGCTTGACGAGCAAGAGACCAATGTAATCTCCCTCGATCGGAGGTCGAGAACTTGTCCAGCAAGTGCTCGGATCACCATCTACTGCAAGGTGCCACGAGCCTTGGGAGATCCAGTAGTCGACTGTAGGCCAGAGCGGATTTGCCGAGTCGTTAGTCGCATGGAGCGTGCTGAAGCGCTCCTCGTGTTCGTGAATGTGCGAAATCTGATGGGGGTCGAAGAAGGCACTCGACGGGATGGAAGAAGCGCTATCTGCTACGCGCTTGCGAAATCGATCCGTCCACTCGCCTGCAGGCTCGGCTTGTGCTTTGACAGGGTAGCGAATGAGATTAGGAGATGGAAAGGGCGAGAAAGAGGTGATGAACAAACAACGGTCTGACTTACAAGGCGAACGTGCGTCGTGTTCGGGCATGCGATTGGTGAGCGCAAATGGGTATGGGATCGTCAAGGGACCTTGCTTTCGCAAGACAGTGTAGAGCTTCCTGAGTGCATCGAGCTGTGAGAAATATCACGTTAGTCATCGTCGCAGTCTAATAAAGGCCAAGCGCACAATGTTGGCGTAGACGACCGTCCACTGGTCTACTTCCGATCCTCTGCTCCAGCCCACTTCGCCGCCTTCGACGTCGATGGGCTCGAGCGGATTGGACATCTGCTCCGGATAGGTATTCGTCCACAGACCAAAATACATATCAGCAAGAAGTACACTGTCTCTGTCCATCTGGATCGGCCGAGTGCCCATCTGATCGACAAAGCGCTGGGAAAGTTGCCTCGGCGCAAGAGAGCCTGTTCCAAGCCAGATGAAGCCGGCAGTCATGTCGATCTCTGGATTCTCGAAACGCCATCGTCTGTGCTCCCAGGCAATCCAGGGCAGCGTATTGCCAACTATCCTACGCGCTCCCTCGCCGCCTTGGTCGATGTACTTGGTGTAGAGCGCGTCGAGGTATGGGTTGAGCCAGTCATCGTCGTTGAAATAGCATGTCTCATAGGATGCCAAGCTGCAAGCGAGGTGCTTTGCAAAGTCGTGCAGATTGGAAGGCGAGTTGACTATTCTCAGCTTGGGATGGAGCAAGACAGTCTCGTTGTAAGGTGGCAAGAGATTGAAATTATCCCGCGAGAGATGGACTAGCGCGTTGTTGTTCCATACGATGATCTCTCTGATGAAGGGATAGCGAGAAAGGTGCTGTACGACTAGTTGCAATCCCCGTCTCCGCTTCCAGGCCAGAATGATTGCCGTCACGCCAATGGGCCTCGTCCTGTACACTGAGTCGAACACATCCTCCACGTCGACCTTGAGCGACTCGTCGTCGGTCTCCTCGACGAAATCAGCTGGCTCGTAAGCTGAGTGTGTTCTTGTGATTCTTTCCACCAGCTGCTTCTCGTTGGCCTCTTGGACTGCAGTCTGTGACAGCGGGCCAGGCGCATAGTCTAATGCTGCGTCTGTCAAGCTTCTTGTAGCCGGCTCGTCGCGCGCAATGCTCGAAGAGAGCCACAGTAGGCCGGCGCATCCGATGAGGAGGATGAGCAGTCGTCTCTGTAGCCAATGAGGGCCTGCATGGGGAGGTGCAAGTACGAGCTCTGCCAAGGCCGAGGGCTGTCCTACGAAGAGCAACACATCCTGATTTGTCATCCGCATCGTCAGCTCACACTGCTCCTTGAACAGACATGCCAGCAGCCGACCTCGCTCATCGCCTGTCGTCTGACCTCAATGAGTTGAAGCTAGTCGCCCGCTAGCGCGCCGGCTCGCGTCGTATCTTTCTCGAATCTCGGTGCTCAGAGTGGTCCTTCAATAGCTTCAAGCTTCGAGTCGATGGGCGTCTCAGACAAGGCGCCTCAATATTCGCGGCAATCATAATCATAAGATGCAAGCTCGTCAACAACAAGAGATGACAAGCTATGCTTAGCTCATAAGAGCGTGACGTGAGCGTGATGTTCATTAAGAGGCGTGCGACTGCCTTGGGTGCGTTGCTGATGAATGCTGTCTATGTACTTGCGGTGCGATAGGCTTGTCCTTCAGAAGTTGAAGGCTGAGGAAGCGTAATAGTATGCTTGCGATGGAGAGATCTTGCTCTCGGCGAATTCGCGGTCCGTGCGGGCGCCCTTGCAGAACTTGTCCGCGAATTCGTTCATGAAGACGTCAACGTGACCCTTGATCCAAGGCGCAATGATCTCGACGTGCTTGTGCTTGTGCTTGACTTCAAGACTGCACTTTCCGAGCTGACGCACTGCGCGCTGAGAATCGCTGAAGAGCAATAGCTTGATTGCAGGCCAGGGAATCTTGCCGCTGTTGAAGAGTTCGAAGCAATACGTAGTTGCCTCACACTCAGCAACATGAGAACAGATCGTGTCCCGGATGCGCTTGCTGAAGATGTAAAAGAACTCCTTTCCGTCGAGTGTCAATTCGCGGGCGATCACGGCGATGGCCGCGGCGCCCGCATCGGGGCCAACCTTCATGACCGTTGCATCGGAACCGACCAGCGTCGTGCCTGGCTGCTGATGCTCGAAACAGTGACGGTAGTATTCGACAGAGGCAGCATGCTCGTGCTCGATGATTGACGTTATTCCGACGCGCGTACGATCGTGTGCGACTGCAGTGAAAGGTCCGGGTACGTCACGCGCGACGTCGTCGAAGGTTTTGCCGTTGCAACGGACGAGGCGAGCCAGCATTTCGAATCTGAGGTTGACAGAAGGCAGGAATTGTGCGTTGGCAAAGTTGTTCTGTCTGTACTCGCGATTGAAGGTCGGAACTGATGACGATCCGGGAGGCGAGATTGAACGGCGCGACGATAGTATGCGTGGACCGGAGATTGGGCCTCTGGCTGAGCTCGTCGGCTGAGCGGGGCGAATGAATGCAGTCGCCGGACGAAGAGCTGTCGGGGCAGTGCGAAGTCGCTTTGTCTGACGATCTTTCGTAGGCGAGATATGCCCACTGGTGCGGCTGGCACTTGCACTGAGCGATCGTGCCTTGTGGGAGCCGAGTATAGCCTTGATCGCTACGTCTCGGATGTCCTGGTCTTGCGGTACATCTGCGCTCCTGCTCGCTTTGATTGGCTTGATCTCGCGCTCGTCTGCCGATGTGACTTTGCCGATGCGAACTCCCTTGCTTGATTCTTGCTCCTGCTGCTCCACATGCACCTGTACTTGCGGTGGTATGGACGCGTCACTGTCTGCCTCAGGCGGCTGCCTCGTGCGTGACTCTGACATCCTGTCAACAAGACAAGGAGGATCAGTATTGGTCATGAACTGACTGCAGGCTTCCTACCCTGTGCGATGTGTAGTATTAGCTACTGCTATGCTGCTCCCTCTCTCTCTGCTACTTGCTGGCGACGGTCAAAGCTGATAGGTCGGCTGCTCCTCTTGTTGTTGTTACTCTATTATGCAGCTGCAGTCCTGTCTATAATTGCTGTTGCGAGATGCTACGAGCAGACGGGCCAAAGACTGAGCCGTTGAGTAAGAACGGAGCGTTGGAAGGGCAAGGATGTCGCCAGATGGGGTGTGAGGAGTGNAGGANTNATTCGCACTCTTATCATATTTCGCGCTCACCAGGTGATTCCGCACTTTTCAGATGATTTCGCCTACCCCATATTCTGCGGCGCGCCGCGAACGCGGGGAGCGCACATCTAGCTCGTGATCAGACGTTAGCGCCGTCCATTCGCGCCGCTTACGGACGGACGAGTGCGCGCAAATTTCTCACGGTCACGCGCCTCGCAACGTATAAGAAGAGTGCAAATTCCTTTTCCCAACTCAACTCCAGCTCGACTTCAACTCCAGCTCGACTTCGCCTCTGGCAAGATTCTCAGCCCGAGAGTAAGAAGGAGAGCGACTAAGCATACTACCCTGCAAGTCCCGTCAGGCCGGGGGGGCCAGTAGCCCGCCGTCATCGACAAAGAAATATCCCCTCTGCCGAAGCCGACGCGAGGTGCTGTGACGCTGTGGTCATTGAACGGGGCCNNNGCGCGTCGTGGGCACGGACTGCCGATCTGGGCGATTCGGTCTCGACTCAGCTCAACTTCGGCACACTCTTTCACTATCTATCTCCTTTCGAACAAGTCGATCACATCCTTCCTCCTATACTCGCTTGTTGTCTCACATATTCGATGTGAGAAGCAAACGAGTATATGCAATCTTCCTTAGTCATCTGGAAGCGGCCATCCTCAGGGATCATACTTAATACTGCATAGTGAGACTAGCAGATGAGCTACATGAGCTTTGAGCGTGTCAAGAGCTACTCTGCTCACAACTGAACGGCTGACCGTAGAAGGCCTGGTTTTGGTCGGACGCGACTTGACGCAGGGAGCGGCATCACTCGCCTTGGCTGATGAGGTAAAATGACAAAGCCAGGTCGGAGCCACTATGCCGCCGAGATTGCGTCCATGCTGTTCGTCTTCAGCGAAGTCAAGGACCCGGATGAGGAGACCGTCAAGATGATAGAGGATGTCGTTCGTGCTCAGATTGTCGAACTGGTCAGCGCTTGAACTCACCTGGGACACGTCTTGCGGTACTCATGTGTGCGCATCGTGGAGCAGATCATCCAAGCACGAGCACTAGCGACAAAGCGAGGATCACGTACGATCAGCTCGGAGGACTTGATCTTTCTCACTCGACATGATCGTAGCAAGGTCAACAGGCTGAGGACATACTTATCCTGGAAAGAAGTACGCAAGAGAGCCAAGGACACAGATGCAGTAGATGCAGGCGAGGTGGACGTTATGGACGAGCAGATCACGACGGACAAGTCTGCTAAAGCTCACAAGATGCGGATCAAGCTGCCATGGGAGATCACAACCGTCTTCTCCGACATGTTGCCCGATGACTCGGACGCAGAAGAGGACGAGGATGATCGGATAGCGTATGAAGATAGCAAGAAGCGCCTCAGAGTATGTACACGGCTGGTCCCGCCTGATAGACTGACACGTTGGTTCAGCTGGCGGACGAGCACACGCGGAACATGACAAGAGAAGAATACGCGCACTATGCCGAATGCCGTCAGGCGTCCTTCGTCTATCGCAAGGGTGAGTATCACGAGCTTGAGCTGCCGAATGCAGCTCAGTCATTCGTGCACAGGCAAACGCTTTCGCGAGTTTATCGGCTACAATACCTATGTCGAGGGCAATCCCAACGATGAAGTCATCGATATCCTGGGCTTCTTGTCATATGAGCTCGTTCGTGCGGTATGCGAGCAAGCATCTCAAGTCCACGAGAGATCTGCAGCTCTACGCATCGGTTTAGCTGGTCAGGTCAAGACGAAACTGAGATCGGACTCTATGGAATCACGAAAGAGTAGGAGCATGTCTGTTGGCGCCAGGAGAAAACGAGCTCGGTCAGATTCGCACTCGCCCGATGTCGATTTCGCTCGAGCGTTGCCTCTTCCTCCGGCCGGTCCTTTCGCTCCTTCTGACGCTGCTACGTACACACCCAGTGGAGAGGATACACTGGACACGAGCACTACCGCAGCTGCGCAGCCGTCCGGCGCGACGAAGCGACCGGCCCGATACATGATACCGAATGATGTCGAAACGGCTTATGCAGAGATGCAACGGTCGTCTGCGAGCAAGCGTAGCTCAGGCTTGCTCAACTTCCGAGGCGGCCTGGTGAGGAACAAGCTAGCTTTGTTGTAGGGTATAGTCTTGCAATGTTGCCGTGCAACTCAAGCTCGGCTACTGACACAACAGTCTCGAAGAGAACGAAGGAGGTGATCACCGAGTCTAACTATCAGCAACTGCAACCACTCGATTCTGGAGCCGCATCTGAAGGCTTCGAGGTGACATCGATCACTACTCCCGATACTTCAGTCTAATTCAAGCTTACTGACAGGAAGACACTGACTCTGGTTCGTGCCTGCAGCTTGCTCTGAATCTCTGTCCATGCCCGGCAAAGCTTGAGCGATCTTCCTAAAGAGCGTCTTGACATTGTGACCGGCTTTTGCAGAGGTCTCGATGAACATGACGCCCAGATCTTTCGCCCGCTTCTCTGCCTCCTCCGTCGTGACTTGTCGCTTGTCGTTCAGATCTGTCTTGTTGCCTACCAGCACGATGATGACATCGCTACCTCTCTCCGCTCGGACGTCATCTATCCACTTGTTCGTACTCGCAAAGCTCGAACGATCTGGCCGCTCGTCGCGTCAGTCCAACGCTTGCACTGCCTTGGAAGATAAAAACGGCTGACTTGTGATGTCATAGACGACCACGGCGACGCTCGAATCGCGTATATAGCTCGGTATGAGACTCCTGAAGCGCTCCTGTCCTGCTGTGTCCCATAGCTGCAGTCTGACTGTTCTATCTTCGAGATACATGGTCTTGCTCAGAAAGTCGACTGCCACGTTTCCGTCGACTCAGCATAAGTCCGCAAGCGTTGCACACAAGACCACGCACTGCCGATGGTGGCTTGGTATGTTGCGTCGAAGGAGCCGTACATGAACTGAGTGATGAGCGACGTCTTGCCCGCGTTCTGATCTCCCAGGAACACGAGCTTGAACTTCTTCAGCCTGCCCTCACAGTCTCAGCTTGATCAGTCACTGAGAACCGTCGAGAGCGACTTGCGCATGTGCAAACGACGAGGCAGGGTCAGGCGAAGTCATGCCTGTCGGCGTTGAAGCTTTCGGCGCAGATAGTGACGAGGTCGACTTGCTCGGCGAAACGACCGCAGAATCGTTCGGGCTCGCCGACGAAGACGTCGATGCAGCAGCAGGCGTCGTCATTCTGCCAGTTCGGAACAGTCAGCACACAGTATGAGGCCTGCTGTGACGAGCTGCCTTTGTCGCGAGAGTTCTTCGTAAATGGCGCGCTTCACGAACGCGACGGGTAGACATGACACGAATCGCGATGGACAGTTCCTATGATGCATGGAAGGCTAATAGGGCAGATCAATGTCCACACCTCCACTCTGCAGGCCGTTCGTATTTCAGCTCAGGATCCGTCAAATGCTGAGGAAGTGCCTACCGCAACATCGTCGTAATCATGGTACGCCCGTGTGCGCTTGGTGGCGCGCGGATCGAGTGATGCGCCCTGTGGCGGAGGTAGAGGTGCGGCAGCACCCGATCTTTGGCGCTTAGTAGAACTTTGCATATCGTCTGCGCGCCGTTTGCCATTTCGTCCCGCGCCGAGAGGTGCGTCGAGTCGTTCGGCAAGCGACATCGTCTCGCTCGCTCGTTTCTTGTTCTCCGGACGCATCTTCTTGAGTTCGTCGAACCATGCCGTCTGTTCGTGTCGTACGTCGCTCGCCTTGAAGCCATCGTTCGCTCTCTGTGGATCGAGACTATCGTAACGTTCGAGATGAGCACGGCAAGCATTGTATGCGAGCGAGACATACATGTAGCGATTGAGCATGTGGATCTCGCCCTCTTGAGATCTGCTCGGTAACTCCTCTTGATGCTTGTTGGCGATGTGTTTCTCGACAAAGCTGAGACCTTTGAAGAGCTTCTGACATATCCTGCAGCGATGTTTGTCGTCTGCTTCTGCGATCACGTTGGGTCCTAGAGCTGCCTCGACGCGATTGACAAAGCTATCGCCGCCAAATCGGACAGCGTCGACTTGATTGCCGTTGAGTAGCTTGTCCATTTTCTCGTCCAAGTCATTTGCGAAAGCTATCCCACGAGCCGATCAGACATGCTCGGCACGCTCTCACAGACTCGCTACTTACTGGTCATCTGATCCTGCACACGTCTGCCACGGATGTCATACTGGTCTTCCTGCTCGTCTTGAGAACCCGGCGGCCGTCGGAGAACCAACCCGCTACGCCTCATCAGATCTTCGTACGTGGAGCCAATCGTTGCGCTGTCTGTTTGTAAAAGCATCATCAGCTAGATGGTCAAAGGATCGGCAGGACATCATACAATAGCACGTGAAGAAGACGGTGCGAAGGTAAACAAGCATGAGATCGAGCTCAAATTTCGACGAGCTTGACTCTGTCGTCGCAGCCGCAGTCACTTTCGCCTTGATCATTTCTGAGCCACGCGTGTCCTTGAGAGCAGCTTCGAAGCGATCGATAATTAATTTCGCTTGATCGCAGTCATGCCGTATCCGTTCTGGTCGGTTGAGGATCGAGTAAGCGAGTCTGATCTTTGCGCGATATTCGACACTGTTCTCTACGTGCAGGGAGACATCGTCAATCTGTCACAGCGTATTAGCTCATGAATGCGTGGCAGATACAAGAGGGTGACCTTTGAGCCAGCGAGAAGCTTGTAAGCCGCCGTCATATCTGCGTCTGGCTTGAAAATCACCCAGCCAACACGCGTAAAGACTCGGCCATTTGCCGGACTGATGACAAGCGAGTCAAAGCCTGCAATCTGCGCACAATGCTGCGAATGATCGGACCTCTCAGCAATGGCAGATAAGTGTGGTGTGAAAATCGCATACTTTTTCGAGGGATCGTCTCTTGAGATTGCGAGGGATTGCGTTGATATACAGGTAATTCGGCTTCAGTGTCATTAGGGTGGCAGCGTCGAGTCTGTCTTTCGATTGTATCGCAGCCTTCTGCGCCTCGGTTTCAACAGGTATGGAAGACTCTTTGGCTTCTGTCGTGGCAGCTATAGCTGGCGCTGCTTCTGCTGGGCCTGCTTCTGCAGACTTCGCGTCCGCCATTGTCGAGTCCCCGTTCGCTTCGGCTGAGGCATCAGCCAAAGTGCTATCTCCCGCTGCGGTATCGCCGTTGATGCCCTTACTTTGCGGCGCTTCTGATGCTGTCTCTGTCGTATTTTCTGCCAGAGTAGCCTTGTCGTTCGGTCTCTCGGGCAGAGGTTCCTGAGGTAATTCCGGCAAATCATGACTGACATCATTGTATGCGCCGGCCTCTGCTTTGGTCAAGAAGGATTGCAGAGCGGCTCGATGAAAGTCAATCAGTCTCGTGCGTTCTTTCGCCCTGATCTCTTCGTCTTCTGCAGAGAGCGGTGGTATATCGGGTATAGGCTCGAGTGCAGCGTTAGGCGCGAGTAGATGAGGCAGCGCAGTGACGCCATATGCATCTTGGAACCAGGCATCCTTGCCGTGGGTGTCGATGAACTTTTCAGCTTCCGCTTTGAGAAACTGTAGGCGATACTTTGCGTAGCTTGCGTTCAGCCGTGGCTCGTCATCGTACACCTCAGGAAAGAAAGCTTTCATATAATCTCGAAAGTAGCTGCTCTCCTTCATTCAGCCGGGCGGCATATTGCGAGAGAGCCAACGAGTGCAGACCTAGGTGAGACGAGGAAAGCGCAGTGCTCGGGCGGTCTGAGACTGTCTGACCCTCTGCACCATTCATGGGATGAGTTAAGGCTCGCGTGGCAAGAGCCGATCAGGCTGACCTGTTCTGGTAGATGCGCTCGCCGGCAAATGCACTCGCGCCGGCCGAGTAGCCTCCCCTCCCGGTGCCCCCAAACTGATCATCTGTAGCATCGGCAGAGGTCAGCTCGTCTGTCCGTACCGTCGAGACGCGGCAGTGTGACGCACATGAATCGTTGGCCATTGGCCGGGCAGCAGAATAGGAATAGCTGTCGGAAGCGTATGCTTGGCTATCTGCATAGCCGCCTCTGCCGCTATAGTATGGATCATGGGCGGCTTGTTGGCCGCCATAGTAGCCGCCGTTTGAGTAGTCCATCGCTTTGGCTCGGGCGCACTTCCGCGCCGACAAACCAGCGAAGTATCACCAGCGATAGCGCGAGTGCTTGTGAGGGCTTGCGTAGTCGCAAGAGCTGATGGAGCTGTTCAGGCCAGCAAGGCACTTTGAAGCCGAGTGTCAGATGAATTCGAATATCTGAATTGACTTGGCCGACAATCTCGATTTGACAACACCGGCCAAGGACCCGGATGGAAGTGGACAGGCATCGCTCGCCTAGTCGGCCCAGCACGCCTTCCAACAATGCAGGAGCGAGCATGAGCGCACGACCGAGCCGATCGAACAGTGCCTCCTCCCACACCAACAATGGCAGTCTCCCCTTTGGTAGCCTGCCCACCGCGCCTCGTCAGCTTGGTTTTGGCTTCGGCATGGCCGCACCCTCACATCCTCCCGGCACTCCCATAGCCAGTACTTCGGGCTCCTTCGGTCTACAGGCTCTGCGATATCCGGCTTTGGGCGTCAGCAACACGTTCGTCCAGGCCAGACAACGACGGCCGAGCGAGACGAGATCAACCGTGAGCCGGCCCTCGAGACCGCAAGCGAGCGAGGACAACGCGAGAAGGCGTAAGCGATCAGAGACGCCCCTCTCCGAGCCGGAGGAGGACGAGGATGAGGAGCAAGATGGAAGGACGTATCGATCAGTCTCGTATGCATCCGTCAAGGGCACATCAAAGCGACTCCGGCGAGATCACGATCCGATGCCGTCCGAAAGTACCATCTCATTGGATACAGAGTCTGCTACATCACTCGTGCCACAACAGTCCAGTCCGGTCGTCGCTTCACCGCCAAAGGCAGACGATCTCAGAGACGCATTGCTCTCCCATTTCGCATCCTCGTCACTCGGCACACAGCCAGCATCCGCCACGATCGAACAGTCACTAGCATCTGCCGGCTCATCAGATGCAACAGTGCAGGATCTCAGCACCTCGCTACGTAAGCCTCAGAGATCCCTAGCCTGGGCGCAAAGGATTGACACCGTCATCTCGCAGAATCACTTACGAAGCCTGCGCTGCTGCGGGTGCTGGAACAGTTGATCAAGCAGCAACCCCAGTTGAGCGTCGTCGTTTCGTCCCTCCTCCCGTTTCCGACGATCGAATCAGTCCAGGCAAGTCTGGACGATCTCGAGAGAGCAGTCGCAAGTGCGATCCCCCTCTCGTTTGCAAAGGGGAAGCAACGATCACACGACAGAAGCACGAGCACCTCGCGGACTACAAATGGTATACGAGATGACTACATCTGGTCACGCGTGCGAACGAGCCTGGAAGCCTACATTGTCGAGGTGGCAAGGTTGCTCGATACCTTTTTCCCTGCCATACCCAATGACGATTCAGAGGCATGGTCGCCGAGGATTACACAAGCTATTGCGCAACATCCGAGTACCCAATTCGGGTTCCTCTACTCGCTCACCTTGTCTGTTCGCAAGCTGGAGGCGGTTCTGCCCGTCTCTCAAGCGCAGGCTAGCTCATCACGCGGCGCTACTCAGGACCCTCTGTCGAGACGTCTCTTGCCAGATCTGTTTGCCCACTGGCGCAACTTTGAGTGTCGAATAGGTCAGCAGGTCAACGAGCAAGGCAAGCTATTGGCGGCTTCGATCATCCAGACGTGGTTCAGGCAGCTTGACCACCTCGCCAGCTCGCGCATTCCTTCGCTCTTGGCCCTCGACGGCTTGCAAGGTGATGCGCTTGGCGAGGTAACCCTTACCCAGCAGACGATGCAAGATCTTCAACGGGATTTCGTCAGAGACATTGGCTGGTCAGTCTGGTCACATCATACAAGCGGCTGTGAACTGATCCCTGTGCAGGACCATTGGCGTACGTGCGCCGGCCGACATGCGTACCACGCAAGAATTGTAGAGAGTGTGTTGATGTAGCATTGCAGTCGCTCGAGTATGCATTCGTTTGCAGATCTATGGACGAGTGGTCTGGTTCGCCGGTGGTGGATTGACTGGCTCTCCGAGTGGAGTGACATAGCACGATGAGATCCCTCCGTCTACTTTGAAATCCGTGCCCTGTGTCAGATGAAGGGTAAATTAATCCCCCACAAGAGCAGATCGGCAGACGACTGACGGTGATGTAGCTGCTATCGTCCGATGCGAGGAAGAGGGCCGCCTTGGCTTGCTCGATCGCTTCGCCGAATCTGCCCATGGGAATGTGAATCATCCTTCTATCCCTCTTCTCGGGCGTGTTGAGGAAATCCATCAGCAGTGCTGTCTTGCGCTGGTCAGGATCCCAATGAGCATGTGCGAGGGAGCCATACGTGTTTTCAGTGGCCCTCTGTTTTTTTGAGCGTGAGTAGATCAGTAGGGATCTATCTGGAAGCTAGTACAGCGTACGGGCACAGAGCGTTGACGCGAATGCCTTCTTTGGCGTGAACCATGGCGAGCTCACGCGTCATGGCGAGTACGCCTCCCTGTCGAGCTTATCAGGCCGAGTGCAGGAGCGCGAGACTCGTGCTGACCTTTGATGCGGTATCTGTGCAGGACTGTCAGCAATCGTGAAGGAATCGCAGAAGCGAGGACGAACAGGCTAATTGGGGGGTGGCAGCACCGAGGATAGCGACAAAAGAGGCAACGTTGATGATACTGCCGCCCGTTCGGAGGCCCTTGCTTTCGTCTGTTGGGTTCTTGCGCATCTGTTCGATGGCGTACTTGCAGCCCCACCAGACGCCCTTGAGGTTGATCTGCATCGTGAGATCCCAGATCCTCTCCTCTGTGTTCAGCGCGCCGTCGTCCTGCACGTCCGCAGAGGTCTCAGAACTGCAGCTCAGACATGGTGAGAGCGTGCCTGGGGATGCATGATGCCGGCATTGTTGAAGATGACATCGAGCCGACCAAACGTCTCTACGGTTTTGGCAACACAGGCTTTCAGATCGGCTTCCTTGCCTACATCCGCCTTGAACGAGATCGCTCTGGCATCAGGCACACGCTCCTTGATGAGATCGACACATGACTGTGCTGCTGACTCGTTGATGTCTGCTGCAACGATGGCGGAACCCTCTTGGGCGAAGATCAGACACGACTCGAGTCCGATGCCTGCACGTCACGCTCGCTCAGCATGAGTTGTTGGCGATCGAGTGTGCTGACCTGATCCTGCGCCGGTGACGATGGATACTTTGTGATCTAGTCGGCCCATGTCAGGAGAGGCCTGTGGTGTCTGTCGGTGATGGATGGAAGTGATAAGCGCCGTCGCGACAAAGTGGGAAAGTGGACAGGACAGGACATCGCTCACAAAGCAGGCCAAGAGCGACGCGGAGAGACCTCGAAGGACAGCATCAGCATGCTCGATGCATGACACAGTCGACACTGCGACCGGATGACACGAGATGGGCGACAGTATGGCAGCCCAGGTGAAGAGTGATAGCAACGAGTTGACAAGAGACCAGCTCGAGACTTTGCTCGTCCCTGTCCCCGACGCTCTCGACGTCCTCACTGCTTCCGCTCAGGACCTGTCACGACACATCACCAGTGCGCATCTGGATGAAGCCACAAAGAGCGCAATACTCGAGCAGAGCTATCTGCGCGCTTCGTCGAATGGTTCAGCTGATCTGCTCGAATGGCTGCTCAAGCAAGATGTAGATCCAGACGCAAAGGACGAAGACAGAACACCTGCCATCATACTCGCTGCTTCCTTCGCCCATCTCGACTGCGTCAGGTTGATCGTCGAGGCTGCACATGCTCGTCGACATTATTCCAAGCCAGGCCTCGGCATCAACGTGACCGACCGTGCAGGCTGGACAGGCACGTCTCGCCGTTTCATGATGCCATCTGTAGCTGATGCACCGGCTTGCAAACTGCAGCGCTGCACTGGGCAGTCAGTCAGAACAATGTCACCCTCGCCAGCTTCTTGCTCAACCACGGCGCTCGGATCGACATGCGTTCGAACAAAGGCCTCACGCTCAAGAAGCTCCTCAGAGCCGGCCCAAAGGGCGACGATATGCGTCGCGTGCTCCAATCTGCCCAAGCTGCCCGACTGGAACGCATCAATCCAAAGCTGGCAAATGGCGCTCAGGCTGACGTGTCTCATGATGCAGGTGAGATGTCTGCCATCATCTCGGAAGACAATGAGGCCGTACAAAGACAACGGGACATCATAGCCGAGACCTGTCGATGTCTGGGCATCAGCCCTGCTCAGCTGCAATCCGAACCTCAACCAGAAGCCATGCCGCCAGACGAGTCGTTCGATTGGGAGCTCTGTCTGCCCGATCAGATGCTCGTCTTTGGCATGCAAGATCTTCCGACCATCTTGCGAGTGGCCATTGCAGACATCTCCCCCACCGCATCAGCACGAGATCGGATTATACCCGCCAGCGTCATCTTCTTTTGCGCTCGTTACGCTTGTCATTACGATACCATAGACTTGCTCGACGAGCTTCTTCTGGGTTCCATCGAGACCATTGAGGCAGCCCTCTTTTCCGACCCATCCAACATGGCCAATTGTGCTTTCTGGCTTCTCAACTCCCTCGTCTTGCTGCACGCGCTCAAGACGGATCCCAACCTCGCCATGGCCACACCAGAATACCAACTCAACCTATCTGACCTGATCAATCAGATCTTTGTCTTTGTCATCCGCGACTGCGAGCAACGCATCGACAAGGTGCGTTCTATCTGCTTGCAGGGGAACAGTTCTGACATGCTCGTCCAAAGATTCTCGATGCTGCTATGCTCGACTATGAGCCTGTCACGGGGTTCGAAGATGTTCGTTTCGAGGGTGAATGGCGCTTCGTCAAGGCGCTTACCGACAGCGCCCGCAAGCGAAACGTCACGCCCGGCAAACGAACGGTCATGAGTCTCTTCAATACGACTCCTCAGCAGGCTCATGACGAGACTGTCGATGTATTCGGAACCAAGCTCTCCCCTTCGGCCCGCTCCTTCTCGAACTTCAACGCGATCGGAGATGCGACCTCGCCTGCGCGTGTCATCGCCATCCTATCGTCGACTCTCGTTGTTATGCAGACTTACCACATTCATCCTTCGATTGTCTGTCAGACTTTCGCTCAAGTCTTCTACTGGCTCGCTTGCGAATTATCAAATCGTATACTCGCAAAGAGAAAGTACCTCTGTCGATCTAAAGCCGTCGGCATAAGGTTGAACGTCTCCAGCGTAGAAGAATGGGCAAGACTCAATCGTCTGCCCCCTCAGCTCGTGCCCAAGACATTTGCACCTCTCAAACAGCTGCTACAGTGGTTACAGTGTCTCTCGAGTGAGACAACGCTCGAAGGCCTCAGGACGACCATCGCAGGCTTACCTGCTCTGAATCCCATCCAACTTCGCCAGTCTCTGCGCGATTATCGCTACGAAGTAGACGAGGGTCACATGTCACAAGACTGTTTGCGTCAGCTGGCAGTCCATCATGCCGAATGGGAGGGCAAACAGCTCGGCAAGCTGAATGCTCAGACTTCGCCCTCTGCGCCACCGAACAAGCCAAGGACGAGTATCACGGCTTCGCCCGTCTCGCCGAACATACGCCGATCGTCCAGTCAAGCTAGCGTCAGATTAGGCGACGAGGTCAATCTAGACAGGCAGCGGCATATCGACCTCGTCTTCTCGCATCCCAGTCGATACCCAAGTTTCCTGCCCGCCCGGGGACCAGACAATGTTCATGCCGACATGGACTCTCGGTTCATGCTACCTTTTGCTCTGCCGTCCTCTGCGAACGAGCTCGTTGCATTCGATACTACGCCTGTCTTTGGTCCTCAGCTGTCTGCCGAGCAAGAAGCACATCCTCACCGGACGGCCTGCGAGCCTGGATTGCCCTCGGAGTTCCTGCAGATGCTCGATGCTGCTCGTGAGCAGGATGCGCACGCTCTACTGACGCAATCGCACACTGTTCGCTCAGCAGATCCGCAAGTGCTTGCTTCCATCGAAGACTGGAGGGCAAGAATGGCTCAGGAAACACTGCCTGTTGAAGATGAGGACATCAGACAACTCTGACATAAACATGCACCTAGTCATTGCAATAAGACGTCCGCATGTTGATTCACTTAAGATGCGCGCGCAGCTTTTGCGTTTTGTGATAATCGCGATCGTCAACAATCGTCGAGTAGCATGTGTATGCAAGGCTCATGTTCACAAAGTGGCCACACTGAAAGCAAGTAACAGATTGCGTCGCTGACTTTTGTCTCATCCCGATGGGCCTCAGTGATCCATCGGTTGCCATCTACATTGCCGAATGTCAACGAGTCCTCAAGAAATCTGGCCTAACGTACGAAATGCACGGTTACGGCACTGGCTTAGAGGGTGAGTGGGAGCAGGTCATGAATGCAATCAGGGACTGTCACGATGCTGTGCACAAGATGGGCTGCCCAAGGTAAGCGCTCATCTACAATCGCGACTCGTCTCTGAACTTGTCTTGCCGCAGGATAGCGACAGGCAAGCTGGACTGGTACTTACAGGGTCCATGCTGACTTCGCACAGACGTTCGCATCGGAACAAGAACAGACCGCGAAGGTGCGAGCAACGCAGCGAAGAAGCAGAGAGTCGTAGATATTCTGCAAAAGGACGAAAGCAGGCCAGCGTAGCATTGGCAGCCGGGCCTATCCACATATGCCATTTTGCTACAATTCATCACCTCAAGCGAGGGCGAAGGGGCGTGTCAGGGGCTCGCGCAAGGTCGAGCGTCTATTGTGCTAAATCATTGTGTGGCATCGTCAAACCATTGTAGCCCGAGCCCGTGTCGCCGAAGGAGGATTTCCTTGACGAGCTCCCTTGTGTAGAGTCTTTTGACAGCCATGAAAAGCGACCGCTCGATGGCTTCGGTGAGCCCGGACCAGGGGAATGGGCGTCTCGCATCGGCGAGCCGCCTCTGGACTGGTTGAGGTTCTGAGATAGAGATCTCCGTCTGACAGGATGGAGAGGGCGCTCTGGCTGCACAGGGTTGAGATTTTCGAGGATGAGACTGCTGTTCTGGCTCTGCCGGGCTAGCGGCGAATCGATGCCACCATTCTGATTGATGCCATTCGTCAAAATCTTACTCAGACCGGTTCGCCTGACTTGCGGCTGGGGCGAGAAAAGGTGGCCATGGTGTCCGGGCGCAATGTCAAGCGTCTGATGTCCTTGGAATTTCTCAGATGAGCTATGAACACTCTGATCAGGTGATGACTTTTCTCGTCGCTGTGCTGCCCCAACAGGGGCATAGCCGGAAGAGCTGCTGCCTGGCGAAGGCGCGTTGTACATGTATGTCGCGCAGAGGACGATGCCGCATCCGACGACGAAAGATGTCGTCACGGGCGCATCGAACAGCATGACACCCGCAATGAAGGAGATGATGATCGAGAGTGATGTTGCAAAGCCCTTGAGGATGTTGTCGGCATGCTTGATGACGAGGGCGGTGATGAGTCCACCGGCGACTTGCACCAGCACGGTAGCGATCGCCCAGAATCCGAAATTGTCGAACAGGCCTGCGACGACCGGCTTGGCAGTTGCAGATAGCGCAGGCGCCGCCGTACCATCGAAGAGAGACGACAGCGTGAAGGAAGGTGCGACAACGGGCAGCAGCGCGGGCAGCAAACTGAAGAAGGACAATTGGGTGTTCCTGACCCAGAGATCCGCTTTGGAGCCTTTGAGGACCATTTCAAAGTACACGCCGGCGAGACCGGATGTCAGACAGGATAGTGAGACGGCGATGAAGCCTTTGAGCGGGTTCATGCTGTCATCGTGATGGCTCGAAGCAGGCGCAGTCTGCAATTGGACGATCGCCACGCCGACGCCGAGTCCGACGAGGCTGAGCCATTTGGAGAGCGATAGCCTTCTACGGAGTAGAACGACACTGAAAAGCGCGGTCGTGAGAATTTTGAGCTGATAAGTGACCTGCTCAAGCGCGTTAGTCGATCCTATCAGAATGTATGTACGCGTGCAGGCGTGACCGACCTGAAAGGTAGCGACATCGAGGTTTGATGCGGCCACGAACTGCAAGTTGTTCTGAATGTAGTACAGCAAGGCCGGTATGGACAGTTTCCAGCAATCATCACTGCAGCAAGAGGCGACGGATCAGCTCAGGCAATCCGTGTAGAATGCACTGAGCGCGCCTGAAGACATCCTTGAACAAGCCTGCAGATTTACTCGGCAGTAGCTTGAGATAGCGCATCGAGCTGGATTCTATGGTCTGAATCTGATTGCTTATCCTTCGCTTCAAGGGTGCTCCTGGACTGGCATAATGCCCTGCCGCGCTGCCTGAGCCATAAGGAGCTGCGTCGAGATGGGTGTACGTGTTTGCGAGCGCGACGGCGAGCGAGATGACGCCCTTGAGAATCTCTCCCAGAAGGACAGCAGCGGCGGTCGAATAGGGTCTGGCTCCAGGTGCCGTGCGAGACTGTGACGAGGCATGAAATAAGCGGAACCCTTGGCAAATCATGCGCATGTGGACAGTCATAGCGCATGACGATCATGATCAATCAGGAGAGAACTGACATAGTGTATCAGAATGGCCAGCGTCGAGTTCTGCACGGTCAGGGTCACCAAGCTGATGTATTTGAGAGGTATTCCCGCCAAACTCGGCACGCCGTCGTTCGACATGGTCCGAGTTGGAAGCCTGACGTGCTCAGCTAGGATAGATCGATGCTTGGCGTCGGCAGCTAGCGCTGCATGTGCGCTTGTGAAAGCATGGCTCGGGCCTTTTGCGACAGCGACGCGCTGAGCTGGCACACATAAAATCACGCGCGGCGGCGAAACACTCGCGACGGCTGACCAATTTCATAGACGTGGCGGTATGGTAGGGCGGTGGTACATCACACACAACAAGCAACCCAGATCACCGACCGACCCACTGACCATTGACTTTGCCTACGTGATCGTCATAGGTATTATAGAAAGGATCCTGAGAGAGGTGGTCTGTTCCTGCACTGTCTGACCTTGACAGAGCTCGACCGATTCTCGCGCCATCGGGGTCGACCAAAGTCAGTGAAGCGTAGCGATGGCAGGGCGCGTCGAGGTCGGAAGCATCTGGGTCGATGTCCATGCTCTCGCGTTCGCTGAGAGGCGGCTCGCGCAGTACATCCACATAGGATCTCCGGCTTCGCGTTGCATGCCTTCTCGTCAAGCCGGCTGACGATCCAATCGGCTGGTATTCACCGCTCAGGCTGGATAAAGAGAGGCGTGTGAGTTCACCAAGCTCGCGATCGCGTTCGAGGAGATCCAGGAGCCGACGACTAGAGTTCTGTCGAGTCTCGGGAGGCGTACTCTCGCTGATAGCATAGCGACGAGTGGGGGCCACGAGCGGGCGCCGCCGCGGCAGAGTGGGCGTGTGCGGAGGCTCTTGCTGTTCGCTCGTCTCTTGTGCTTGCCAAAGCTCGGGCAAAGCGAGACGCTCGAACGAAGTCTGTACGGGCTGCGGCGAGGCTGAGAGAAGGTCTTGACTTGCCGGCAAGAGTCTGCTTGTCTCTGGACTTGGCGAGACGGAAGCGGAAGAGTAAGCCGAGGTGCTCGCCTCACCGAGCACGCGCGATGCCGAACGAAGTGCGCTCATCTCCCGCATGATCTGCGCTCGCCTGTTCTCCATTCTTTGGCTTTCCTCCGAACGGGTCATCGTGTCTGCGGTCCTATCTTGCGGTTCGTGCTGGTCTGCAGCGCTAGCGAGCAACCAAGCATGCGATGCACTCGTCGGCGTCGTCTCTTCGACGATCGGAACAGTCGTTGCTTGCGCCAGATGTGCAGCAGCGGTCTCGATAGTCGACAGACGTCTGTCCTCGCTCGAGAGTAGCATGCTGACACGGTCGAGTCTGGATGTCAGAACCAAGTCAGCGGATGACGATGATGTGCCTGGCCGGGCTCACCGTTCGGTGACGGTCATGGCTTCTTGAAGAGACAGCCTGGCTCGTGATAGCAGGTCTTGAGTGTTGGCCAGCGCGTCACGAACGACATTGATGGTGTCGTCAAGCGACAGCTGACCACTCTCTTGTGATCGCAAGGCCAACTGTATAGCATCGTTCGAGCTCTCAGCCTCGTCGATGAGGCCGTTGACAGTCGGAGTTGCGCTGCGAAGAGCCGAAGCTGCAGCAGAAGACTGGGTCTGTAGCGTGCTGAGCTGCCGAATGGCCGTCAAGCGCTCCCGAAGCGCGGGAATGCTGGTGGCCAGTGCATCCGACACATCTGCTCTCGCCCGTCTCACCTCCTCTGTCGTCGACATGAGTCGCTCGATGTCAATCATGCTCATCTCGTGAGCGTCGCCAGCCATTTGGGCATGCGCTGCTGCTCTCATTCGCTTGGGTCGCTTCGCCCACGCGAGACAGGAAACGCGTCATACTTTCTTTGGCTTGAGGCGACGGCCAGGTCTGCATGCAGCTGCAGCCTGATCAGTGGAGATATGTGAACGAAGGTAGGGCCAACATCGTGTTTGCCTACTCCGGCAACGAGTCGGCCTATCTCAACAAAGTCATCCGGATCAGCAAGAACGGTGGTCCCTCGGGGGATGACACTGCCTTTCGCGCTCTGCTGCGGCGGCTCGTCCCTGCAGAGCATCAGACCCAGCCGCCGACGAGGCTGACAGTCAATACGAGCTCATTGTTGAAGCTTCTGGCGTCCACTGAGCACTTGCGACCACAGCAAAGACGCGATGAGCCCGCTATCGATCTTGCAGGCAGCCAAGTGCACCTCATGGACAATGTCTTTGGCTCGGGCGTCGCTGTAGAGATCAAAGTATGCCCCGCGCTCGATGCCCGCATACATGACTGAGTCACGTGCACATTGCAGCCCAAATGGGGCTTCATACCCAGCGAACAAGCGAGCGCACCGCCGCAGCTCTGTCGCTACTGCATGCACTCTGTCTCCCGAGATCACCGCGCAGGCCACACACCGCAGCGCTTGTCACATCGTCGAGCAACATATTGCCCGCTTGATCTCTTCTCGCCGCACCGCGCTCGAAGCGAGCACGCGCTCGAGCGCTTATGGCAGCACTGGCTCGATTCCCGAGCATCGTCGAACAATTTTCGCGTTTTCGTTGACAGTCAGCTCGTCATGTCAGACGTTCGTTTCGATCAGAAGACGTGTTGCTCAGCACTGACCGCAGCTCTTCAGGAACTCGGCCTTGCGGGCCTCCGGCAAGCACTCGCCTGCACGCGGGGCGCTGAAAAGACTATAATCCTGTCGTCTCTGTCACACCAGCTGACAGGTCTCAAGAAGCTCGCTGAGCTCCAGCGTGAGCATGACGGCGCGGGAATCGTGCGCCTCTGGGCAGCCGTTTGCGCGCAGCCCGACTTTTCCTGCTTCTTGACGCCGGCGACCGAGGCTGAACTTCGCAACGGCGCTTTCGACTCTGGCTCAAGCTTGCACGGCAAGTCAGAGCTTCGCAAAGCAATCATCGCATATGCAATCTCGGCGACATTCAAAGATTGCTCACTTGCCATACAACTGCCTCCTAGCATGCGGGAATCGTCCAGCATCGTCAAGTGGATTGATCTTGACTGTAAACCTCTCTCGCGTTTGCCTCACTGGGCTCGTCAGGCGCATGACATGCGAGATGATCTGCGGCGCGCGCTCAAGTCTTCTACAGGGGATTTTGCGGGCTGCTCGCTGCCGGAGTCTAGTGTACTTTCTGGCTAATGTCTGCAAGATGTTGATCTTTTGCCGGGTTATCAATCGCTCGTAAATTGATATTGGCTGAACGTTCGACGTGCCAAGCCAAGTAGGGCTCTTCCGCAACGACTTGGGCAACGAGATGAAGAAGTTCCTCAACAAGCTGAACAACTCCTCCTCCGGCTCGAGCTCGACTCAATACAATAGTCAGCCGACGTATGGAGGCTCTGCATCCAATTTCTCGGGTCCCAGCCAGCCGCCCAGCTATCGACCTCCGCCGGGAGCACCGCCTGCCACAAGCCGACAAGCTGGCTACGTACCGCAAGGGACGTATGCGCCGCCCGAAGGTCCACCTCCGCCAGATGGCGCTTCGTCGACCGGTCCCGGCAAAGAGGACGCGTGAGCCCCTCTATGTTCGCACGTTGCGGTGAGCTGAATTGTTGTGAGCGTCCCAGCTATGCGCCTCTACGTCGCTACGACACCGTCTTCCTCGTAGACGATTCCGAGTCGATGGAGATGTTCTGGGACGAGACTCGCAAAGCACTGACGGGCGTGGTCGAAATCGCAACTCGATATGACGATGACGGCTGTGACCTCGTCTTCTTCAATTCGACCTTTGTCGCTCAAGGCGTCAAGTCATCTGCCGACATGATACGTACCTTCAGGCGTGTCGAGCCTCGGCGATCCACACCTACAGCCACAGCGTTACGGCGCGTTGTTGAGCCATATCTGCTCAAGCTAGAAGCGAGCAAGGCATCTGGCAGCCCAAAACCCAAGCCACTCAACATCGTTTGCCTAACAGGTCTGTAGATGACGCTCATACGAGCAAAGACTGACTGTGAAGCTCAGACGGCGCGCCGAACCGAGGAGAAGAGCCAGATATGATCATCGTAGATGCGGCTAAGCGACTTGATGCCGGTCGCTTCCCGCTCAGTCAGCTCGGCATCAGCTTCATACAAATTGGCACCGATGATGAAGCCACGCAGGCGCTCGAGGCGCTCGATGACCAGCTGAGAGCAACTCACAAAATCCGCGACATGGTCGATACAACGCCTTACGATCCGAAGCAAAGCTTGACATCCGAGTACTTACTCAAAGCGATCATGGGTGGAATCTCGCGTAAGCTAGACAACACCCCGCGCACGTGAGAAGGGCGGAAACCATGGATGTCTGTGCTTCGCGTGTATTAGTCTCTTGTTCGCGCTCGCTTGAAGCATCTCAATGTGCTCTTTGACGACAGACACGAGGCTGAGATCACCCTGTGCGCGAATGAGATCCGCAACCGGAATCTAGATAGCATGCTTACGGGCATCAAGTCGATGTCGTCGAGCTGAACGTCTTGCAACCTCTCGAGAAGTTTGTCATTGCTCGACGACTGCGCGATCGCAGAGCTAGCCAGAACATGCAGCCTTTGGGCGTCGCTGACGTATTTCAGCCGGCGAGCGAGCTTGCTGTCGTCGATATAGCCCTGTGCACCTGCCGCAACGATCTGGCAAGTCGTCAGCTGCCAAGCTTGCATGAAGTGAATAAGCGCTCGACTTGGATGGAGCTCTTGCAAAGCAAGCTATATAAATCAGACTGTGCGGCCAGTTGCGCCCTATCCGGAGTGTTGCTTGCTGTCGCACAAATCATGGGTAAGTTCCTACAGAGACATTGCGGGCACGAACGAGATGCTTGTCTGGCCAGCAGGCGGAGTGCATCGCTTTGTCGATCGTGCAAAAGTGACAGGACCGCGTAGATTCCAATGATCTCATCGTTTTGATAGACATCGCATTCGAAGCCGGACCATAGGACCTCTGTCTCGAGGTAAAGGCGCTCGATATCGAGAGCGGTGACAAGCGCTCGAAGCGACAGGGTGACGTGCTCGCGAGAGAGCACGAGGTCGCTAGGAAGCAGCTTTGTCTGGAATACTTGCCAATTTGTTGCATGCTTTGCAAGCTTTCTGTGCTTTCTCGCTCTGTTCTGGAAGTGCAGCGCGACCCGCTCTACCAGTAACTGCTGAGCGATGAGCTTGCTAATATGTCTGTTCATCCAGCAACATACCTCACCAAGATCGCGCATCAGGCTCGCCAGAGGTGACGCGACCAGAGCTGACTCGTCCATAAGGATTCGGCAGTGCTGTGGGCCACACCAGACTTGTATGAAGCTTTGAGCTGTTACCCGAGAATCTGCGTGTTCCCCCACGACGGCAGTCTGTGCAACCGTGTCAGCAAAGGCGGCCCATACTGACCGAACTGACATGATGCATCGAGCGAGCAAAAGCGCACGCTTCTACATCTGTGTCTCGCATGGATCTCTCGAGCCAGATACATCGCAAGGGATATGCAGCACGTCTGTAGCCGCAAGCGCGATCGAGATCATTGAGCATCGCCATCTGGGCTTTGCCCGTCTGCTCTTGCGACAGGAGGCCAACAGTACGCTTTGGTGTGCTGTGAGTGGGGAGATACCGAGCATATTGCGGGTCGAAGAAAGGCTCCGTCAAAAGCTGAGCTCGTGGAGACGGCAAGATAGATGCGTCGAGGGTTGCCCGGGTCATACGCATACTGCTGATCAGACCAGACACGCCTGCTTGATCCATTGGCATCCGATAGAACTCCTGAAACAGTATGAGCTGATGCTGTCGATGCTGCAAATGTAAGCGCAGGGTATAGAGTCGCTCTTTTGGCTCAGTCGTGCAAGACGCGAGCCAAGCGTCAGCAGCGTCCAGCTCGTCTAGACATTCATCGAGGGAGACCGTGCTCGCTAGATCGACGTCGAACGTCTGCGTGACCATATCTTCGCTCTGCCTTTCACGTGATCAGACAGGCCGCCCTGAAGCTCAGGTAGACTGACAGAATAGAGTGGACCAGCATTGATTTCTGTGCAGACCAGCTCGAGTGACTTGAGCAGACCGAGCAGGTACGCTCGCAAGACTAGTCCCGTGAGCTCTGAGGGTGTCGTCGACGCTCGAGTATGCTGGCCGAGCGCATCCATCGTGATTGCGTCGATATGGTGGACAAAAAGACAGGTGTAGATGGTCTGCGCAAGCGGAAATCCCGAATGGAATGTCATCTGCCAATGGCCTGTTGAGCCTGGATGTCTAGGTCACGACCTCAGAGACGAACTTCGCATCGCTCGAGTCGCTGGAAGATGGCAAGCAGGTGGTCGCACGTCAACGGCGTTGCAGGGTCGAAATTGGCAACACTGATCAATGGGCGGCCTGCTCCAGAGTCCGTCCTATCATCCATGAGCTAGCAAGAGTCACATGAGCGTCGTGATGTGCTGCAAAAGGGCAGAGCAGCGACCTCAACGGCGCCCATTGCATCGTATGCGTCATAGTCGGCAGCAGTAATGATCTGGCCATCCTGAAGCTCTGCATAGGTTCACACGGCTTGAGCTTGTGAGCAAGGCGCTTGTGTGCCTCTAGCTGACCCGAGGCTGCCTGCTGTATCAAGCTGAGGACGTCGTGATATGCCATCAAGCATCAAGTATCAAGCTCTGGTTTGAACCGGAACCGTTGGTCCCAGGAAATCCCAATGCCTCATTTCGCAGCTCAGGGGCTCGTACTAATCGCTCGACCTCACGTCGGTTCAGCAGGATACTTTATCGCATTTCATGATGGACAGGGCAACCTCGCTCATTTTCGCGGATTCCAAAGGCAAGATAGTAGACGACATGG